AAACTTGAAGGACATGAATGGTTAAATTTAAAAGTCAAAGGACGGTCAATTTGAATGTTTAGGGCTAAACATCATAAAATAACTATACTCCGAGTGTGTATTAACTCAAAAAATAATATAAAAAACTTTGCATAATACTAGTGATTACCTGGTTCTCTCTTCAAAGTAGCTTGATTGAGGTTAGAAAACAACCTCTCAAATTCATACACTTGTTCATCTTCCTGTTGTCCAGAGGATGCTGACGACGGTTTTCCAGATAATGACTTGAAAGCATCAAGACGGCGTCGTCCATCAGATGAAATCCAAGTTGGCAGCATTAAAGAATGGTTCTTGGAATTCCAATTGGAAGTAAATTTATGAAATGGGTTTGCTGCATTGCTTCTGTGATTGTGAAGTGCAGCCTTGGGACGACAAAGGAATTTTGCAGAAGAGGATAAAGATGAGGCTGCCATTATCATACTGCTCTGCTATGTTTCTTGCGTGTATTGGGTCTTCAATTCTTCTGGGTTGCGATGTCTGCTTGTGGGTGAAATTGAACGACCAAGAAAACTAAGATATCTGTAGGGTCACATAATACTCTTTTCAGTTGGTTTGGTTATCTGCAAAATATTTAAAAATAAATGGAATTGAAATTTCATGAAAAATAAATTTTTTAAAAAATGATTTCATTATTTAGTAAGTAAAAAGAAATTGTTGTGAATATAAATTTTATTATTTGATTAGATTTAGAAAAGTAAAGAATAATAAATATAAAAATTAATATGTTCTTTAAAAGATCAATAAATAAATAGATACGTATGTAATTAAGAAATTGTTATAAAGATAAAAAATGGTCCATTATTTTTTTTCAAGTCTTACAGAAAATACCCTTTTATACAATTTTATTTTTCTCAACTTTGAAGAATTCATTTTCAATGAAAAATGAATTTCATGAACCAAATAACATAAAACTATATTTTCCTTAACTTTTAAAAAATATTTTTTCAACTAATCAAACACCTCCTTAAATACATGAAGGGTTGATCTTTTTGCCGCGACAGAGCATTTGGGAGGATGTAAATCGTGGTGAGACTCGATCCCTGGTTATTCTTCCAAAATTTCACCTCTATGATCAGTTGAGCTACCCATGCGGGCCCTTTTTTATTCTTTTTTTTTTTTAAGGAAACCACTTAGCGGTATATTAATGAATCAAATCAACAATAGAGACAGGGGAACAGAGTTCCAAAACAACGAGCCAGCCTGTGCATAGGCAGCTGAAGCAAGAGTATGAGCATGTAAATTTAAAGATCTAGAGCCTAGATTAATAGAACAGTATGTAAACGTAGCCCTAAAAGCCCTATAGTGATCAATGGGAATCCCAACGTAAGACAAAATAGGCGAGTGAGCGGACAATAGACTTCCTCGCAACTAGGAGCAATTAGTGAACATGTTAATAGATAAAACATTCTGATTGTTGAGCCACGAGATCACCTCCTTGTAAGCTACCAATTCGGCCATGAGAGGAGATAAGCAATTCGGTAAGGGACCATTGCATGCAGCCAGGAATCTCCCGTCGTGAGCTAAGAGGACTGCCTCAAAAGACGCCTTACCCGTCACTGGTAGGAAGCTTGCGTCGAAGTAGCAGTGCAGATGGGGAGAAGCAGCCACTGAAGCAACAACCTGTGCTAGTGTCGAGCTCCGACCATGGACCTGCTTCCAGTTCTGGACAACACTGAGCGCTTGCTCTCCAGTTCACACACGGCGTCGGCAGTATCGCATCCCACACCGCACGGTTTTGCGCGTGCCAAAGGTGATACAGCACTGCTACAACAAATTCAACATAACAAAATTATGTAGTTGATCTACTACATGAATCTTATTGAATGATATTAACCACAAAAAATTAAATTTGACTATTGGTGAAAGCTGTCTATTCAGGGCCGGGCCTACCATTTTATAGGCCCGGGGCAAGAAAAAAAAAACGGGCCCCAATTAACAAGTTTTTAACAATTTTATAGCGACAATAATAATAATGAAAAAAATTCTAGGTGCTTTCCTTAATGCAAAATAATAAATAATCGTATAAGTGCCTTCATAAATAAATAATTATTATAGTTTATAAAAATGAATAAATAATTTAAAATCGAGTCAACTTATAAACAATAGCATTGTTATTATAATAAATAATAAATTAATTATTATTAAAAATTTATAAAACAATAATTACAAACATATGTGAAGCTAAAAATCTTTTTTTTTTTTTACTAGGAGCAAGAAATTAAAATATTTCAAAACGCAATAAAAAAATTCAAAAAGATATGAAACGTAATTATCTAGATAAAATAGTTTGAATATAAAGCATATTTTAAAACACATATCTTCTATATTTATATGATTCTTATAAATACTTTTTCTTTTAACTAGATAAATTTCAAACTTTTTTAGAATAATTTGAATACAACGAGACATGATAGAAACTTCTATATTACATTGATTAGATATTCATAAAAAGGTGCGGAGTAAATTATCTTTTAATTTTTTTCATAATTCAATCTCAAAATATATCATATAACCCCCTCCGTCCTATTTTTATGTGTCTTGTTTGGTTAGCATGGGTTGATTGAAGTTTTTTTAATTCAATTTTTCATAATATGTTTAGTATAAGTATGTTGGAAAAATAGCATCAAAATGATATTTTGAGTGATTATTTTGTGGTACAAATATATGTGGGATCCACTCCCGATTTGGGTCGGGTCAATGTGGATTCGGGTTCTTCGTAGTGAGACGAAGAATTTGATATAATGTACGCTCAAAATGAGTAATAGGTGAATGAGAAATTAATTCTCAAAGTGGACCTATTTGAGAGAAGTCAAAAACTTAAGATGCTAATTAAAAATTAGCATTTCAGTATCTTTCGTTACATTGCACGAAAGTTTGTGTTAAGCTTAAATGTGGTGATGATTAAGCTTGAAAGGTTTAATTAGTGAATTGGACGAAACTTGAAGAATGATTAAGCTAAGCTTGATATCTTACTTTCGTCCTATGCTCTCATGCATTGGACGAAAGTTGAAGGATGATTAAGCTAAGCTTGAAGGCTTAGCTTAATATCTTATACTTTCGTGCTATGCTCTCATGCATGGACGAAAGTTGTGCTTAAGCTTTGGATTCCAAAGCAGCTCAATTCGTGTTGTGGATTCGTGCTGTACCGTTTCGGTGCTTGCGGATCACTCGGGTGTGGTTTTCGGTCCCAATTCGTTAAATTTTCGGGTTTGTACGAACTTCTCGGTCACTCAGATATTTTGAACCAGGTTGTTATGGTCGATACGAATTAATCGGATATTAAGTTCGTGACCGTTGATATTATTTCGATAATAAGTACGACCGTTTCAAACGTTATAATTCAATTTTTAAATTGAATTTATGTTGGTTAATGTGTCATAATAATGCTATTAAGTACCAACCTCCTATATAAGAGTGTAGTGGGAGTAGAGGCCTTTGAACTATATAGTGAGAGACAACAAGTGAGGGAAGAACACGAGAGTACACAACACACAAAGATAAGCACTTTTTCTTCTCAAAAACTCTGCTCCTACTCCTTTCTTGCTATTGTGTTTTGCCCGTGCTCTAGTTCGCCGGGTTCGTTCGTTTGGGTGCTCAAACGTCGAACCGTTGTATGTTTTATCATGGGAAACTTAGGCCACAACGCTCCTAGCACTTTTGGGAGGTGGCAAATAAGGTTTTAAGGAAAGACATGCACTTTGCCTAACTCGTACGAATCTTTCTTCCTTCTCCTTCTTTCTTGTTTTGGATTATGCTCTAAGCAAAAATCCGTTCTTTCTTGTTGTTTTGGAATTATAATCTGAGGATTATTAGTTTCAATTTTGGTTAATATATATTGGTATATCTTTTTCGTAGATATATATGTATATATAACCTTTGGATCCGTTTATATATATTTGTGTGTATATATATATTTCGAGTATATATCCAATAATATTTTATATATATTTCGTGTGTATATATATAAATATTATTTTACGGATATTAAATCGATTGTGGTTCATTATCTCCAACAAAGTATATATAAATTTAAAAATTTAGAAACTGCATTAAAAATTTAATATAAAAATTTATATATTTAATATAAAATTTTTTCATATTATGTTTAGTATAAATTTATGAAAATTTATATATTTAAAAACTACCTTTAAAATATAACTCTGTATTAAACATATAAAATCAATAAAAATTATTTTTTAAGTTGAGGAATTCTAAAATGTAAAGGGAAGGATTGGATCACCGGCCTTTGATTAAATGAGATTAAAATTCAAATGTCTTACCAGCCAAACTAATTCACCTTACTATAAAATATATGTATATAAATTACTTATACTCAATACATATATACTATGTATAAGAGATAGGATGGGGCCCTCCCCCAAGCATGGGTCCTGGGCAAGGGCCCAGCCTGCCCTTGCTCCAGGGCCGGCCCTGTGTCTATTAGTTTTGTTAGTTTAAATATGCTAATTATAGACGATTTAGATTAGTTTAACTTAAATTGATCTTTTAGAAGTTAGGATTACAAGGATCACGGATAATGCAACTCCAAGTATCAATAGTGAGTTTCCCGCAAATCAAAAGTAAATGATGTAAGAACTTCTTGTTACATGAATTTGATTTTTTTTAGTTTCTTGAATCAAATATGTTGTTGAAGAACTAAATGTGTTTTTTTTTTTTTTTTTTTTTTTGTGTTGTTATAGTTTATTTATCATGTGCACACTATTAAATAATGGTTATGTTCAATGATTTTGTGATCGAGCAGTATGAAGTGACCCTTCTAAATGAAATTTCATAAGTTAAAACAATATATTAAAATAAATACTATAATGTAATAAAATCTAGTAACAAAAATAATGGTTGCAAGTTTCTTAAAAATAAGAGAGGAGGGAGGCACATAATTAATGCCAAGAAATAAAAGATTAGGAAGAAGGATACTGAATCGTTTTTTCCATTATCGACATGTGCTTTAAATTGATATATGTAAACCCTAGATAAATGAAAAGAAAAGACAAAAGTGGTTGGAAGAGAAAGATACTCCTCTCCCTGGTTTTTGAATTGGACTAAAATTCTGCTTTTTCATCGCATGCATAGAGTCTGGTAAAACACGCACTGGACACTAAGCCTGCAAGCCATGTCTTCCTCCCCAGCATCCCTCTGCACTTACCAGCTCTATACTCCCTTCAATGCCAATACCAAAAATCGATTCTTAACCAGACCCCAACCTGCGACTTCGTCAAATTTCCACAAGAAATCCCAATTTCGAAAAACCCTTGTTGTCCGAGCCACAGCTCCTGATTCTAGAGCTACCCGGAAACAAGTAGAGGTAATTGCCGTCTGTTGGTTTTCTTGATTTTTCAATCTTTCAATGTTTCAGGATAATTGGGTCTAAAGTCATTTCTGTTGTTCTTGGTGGTTCTGTTAGGTAGTATATGATCTTGAAGAAAAGTTTAATAAATTAGCCGATGAAGTGGATAGGCAGGCTGGCATTTCAAGGCTAACTTTGTTTTCTCCTTGCAAGGTAAGGCAATTAACATTGAGAATCAATACATACATACATGCATATATAATCTGGTCTGTTTTGTAGTGCAGGTAAATATTTTCTTGAGAATTACAGGCAGAAGAGAAGATGGGTTTCATGATTTGGCATCTCTGTTTCATGTAAGCATTTCAGAAGATAATGAGATTAGGGAATAACTAGTTGAGTTGAATATTTGGTATATTAATATTGTCTTTGTTTTGGTAATATATTGCAAGAATGGTATTATGAATCATGATAAGCCCTTTTGTCCTTTCAGGTAATTAGTCTAGGAGATAAAATAAAGTTCTCTCTATCACCATCAAAGTCAAAGGACTCTTTATCAACTAATGCTCCTGGTGTTCCTCTTGATGAAAGAAATTTGGTACAGGAATTATTTATGCTTACTGTTGGTCTCTAAAGATAATCATTATGTTATCACATATTGATTATTGCCACTTTCTTTTGCAGATAATAAAGGCGCTTAATCTTTACAGGAAAAAGACTGGAACAGACAAGCACTTTTGGGTAAAAATTTTGAAAGTGTACAGACAATATAACGATGTTTCCAATTTATCTTTTTTTCTGATTTTGAGATGTTAAATCGGCAGATTCATCTTGATAAGAAGGTACCTACTGGGGCTGGTCTTGGTGGTGGGAGCAGCAATGCTGCAACAGCCTTATGGGCAGCAAATCAATTTAGTGACGGTCTTGCCACTGAAAAGGATCTGCAAGAATGGTCGAGTGAGATTGGTTCTGATGTACCGTTTTTTTTCTCTCATGGAGCAGCCTACTGTACTGGTAGAGGCGAGGTATGTATTCGGACTACAAAATATATTGTAATTAGAGTGTACATTTGTTAGTCAAATTACTACTCAAAATTTACAAATCGAAAGTTATTTGACTTGTCCAGGTTGTTCAAGATATCTCATTCCCGACGCCCTTTGACATTCCAATGGTTCTCATTAAACCGCCAGAAGCATGCCCTACGGCTGAAGTTTACAAGGTGATGCTAATGAATTGACTAAACTACTTCGGAGTGGCTATATATGAAATTTCTATTTGAAGATCTAAAATGAGGTCTGATTTTGCAGCATCTTCAATTAGATAAAAGTAGTAAGGTTGACCCCTCAATCCTGCTCGAGAAGATTTTGAAGAATGGAGTTTCTCAAGATGTTTGTGTCAATGATTTAGGTAAAAAATGTTTAATAGCTCTTCTGACTTGGAAGGAAGTGAAGTAGTTTAAACATCAAGAAGCCAAAGAAGACAAAACCGAATGAAAATAAATATGGAGTATTAACTTTGATACAAAACCGTAATGTCTATGATTTGATATAGACGTTAAACTTTTAGCTTTACAGTGTAGTCAGTACCAGTTGTCTAGTTGAAATAATTTTCCCGACCGTTCTTTTGAATTACTTCTTATGATTATTGTAGAGCCTCCTGCATTTGAGGTCCTTCCGTCTCTGAGAAGATTAAAACAGCGTATAGCTGCTGCAAGCCGAGGGCAATATGATGCCATTTTCATGTCCGGAAGGTACACTCATCATTGCACGTGTTTTATATGTTAATTCCATATTATCTTCTGTAATTTCTTGAGCTTCGTGCATTCTTCCCTACCTGGTTTTGTAATTAAATTCACAAATCATGATGCAGTGGAAGTACTATAGTGGGGATTGGTTCACCAGATCCCCCACAGTTTCTGTATGATGAAGAAGAGTATAAGGAGGTCTTCTTGTCAGGTGAGGCACCAATACACTTTTCATCTGCTTGCTGTATGTCCAATATCAATATCGAATGACTCCATGTTTGTGAGACTGGCCTTATTTTCCTTGGTTTATGAATTTCCTTAGTTAATATTTAATCCTCCAATTAGGATCCTTTTGGAAACTTGGAAAATGTGTTAATATTTAATCCTCCAATTAGGATCCTTTTGGAAACTTGGAAAATGTTTTTCAAAAAACGAGTCATTTTCCAAAAAATTAATTTGGTTGAAGGTCAGAAAACTATCTTTTTCTGTTTGGATTTTTTTTTTTTTCATTTGGTAAGTGGAGGAGGTGGTGGTAGTGGTGGGGTGGTAATAATCCAGAAATTATCTTGAAGAGAGATGAGAGAGACATGAAAATAAATAATCCTGAAATACACAAACACAAGAAAATCCGTAAAATCGGAAGGTCATGTTTCGATTTTCCAAATGGACTCTTAGTATTGAATTGACATCTCTAAGTTAAGTAAGGCATTAAAGTTAAGGTTCCTACACTTTAAAGATTGTATGTAGTTGCTAAATATTAGTATGTTATGCATGGGCTTCATTCGGCTGTTACAAATGAAGATTGTTTAAGAATCTTTATTCCCTGAGCATTAGTGATGACCCCTTTATACCTTTCTGAATGCAGAAGCCAGCTTCATCACACGTGCACCTAATCAGTGGTATACAGAATCGGTTTCAGTCAATCCCTGCGACTCTCCTACAGAATTTTCTTAATGTTTGGTGTGTTTTTCCACACCCTTTGTTGTATGTGAGTTGATAAATGATAATAATAATAATAATTTCAAGTGTCATAATTAGCTCTATTGTGTTCATCTTGCTTTCTTGTCTTTTAGATGAGAGACATTTTCAATTCTTATTTTGAAGAGGCAACAGTTTGATAGAGCAGGGGAGTTAGAGCCTTAGAAGACGAATTATCATGAGACATAAAGAAAAAAATTGAAAGAGCATTGCAGGCTTTAACTCTTTTTCAACTGGGATTTGATCAGACGATCATAAACAGGGGCAAAAGCATATCATATTAAACAACACCAACATCAAATCCAAGCACATCTACTGTCTTTTTCTTTCTCCTTTTATTCAATCAAAGTTATCCCCATCCATCCCACCCTACAGTGTAGGAGAGGAAACAAATTGCCTGGGTAAACTAAAAAGATCTTTCTCTTCGAAAGGAGAAGTCCATTCGCGCGACCCACCAGCAGATGTTTCCACGGGAGCTATTCCATCCTGCAACCTAGGAATTGAAATACCATCCCCACCCGACAAAGTAGGTTTCATAGCAACCCTGGCCCCAAGTCCATTTGTAAATGAATTGAATGTATGGTGGTTGTTTTGCATAAGTGAGTTCATCGTTGTTGGCCATAGCCCTCCTGATATTGGTGAAGACGACCTACGATCCAGACTCCAGTCTATGTTGTTGTAATCTAGCTGTGGCATTGAATAACCACTGTTCCAGTCCACAGGAGATGATGAGCCTGATGGCCCATTGGTACCTAACCCAGAGAAGAGTCCAAGCGAGGAAGCTGCAGCAAGTGTCAGAGGCTGAGATGTACCTGTTCTACTCCACATACCGTTTCCCCTGCTTGTCCCTGGCGGTTCATGTGAGCCGCCATTGGTTGATACATATTGTTGTTGTTGCTGCTGATAATGAAGCTGGTTATATAATTGGTTTGTATTTGGGCTGCTAAGGTTCCTTACGCCTGGAACATGTGGCACCATCCCAGTGGACTTCATAGTTTCTACACCATTTGGGTACCATCCTCCAGCAGTCCCAGGTGGTGATGAACTCATGGTTGATGGTGGAAGCTGCTTTGCATTGATGGATTGGGGCCGTTGCATGACTATAACTGGTTCTCTTATGCTTCCTAGCTGTAAGTTCTTCAGTTCATTCTCAACAGCCACATACTGAGCTTCAGTCTTAGCTGGAGAAGGGGATGCTTGTGAAGAAGTAAAAGAATAAGCAGATGGATTTGATAGTGCACCCTGCCACCTTTTATCAGAAGACACAATTACTTGTGGTGGCTTGGCCCACTCCATTTTTGGTTGAACTCTTTTTAATGATTGTATACTTTTGCTCGCAGGATCTATAGAAGAATTTGCTGTTGCTGTGACTTTTGTATAATTGAAGTCCTTTTCATCCCTCTTCTGCTGTAGTATAGCAGCAGGAGATGTGTGTTTTACAGCAGCACTTATTGAGTTTTGACTAGCAGTGTTTGGGAACTTACCACTGCCCACAGTAGGAGGATCACCAGTTTCTTCTGTCTTTGATGGCACAGAAGTAGTTTCCAGCTTTTGTGCCTTCATAGTTTCTTCAGCCTTCTCAATATCGCCTTCACAGGCAACCACAACTCTTTCAACCTCCTGCTTGGAGCACTTGTACCTATTTTCCATGTCTGAAATGCGATTGATTTCTTCTGATATATCAATTTTCAAATTACCACCACCATCAATATCATGTTCTTTGTGCTCATCCGCTTCTTCACCTCCTTCAAACAGCCATGCCACTGATTCTTCTACTCTGCCTTCATTCTGAATAAGAGCCATTGTTGCTCGTTCTTGAGAGAATCCCATTGCAACGAGCTGTTGAGCAAGTGCTTCCAACTTCCTTGACATGAGATAGCTGCTGCACTTTTCATGCAGTTCTTGTGCTCGCCTCTCCTTTTGGCGCTGGTGCTTCCTTTCATTCTTTTGACGGATTTTTTCCCGCTTGTCACTATCAGCACCAGGTACTATCTCTTGCTTGAGAGGGAGATGTGCCATTTTCTCTTTGTGGTCTTCTGACTCACCAGACCAACTGCCATTGTTTGAGACGGAATCATACTCCACACCTGTGCCAAATGAGTTGCTATTCTGATCATCAGTCTCGTCTATGTTTTTGAAGCGGCCATTAACATGAATCGGGGCAGCAGCAGCAACAGTCACAGGAGCTGGGTCCAGCGCATGGAATGTTCCCAAGATAGGATTGTACCCACTAGTTGCGACCCCAGCACTTACATTGGCATGGCTTGAAGTCTTTGAGGATGCCTTTGGAGGTTCCTTCCCAACCTTTTTGTCCTTGGACTTAGATCTAGATGCAGGAGACATATTTGTTTTTCTAATTTCAAAACCTACAATCAGGAATGTAAATAAGTTTAGACGATGAATGCAATCAAATGCTGAAAAGGTTAATACAAATGTTTACACATTCTCAAGTCAATAGACCAAAGAAATTCAAAACATAGTATTTCCCAGCACCTCTGCCCATCATGGGGAAAGACCCACATTCTAAATCCATCTCTAATTAGAAATATTAATATGTATACCAATTCCACAAGAAGGAACCAAAACCAAGATGAGGAATGAAAGAGCTAGGAAATACAGGGTTGAATGAATAGCTTAATTCACACAAGAGGAAGAATGAGATACGAAAAATACAGGGCAGAATCAATATCTTAATAATTCACACATCTCCAGAGATTACAGATCTTTTCCACTCTCCTCTTTCCTCCACATATTTAAACTCACAGAGAATACAGAACATGAAAAAAAATACTTGAAAGACAAAAACATCTCCAGAAAGCTCCACCAATTTTCAACAAATGCAGCCACAGCCCAACCCGTCCAAATGTAATTTGAATGCCCTCTCCTCAGAAATGCAAATCGCAAAAAAATTCGATACAATTAAACATATATTCACACTAGTCAACGATCCTAGAGTAAGCTTGCGAGTAATTACGACTATTCTACATCGATCCGTTCACATAACTAAAACACAAACGCCCAGCATTTGACCAAACACCAATCCTGTGATGCAAACACATATACGCAGCAATTATCACTAATCATCAGGAGCTCAATTACACGCCCCGACGCAGATCACGAAACACCAATCCGCCCATCAATAATCCTCCAATTCCCCATCCGTAACCCGATTCCAACCTCAAGCTCAACACACACACACACACATTTCAATCCAAACATAAACACAGACGGAAAATTTCAATCAACCGGCAACCAGATACAGAACACAAACAGATGGGAGGGTGGCATACGTACCTTCAACAGAAGAGAAAGGGGCGGATCGGCCGAGGGGAATCGCCGAATCGGTGCGGTGGAGAAATGTAACGGTTGTATGCGGGAGAGATTGAGAGAGGGTGAGGGAGTGGAGGGAGAGATTGTATTGGATAGATAGAGAGAGAAAGCGAGCGAGCGAGAGCGAGAGAGAGAGAGAGGCTGAAATAAAACCGAATCGACGAAATTAGGGTTCTATGTCTATTTAGATGTGTGGGGGATTTTCTATTTTGATTTTATATGTGTGTATGTGTGTGTTGGATTGATTGACCGGAGCAAAATACTACGGACTAGCCATATTGGAACCAAAAGATCTTTACAAATTTTTTAAAAAAATGAGTGACTGTAGCTTGGTGGTGAAAATGGAAATGGTGAAAGTTTCAATTACATACTCAAATTTAAAGAAATTTGTTATTAAAATTTTTAGCAAGTTATTTATGTATCACTTTAATTATTTTCTTCTTTAAACCAACGGAGAGAATCTATAGTTACCTTCTTCTTTATAAGTTAATATATATTTTATACTTTTTTAATTTTTTTAGTCCAAATAATTAATATTTTACTACTGAGGTTTGATTCTATAACTACCCATTTAGAATGGTAAGAAATGTCATCACATTACATAATACATAATAGTTAACAAGTTAAATAAACAAAAACAATAATAATGATGGATTTAATTAACCCGGGATGGACCCGAATCAATAAATCCGGATAAGAACGTAACACGAATAATAAATAAAGAGTAAATACCAAAAATGGTCTCTCGACTATAGCTAAATTCACAAATTGGTCCTTGACTTTCAATTTCAACCAATTAAGTCCTTAACTTTGCAATTTTGACACGATTTGGTCCTCCATATATTTGACCGTTTGTTGACCGTGATCGACGATCTCCAGAAGAACCTTTAGCTCTCGTCAGAGCACGTGGAGGCCTCCAGGATGACGTTGCACCGGTTCGGAAACACGTCGTCTTCTTCGATCTGGTATGAACTCAACTACATTGAATCCAAAGGGAGGATTAAAAAAGGCAACCGGATTTGGTAGATTGCTTTCGGCAGTGGATTCGAATGTAACAGTGCGGTCTAGAAATGCAACCGGAATCTTAAAAAACCGACTATGGATCATGAAAGTACATATATATCCTCAAAAATCACAGTCAACAAACGCTCAAATAGACAGAGGACCAAATTGTGTTAAAATTACAAAGTTAAGGACTTAATTGGTTGAAATTGAAAGTCGAGGACCAATTTGTGAATTTAGCTATAGTTGAGGGACCATTTTGAGTATTTACTCATAAATAAATAATATAGAACGATGTCGTAAAAGCCGTGAGACCGTATATTATATTAAATGCCGTAGAATTGGCTATTACAAAGATTTGGTAAGACAAAGTACCCAGAATATGAATTAAGTTGTCCTAACAAGGTAAGGTGCGGGGTTTTTATATGCAACAAACCCCCAACCGCTCCCCCAAAAAAGGGGTGGTTAGATCACCCTTTGACCGGGGACCCAGGCAGACCCGGTCGGGTCGGGTCCCGAGCTCGTGTGGTGCCGAGCTCCCCTACCCGATCTCGCTATGGGCCGAGCTCGGGTAGGGTCGTGCTACCCGACCCAAGCCCCACGTCACTCGGCTCGGGTCGGGGTACCTCCAAGGTGCCGTGGGGCTGGGTGCTTTTGGGCTCCAATGTGATGCTCCGGGTCCGCGTTGCTACCCCAGATCGGATCGTGGGTATAATAAATCCATCAATAATAGTAATAATAATAATAGTAGTAATAGTAATAGTAATAGTAATAGTAATAGTAATAGTAATAATAATAATAATAATAATAATAATAATAACAACAACAACAACAACTATGGTGGTATGTTATGAGTTATGACTGCATTCTTTCCCTCTTTCTTTATCTCCAATTTGACGAAGAAGTTCATTCCTTGCCTCTAGGTTTAGAAAAAACGAAGGCTATAGAAATTGTCTATGACCTTGTTTGATAAAATAGTTTAGAAAAAATGAAGGCTATAGAAATTGTCTATGGTCTTGTTTGATAAAATAGTTAGCCTATCAGTTAATTTTGCGTGTTTGACCACTATTAGGTGTTTGACTTGGTTAAACAACCAATATAAGTGTTTGATTAACAGCTAATAATAAATATACCAAAACAAATAATAACCATTAGATCTAACAAAATCAACAGCCATAATTTGTCCTCACGTCCACACCTAAACAAATAATCCTCAATGAATATAAATCCTTAATTCCATGAAAACAAGGCTTTAGGTGAGGATGTGTGGTCTAATCCACACCATCCAATTAGAAATTTGCACGATCTGAATTTGGTTCCTAAAATCATTGGATTTAGATTTTAAAAACTGCCACAAAAATTGCTAAAAAAAATATACCATCCAAAAAATAATCACCATCAGATCTCACAAAATCAACAGTCACAAGTAAACCACACGTTCACACTTAAAGACATGTTCTCACCTGAATAGAAATATATATATATATATATATATATATATATATATATATATATATATATATGTGTGTGTGTGTGTGTGTGTGTGTGTGTGTGTGTGTGTGTGTGTGTGTGTGTGTGTGTGTGTGTGTGTGTGTGTGTGTGTGTGTGATCAAATGCGGTTGATGTGTCCAGGTAAAACATGAGGCTGAATGATAGGATTGATCTCGTCAAAATCAATTGTCCAAATTGAACACAAATTTTAAAAAATGCAGTGACAATTTGGTAATTTTGCATATTATTCAAACTTAAGGTGCATTTTTTTTTTTTGTTGAAACTTAAGGTGCGTCGTTTCAAAGCTTAAGGTGCGTTATTTTAACACTTAAGATGTGTCATTTTAACATCTAAGGTACGTCATTTATATACTTAAGATGCATAAGTTATACACTTAAAGTGCGTCATTTTAACACTTAAGGTGCATCATTTTAAAAACTGAAGGTGTGTCATTCACCTAAGAGCTCCTTCACACCTGATCTCTCCCATATATAGGGAGACCTTCAAGTAAGAACCCTTTATTAGGTAAGAACCTAAGAACTAATCCAAGCCATTTAAATTTGCTCAATCAATGGTTTAGATAAGTAATCATTTATATGTGGATCTTAAACTTAATTAATTAAAAAGGATATTAGTGTAATTTTATCCAGGTACCAATTATAAATTAATATTATATTTTGATTCTTTTCGAGATTTTAGGATGACAAGATAAAGAAGGAGACTAATTGGACTAAGATTCTGTGATCGACTCATCTAAGGCATGGAGAGAAAGACTGTCGTCCGACGATCTGGAGAATACGGTATGCGACGAAGGATAGCGGTAGCATTTATTTTTATCCCTACAAGCATGTGTGTATAGTACTTGGTAACATTCTTTTGTATCCCTAAAAGCCCGTGCTATTCAATTTAAATAACATTGAATATGTTTTATTCAATTTGAATAACATTCAATTTGAAGAACATTCATTTTAATGCATCGATCCATACTGCCGTGTGCCACCCAATCATTGGTAACTCAATTTATGTGTCAAGTTTGTTCACGATGAATAGTACAGTAAATCACTGAATAAACATAAAACAACTTGATTTAAGAAGGTAATGTGTGTATGAGTTAAACTGTGTGTGGCATGATGTGTAGAATAGATGTACGTATGAAGACGTAAAGCAGGTCGCTATGCACTTGGGTTAAATTGTGTGTGCCAATATGTGCAATAAATTGACAGAATTAGTTCACGAAAATCAGGATGATGTGATAGACTAGTATGTATACTTGGGTTACACCGTGTGTGCCATAATGTGCAGAATGAATGTGTCTATGAAAAGACAATAAACAAGTTGGTGTGCACTTAGGTTGAACTGTGTGTGCCATAATGTGCAAAAATACTGACATATTGACTTCACAAAAACCCTCGTGATATTATAGACTATGGTGTGCATTTTGGTTAAACTGGGTGTGCCTCAATGTGCAGAATAAGTGTGTGCATGAGAAGGAGTAAAGCAATTTGGTGTGCACTTAGCTTGAACTGTGTTTGTCATATTGTGCAATAACACTGTCATTATGAATACACGAAAACCAAGACGATGTGATAATTTAGGATGTGCACTTGGGTTAACGAGTGTGTGTCATTGCGTTGTTAAAAAATTTATATACGAAATATCACGAGCTTACGATGTGCCACACTGTATTTCACAATGTGCACATCGAAAGCGTCTAGCAAACAATACACCATACAGTACCACATAGAGTACACACCGATACACTGAACGGAATGTGTGCATGTACACGTATACGAATGTGCATTGCACCAATGCTACCAATACCCTACCAGTGTGCACATGGCTTGAATTGTGTGTGCCAAAATTTGTAATAATATTGACAAAAAGAATTCACGAAAATCAAGATGATGTGATAGACTAGTGTGTGCACCTATGTTACACCGCGTGTGCTATAATGTGCAGAATGAGTGTGTCTATGAAAAACCATAAAACAGGTTAGTGGCACTTGGGTTGAACTGTGTGTGCACTAATATACAAAACTACAGACAGAATAAATTGACAGGAACCAAGTTGATGTTATACACTACGTTGTGCACTTGGTTTAAATTGGATGTACTATAATGTGCAAAGTGAGTGTGTGTATGAAAGACATACAACAAGTTGGTGTGCACTTGGGTTGACATGTGTGTGCCATATTGTGCAATAATACTAACAGCATGAACAACGAAAGTCAGGTTGATGTGATAAATTAGGTTGAGCACTTGGGTTTACGAGTGGGTGCCAGGATGATTAAAAAAAAACTAATATACGAAAAATTGTTAAATTGCGATGTATCTCACTGTATTCATGGAACACCTGAGGAATAAATGTCAAACATCATAAATATAATACAGAAATGTTCCTAATGAACTAAACAGAAGCACTGAATAACTTGATCCAATGAGCACAGGTAGCTAGCATTGTCCAACAGCGTCATGGTATTCAACTGCGCTATGGATGATCTTCGAATGGTGCATGCAATGTTAAACTCAACCGACAAAATCTGACGCATATAAGTCATCCTCAACAAATTAAGACCCCTACTATCACCCTTTTGCAGCCCACAGTCCCATTCATTCACAGACTGCCTGAAGAAGCTAAGGTCTCCATGTGCCGCATCGCAAAGACGCCACAATCCTCTTTGATACGTGCATCGTGTCAACGCATCTGCATCCTTCTAAGAACAAGCTTTGGTACGATAGCCCCACACTAATTAACAACCACGTCATCAAGGAACACATATAACAAATCTTTTGCCAAAGGGCGTACACCGATGGAAAATATTTGGAATTGAATGAACACCAAAATCAAACACAACGGAAAAAATGTATGAAAAGATGGAACACAACTTGTTGTGCTCCTACATAGAATTGTGTGTGCCAAAATGTCCAATAATACTGCCTGAATGAATAAACAAGAATCAGGTTGACGTGATAGTCTATAGTGTGCACTTTGGTATAATTGTGTGTGCTATAACGTGCAGAATTAATGCATGTTCAAAAAAACGTAAAATAAGTTGGTGTGCACTTGGGATGAACTGTGTGAATGAATACACAAAAAATATAAAAAAACAAAGGACATATATGCACACACAAATGTGCATATATGCATAACAAAACAGAGAAAAAACACAACAAATCACAGATATACGCACACACAAATGTGCACAACTGCACACCCCTAACACTAGCCAACCTAAAAAGCTACATATTACTACGTAACAGATATATTGCTATACTAACTTTCACTAGTGATAATATATGCAAATTTTGTTTTAGCTATGCATATTTAATTATTTTTTGAAGTAATAAGAATAATGAAGGAGATTTGGATTGTCGAAGAGATTAAATTCTTGAAGTTTCAGTTTTGTATTACCAGAAAGGTGTGGGGAATTCCCTAAACCTGTTGCAAAAAACTATCTTATGATTAGGGATCAAACAACTAAACCAATGCTCAGAGAAAAATCACAACTCCGGATATTGAAATCACAGAGATCGATAACAAAGGTACTATTATTCTTCATAGACTAAGTTATCCAGCATGCATTGAAAAACGAAGGTTCACTTTACGGAATTCTTCACTGCCAAGATAAACATAAATTATACACAATTTAAAATTAGTCTAGTTCACACATTAAGTTCCACAATCCATATCACTGAATTCTAGAAATTTCAAATTAGAATGAGATAAAAAAAAAAAAAAAAAAAAAAAAAAAAAGACCGAAATGCAAAGATGCATGCAAAGATGCTCGTTTTTTTTTTTTTTTTTTTTTTTTTTTTTTTTGGAAGATGGTTTGAGATTTTGGCAGCTTGAGGAAGACGAAGCACAGTGAGAATGGAGGCAAAGCAAAAAAGGGAGAAGCAAAAGCTCATTGCTATCACCGGCGCCGCTGCTCCTCTCGCCGTCGCCGTCAACTTCGCCGTCATTGCTTTCAACTCTCAGAAGAGGAATCGCAAGAGAAAAGATATACCAAGCTTTGGGACGGGAACATAGTCCAACCTACGACTCACAACTTCAGACTGCGAAGGATAAGCGAGAAGAACGCACCTTCCATCTACGTACACCACCCAAAAACCTAAAATACCCTTGTTTGCCTAAAATATAACCAGAACAACGAAAAAACCCATTTAGAAAAGATTAAACATGAACCGTTAATTAAATAAAATAAAAAACTCAGATTAGTTCCTAGGTTCCTACCTAAACATTGGTTCTTATATGATTGTAATTATATATATATATATATATATATATATATATATATATATATATGAATGAGGTACCTCTCCGTCGAGAGGAGGGAGTTCGTCAAAAAGGAGGTCGACACCCTTCTGGAGATCGGTCATGTCAGGGAGGTCCTATACCCCACTTGACTATCAAACGTGGTCCTCGCCCCAAAGCCACCCACCTGGAGGATGTGCGTGGACTACATCGACCTTAACAAGGCCTGTCCTATGGACCCATTTTCTTTCCCGAACATCGACCAATTGGTGGACGAGACCGCATGTTGTGCCCTCATGAGCTTCCTAGATACGTTCAGGGGGTACTACCAGATTTTCATGGAGGAGGCCGACGAGGAGAAGACAGCCTTCACCACACCAGAGGGGGGTCTACTGCTACAAAGTCATGGTCTTCGGGCTAAAAAATTTAGGTGCCACCTACACCCGGATGGTGGCCAAGGTGTTCAAACAGGTCCTCGGCCGCAACCTGCAGGCATACGTCGACGGCATGATTGTTAAGAGCACCGAGGCTGACCTCCACACGGACAACCTGACCGAGGTATTTTCAATAATGACGCGTTTCAATTTGCGATTGAACCCCAAAAAGTGCACCTTCGGGGTGCACGGGGGGGAATTCTTGGGGTACATGGTCTCAAAGAGAGGCATTGAGCCCAACCCCGACAAGATCAAGGCCATCCTGGACATGGAACCTCCGAGGTCCCTCCGGGAGGTCCAGCGCCTCAATAGGCGGTTGGCGGCCCTGGGCCGTTTCCTTTCGAAGTCGGCCGAAAAATCTCTACCATTTTTTGGAGTCCTCAAGAAGACCAAAGGTATCTGGGCATCTCGCAGGCCGCGGTCAACTCCGTGCTGGTCCCGGACGACGAAGGGGTCCAGCGGCCCGTCTACTACACGAGCCGTGCTCTATGGGGGGCGGAAATCAGGTACACACCCGTTGAAAAGGCCATCTTCGCAGTAGATGTCACGGCAAAGAAGCTGAACCACTACTTCCAGGTAGGGATGACAATGTCCATAAAATCATCCGAGATGACATAGTCCAAACGGGGTCCTCCAAAACCTCACCGATTTGGATAATACATAAATATATCTCTCATGCATCAGTCTCATGCATGCAACAACTCTACAACTTCTCAATGCATCAAAGAATGATATACCACATGCTTATGGCTTTTTGAAAGTAATACTTGGGCTCACGTTGGCCCCTTATGCATTTTTGAAATATGATATATGTGAGATGAAAAATACTCTACAACATGCTTCTAAACCATGTATAAAATCCATAAAATTCTCAAGGATACCACATCATACTCGGTTTGCAACATAGCAAATTCTATACATTTCTATCACCAAAATATGCTTCAAATCTCATTGATCAAATATCACATTTTAGTCATGCTTTCATAATAAATCATATTCTCAAGTGATCATGCTTCTCTACTCAATACAAAAATAACATCAGATCACAGAGCCAAGCATTTCTCATACAGAGTGAACTTAACAATTTATACTGTGTAACAATTTCTTCAATAAATCCATCATAACATACTCATTTTTATCCAAATTCAACAAAATCAAAACCAAAACGTGCGTCGAGACGTCCCGAGGTACCGAGCCACAAGGGCCTGTGACACCTGGTCTGAAACGACACGTAGCTGAGCCACAAGGGCCCGACCACTGCACAAAATCCTCGCAGAATGAAACTCAGGGACCTGAGGCGGGACTCCTCATGAGCCGCCCCAAGTAAGCTGTCACTTGGCCGGGCCTAGGCAACGGCCCTCTCCTAGGGCCGTGCCCTAGGCCCGGTTGGCCCCGGCTCTACCCGGCAGCCCTCCTGATGGGCCGCGGCTAAGGCCGTTGCTCTAATCTGGTGCACACAATATTTTCATATGAAAAATTTGATCCAAGCATGTCCAAAACATCCAAAACATTCTCAACGCTTCAAATACAAATACTATATCACTTCCAAGCTTAAACACAACAAAATCTCATCATTTCTACTCAATAAAATAGGCTTCACAGAGCCAAAATCAAAGAGGGAGTCCATGGGGTTATACCTCGTGTTGCCTCTTCTTGTTGTATGGATTTCTACCTCCTCTCTAGTCAAACACTACCTCCTTCACCACATAAACATCTCAAACAACAAACACAAGATAAGACTAAGAAACCTCAGAGATTGAAGCCTAAGAGAAGAGGAAACCTTAAGATAGGATGGAAAATGGATGGAGGAAATGAATGTTGAAAACTTACTGCAATGTTTCTTTCTTCTATCATACAAGAGCTTGGGAGAGGCAAGGATGGAGATCAAGGAATAACAAATGGATAGTGTTGTTTATATAGGGTGCAAAACCCTAGGTAAAAATGCCAATGATTGGTTGAGGGCAAAATGGTAAAAAACTTGGCTAGAATATGTTCTCAGGCAATGTTTCTTGGAGTGGTATGGTCCACCTAGCATCATGGACCAAGGGCTAGAAATGCTATTTTAAATACTTTGGGGTTGAAAATGAAATTTCTCAAAAAGTTTGCTAGATGAACACTTGTTTAAAGCTTCTTTGAATTCTCCCGGTTTCACTCAGATTGATTTCTCGATTTAAAACTTGGTACGCGAAGTACTCGAAAATTTAGGATTTTTGGAATAAAATAAGTTTTGGTGTTGTATTAATTTAAAATGAGTCCAAAATAATTTATTCAAACACCAATTGATCGCAAAAATTTTTAATGGAGTGAAAATGGCTATTTTGAAATTTCTTAAAATTGGATTTATATAAAAAAAAAAATGTTGGGTTGTTACACGCAGTGCTGAGGGCCTCGGGGTCGGCCAGCAGGTTGGTTAGGTGAGTCATGCGGCTAATCCAGTTCGACATCCAATTCAAGCCCAGACCCACTATCAAGGGGCAAGCACTGGTTGACTTTATAGTTGAGTGTACCGCCGGGAAAGCCACGAAGCGAGTCCGAGACGAAGATGAGGAGTGGTGGAACCTTTCAACGGACGGGTTCTCCAGCACCAAAGGCTTCAGGGTAGGAGTCGTCCTCATAGCCCCCGAAGGGTTCCGGGCTTACTACGCCCTCCGCTTCGCATTCAAATTATCCAATAACGAAGCCGAGTATGAGGCGCTCCTGGGAGGGCCCCGTCTCGCGCTAAACTTGAGGGTCGAGAAGCTCAAAATCCGATGTGACTCTAGGCTCGTGGTGGGACAGGTCACAGGTGAGTTTGAAGCAAGTGATGAAAGAATGAGGAGGTACAGGGACGTGGTGCTCCAACTGTTGGGGCAGTTGATCAATTACGAGGTCCTACAGGTGCCCTGAGACCAGAACACGAATGCCGACATGTTGTCCAAGCTCACCCAAGGGTCCCCGGAGCATATTTCAAAAATAGCCCGAATTGAAGATTTCAAGAGGTCGAGCCTGGACGCCTACCCGGTCCTACCTGTACAGACCCGACATCCCTGTTGGTTGGATCACCTCAAGGAGTACAAGAAGACAGGTGCACTACCTCCCGATGAGGTCGACGCCAAACTGGTGAAACGACGAGCCCCCACGTACGTGATCATGGGGGACACACTTTACAAGAGGTCCTACAACGGCGCCTTGCTGCGCTGCCTGTACCCAGACGAGGCCAGGTCAGTCATGGAGGAGATCCACGAAGGGACCTGTTCCGCCCATCAGGGGGCCTTCACCATGTCCTGGACAGCCATCTTGCAGGGGTACTTTTGGCCCAAAATGGCCAAGGAATGCACCGACTACGCCAGGAGCTGCGAGATCTGCCAACACTTCCAGGTCGGTCCTGGCCGACCCGCCACGAGTTACACCTCCATTAGCTCGATCATCCCCTTCTCCAGGTGGGGGGGTGGACCTAGTCGGAGCTCTGCCCATGGGGTTGGGAAAAAGGAAGTACATCATAGTTGCGGTTGACTACTTTACCAAATGTGTGGAGGCAGAGCCGCTAGCAACCATAACAAGCGCCTGTTGCAAGCAGTTCGTATATACAAATATTTTGTGCCGCTTTGGGGTCCCAATGCAGCTCATCACTGACAACGGACACCAGTTTGAGGGGCAAGAATTCGAGAGGTTTTGTGCAGAGTGGCACATTACCCATAGCTGAGTGGCCATGTGCTACCCGCAAGCAAATGGGCAGGTAGAGAACGTTAACCGCACCATAGTGGATGGCCTGAAGAAGAAGCTCGAGTCAACGAGGGGAGCCTAGGTAGAAGAGCTTGATGCCATCCTATGGGCTATCGCACCACCCTCGGAGAGCCACAGGAGAAACACCCTTTTCCTTAGCTTATGGTTTCGAAGCTCGAGCTCCAGCAGAGGTGGCCATACCTTCCCGACTAGAGGAGGACTACGACCCCGACACGAACGAGGAGCACAATAGAGCCGACCTTCACCTGGTCGACGATCGGCGTGAGGCGGCAGCGATTCGAGCTGAAAATTACCAAAGACAGACCAAGACATACCATGATAGGCGGGTCCGACCCCGCTATTTTCAAGTGGGAGATTATGTGCTCAGGAGGAGAGAGGCGAGCCAGTCCTAATACGGAGGAAAGCTTGCAGCGAACTGGGAGGATCTATACATTGTGGTAGCTGTAATCCGCTCAGGTAGCTACAAGCTCAAGACCCCCAAAGGGTAGATGATAGCTAGAGTGTGAAACTCAGAGCATTTGCTGAAATATTACTAGTAGCCCCATCACGTGAGAGGTGGGCCTTGACGTTGCTGTTTTAGGAGGAAGACCGTTCCCTTCACCCAATAATATCTATTGATGGCAAAGAGCAAAATAAATTTCTTGTTACAAAGTATGGTTTCCATTTATTTCCCATTTATTCCCCAAACACACCCTAAGGGGCACGAGGTCCGACGCATACCAAACCCGACGGAGGAGCTCGGTGGCATAGTCCAGGAGGACTATGCCCAAGCGGCTAACGCGCACCCTAAGGGGGCACGAGGTCCAACCTCGCGTACCAACCCCGACGGAGGAGCCCGGTGGCTTGGTCCGACAGGACTTGGCTCAAGCGGCTAGCGCACCCTAAGGGGCACGAGGTCCGACCTCGCGTACCAACCCCGACGGAAGAGCCCGAATGCATAGTCTCATGGGACTTGACTAAGGAGGCTAACACAAGGCAATAAAAAAAAAAAAAAAAAAAAGTGAGGCCTAACGTACCTCGACACAATACCGAGGTGCACCATAGTACCACCTCGGCACGCTGCCGATGGAGGCCCGTTTTAGGCACCTCGGCACATTGCCGAGGTGGATCATGGTGGTACCTCGGCAATGTGCCGAGGCCCATCATTGTGCACCTCGGCACGCTGCCGAGCATTACCTCGACAGTGTGCCGAGGTCTATCTTTTTGCACCTCGGCACGCTGCCGAGGTGCATCGCAGTGGCACCTCGGCAACTGCCGAGGCCTAGTACCTCGGCGATCGCCAAGGGCTTAAAAAAAAAATTACATGACAAGGAAAGGTGTGAAACACCAAGCTATCAAAACAAAATAGCCAATTATTCATTCAAAATATCCAAAAAGCATTCGAGTTTAGTACATAGCAAAAGTAGGAACAAGTTTTGCTACCTAAGCAATCAAAACATCAAGTCGGCGCATAGCAAAAAGAAGAACAAAACAGGAGATCAAAGCAAGTCTAGGCATTCAAGTCTGGGCCGTCAGTGGCAACATCGTGAGCAGTGACCTCCGCAGCGTACTCCTCCAATGTCCCGGGAAACTGAAGATCCGCCAAGGTGGGAGAGATAGAGCCGGCGGGAAGGGGGTTCGCCGTAACGGACCGATCAAAGGCGGCCAAGTCTAAGGGCTCCTCTCGCGTGTTGTTACCGCCCGACGACACATGGGAGTCAAGGGCGGCCAGCTCGGGGTTGGACTCCATCTCCGGCAGACCTCTATTCACCGGGTCAAAAGAGCTGTCCTGCTGACGAAGGATGGTGTATATCTTGTCTTGCATACGGAACCGGCCCATCTCATAAGCCGCCAAGCTCTCGACGGCCACCCGGTGACGACCCTCGTCCGAGGCAAGCCACTCCTCCACCAGCTCCGCCTTGTGATCACGAGCATAGGACATCGCCTTGATCTTGAAATCATCGGACTCCAGAAAAGTAAGGACGACACGGGAGAGCTCCCCACGCGTCTTCTCCAGCTCCCCACGCATTTTCTCTAGCTCGAGGCGGTGGGACCGCCTCGACGCCTCCAGTGCCTGGGTAAGCGCGCCCACCTGCGCCCTGGTAGCGTCGTAAGTATCGGCGAGAGCAACCCAGCGCTGAACAGCCTGAAAAAGGAAGAGGTGAGGCAAGTATTCTCAAACCCGGCACACAAAATTCAAACAAGAGACTCTACCTCTAAGGCATGAGTAGCAGCATCCTCCACCCGAAAGAACTCCGCGCCAGGAGCTAAGGTCACAGGCTGGAGCACCGCGCGAGCTTGGGCGGCGTCCAAGCAGCTGCGCGCGGGACTCGTGCGCGGTGGAGGTGGGGGTGGCCGAGGGGCACCAAGAGAAACGGGACCCGAGCCGGATGGGGCCGCTTCGCGACTCGCACGCTGCCCGACTGTGGAAGCTCGGGTGGCACAACTCGTACCCCGGGCCGTGGTCCTGCGCCTCTTGGACTCACGCAGCTCCTCCAACAAATCTCCCAGACTGGCCATGGTATCTGCTCCACCTGTCAACAATCACACAAAATAGTCATATGAGGTACCTTTTACTCAAACCAAAAAAAAAAAAAAAAAAAAAAAAACAAGGAATGACGAGTATAGACCTCCAGGAACGGCGATGGAGAGTGCTAGCTCGCTCTCGGACAAAGACGCCGGAGAATCCACATGAGAAGGCGCGATCGTGGTCGAGCTACGAGGGTCGACCTCGGGGTCGGGAGCACGAAGAAACTCGAAAGCAAGCTCCCCGAGTCCTCCTCGACCTCGGTCTTCGTGTCCACCGAGATGGGCTCTGGGCCGGGGTCGGGGGCGTCATCACGGCTGCTCGGGGGCGGGGGTGGAAGCAAGGTACTCGGGGTGAAGCCTAAACGTACCATGTTCTCCTCGGTCAACATGGGTACTATATAAATATGGGGGCCCGGGTGGCGAAAAGCATAAACATCCCTCCTCATAATCTCACTTTCCCGGGGGTCACGTGCTTCCGAAACCGGGTGTTCCACGAAAACGCGAAGGGTAGCTCGGGGCCCACGGAGTCATAGACAAACGAGGACTTCCATTGGTGGTTAGACGATTGAATGTCTTGGAAGATTTTCATGTGTGGGCGAGCCGAGAAGGCCACCCAGCCTTTACTTGCTTAACCAAAAAAGACGGTGACGTGGAAGAGGAAGTTGAACAAATCAAGGTATGGCTCGACATGGATCTCTTGGCACCTAAGGAGGAAGACCAAGACCACGTAGTGGGAGTTTGGGACCAACTGACCCGGACCGATCTCATAAAAATTGAGTAGGTCCACCACGAAGGGATGGAGAAGAAACCGGAACCCATTCAACAAAGACAGGACGTGAATGCCAAAGTGGTGACCACTCGGGGGCTCCGTGACATTGTCACTAGGCAAAGGCTCCGCCAGCTCGGCACCCGACTCCACAGTTTTCCTAGCCTTCTCCCACTGGTGAGGTGAGAGGTCGGCGAAGGTGGTACGAGGGGTGTCCTACCCCAGGTCGGTATACTCTACCGGGTCAGGGTCGGCAATTCGGAGAGGATGGCCAGGCCCGGGAAGCGCATGGAGCTCAGTATCCTCATTTCCGGGGGAAGGGAATTCGTCGGCAGAGTTGGGGTCACCTATACCGACCTCACTGTCACTTATGGAATCTAGCACGTTGAGATTAAAGCTTATAGACATGCGAAAAATAAGACAACAACAGGGGGACGTGCGTGCACCCTGTAAGGTCGGCCGGACGGGGGCAGTAGCTCGGTCGGACGGTGGCGGGTCCGTCGCCGAAGGCGACTGGCCGGACGACGACGGCAGCTCGGTCGCGGATGGAGGAGCACAGCCGGAATCTTAAAAAAAAAGAATATATATATATATATATATATATATATATATATATATATATATATATATATATATATATATATATATATATCGGGCAAGGGAAGGAGAAGGAGAAGGAAATACTAACCAAGGAAATACTAACCAACCGCGAAATCGACCACAAAACCGAAACTTGATTTGGAAACCCGGGAGAGCACTTGTGACTTGGAAGAAATTTGAGAGGATTTTTGGTGGTGAGAGTGAGGGTGGTGGCCGAAATTGCGGAGGGGGAGAGGAATAAATAGAGTGTTGGGGAGGGGGAGGGGGAGGGGGGGAAGAAGAAGTGGGGGAAAAGGGTTGACCAAAATTTGAAATTCAAAGAGGGAGTTGGGAAGAGAGAAAGTTTGGTGATGTGAGGAAGATTTGTTGGGATTTGATTTGGTGGGATTTAATGTGGGGGGATTTTCAAGGCTTTTATAGGGAAGTGTTGCACTTTTGTAGGGATTCTAGTTCATCTGAAGAAAATTTTGCGGGAAAGAATTTTATTTGCGATAAAATTCTTGAAGAGGTCGGCTAAATCTTTGAGCTCGGGAAATTTTCACCTAGAATTCGGGTCGACGTACGGGTACTCTCACCGTTGACTTCCTCTCGCAACGAAGAGAGTGGGGGACTCATGACGGATATATATATTATACATACGACACGACCCGGGGTAGCAGCGCGGACCCGGAGCATCAAGGTGGAGCCCGAGACACCTCAGCACAAAACACCTTGACCCAAGGCACCTCGGAGGTGCCCCGACCCGAGCCACGTGGTGGTGGGCTCGAGTCGGGTAGCTCGACCTTACCCGAGCTCGGGCCATAATGAGCTCGGGTAAGGGAGCTCAGTACTACCCGAGCTCAATGGACATGACTCGACCCGGTCTTGTTCGGGCCCGGTCAACGTGGTGATCTAACCGCCCCCGGTTTAGGGGGAGCGGTTGGGGAGTTTGTTCATATAAACCCCCCCCCCCCCCCCCCCACCTCATTTTGTTAAGACACATTTTATATATTCTATACACTTTGTCCTAAAAATCATTATAATAGCCTATTCACAGCATTTAATACAGATCACGGTCTCCACGACCTTTGCGACATCGTTTCGTTTATTTATTTATTATCTATATTACATTCTTATCCGGATTTATTGATTCAGGTCCATCCCGGGTGAATTAAATCCATCACTATTCTAATTTAAATTCAAGACAAACAAATAATAAAGACACAAAATATTGATATCGTAGTTGAAGAACACCCCACGCCCAAAACTTTTTACTATATATCAACCTTCTATTTTTACTATTACAAAGTTAAATGATTTACTAAACTATGTCTACCACCTATTTAAATACTAACCTTGTAAAACAACTCTTTAAAACAATTTACAACTCTAAGATAGAATTTGAGCTAATCTCTTCAACTACACAAATTGTATAGCAACTTGAATTTTCAAGACTGGTTGTACTGTAAACTTGACTGGAGCAACTTCTCTGAGTAATACTCCTTTCTGACTCTTGTATGAATAACCTTACACAACCACTTTATATAGCTATTTGGACACTATGTTCCTTTCTTCCTTCCTTTATGTATGTGATGAATATTTTGCTACAAGTTTGTTGAGAGAATACTGTTAGTTCAGACATCTTATTTGTGAAGGATTCAATCACCCTATAATTTTGCTCCATAATTCTAACTTCTAAGAGTTCTATTTATACAAAAATAGTGTGATCCAGCATATGCCAATATACAAAATAAAAGAATACATCAATTTACAAAATAAATTTCATACTAACAATAACTTTCTCTCATACTTGATAATCTGATATATAGTCAGATATATTTAACATGATTAGTAGATAAATGTGAAATTAATTTTTAAGTGTACACACAAAATTAACTATACAATAATTGTTAATTTGGACTTTGATTATCAATTCATCCAAAATGGTCGTGAATAGCTCGATCTAGGTATTGTGATATTTGAATTTACCTCAATTCATACACATCAAGTTTGAACTTAGAATGTATGCTTATACCTCCTCTAAAAGGAACTACCATAAATCCTACTTGTCTTGTCTCGGACTGTCCGAGATCCTTACCATGAATTCTTCTCCTAAAAGGTTGAATCCCCAACCCAAGGGCCCCCACACCCCGGCCCAACAGAGCATTTGGGAGGATGTAAATCACGGTGACTCAATGACTAGCAGACAGCCAACCGGGCCAAATACCGATGCACACAAGGAATTTGTCCACTTTGACCATAATCCTCACACGGCCACCCCGAGGTTCTAACCTCTTCTTCCAAATATTGCATACTGAGCCATTGAACTAAGCCCGTGTGGGCACCTTACCATGAATCCTACTCAACTTGATAGTTTATACAAGCACAAAGAAAACAAGAGACTCATACTTGATAAACACACAATTAACATTCATTAATAATCATAGCACATACATACAGGCTTTAGGATGTGTTGAGAGTATAACAGTAGATCAGACTTTATTTTTTGCAAGTACTACTACAGAGAAGTTGATTAGCAGTGGCATTGGTTTAGGCATTACCAACGAGATTGAACTCTTGCACTTCCTTGAAGTTCTCCCATGGCTTCTCCCACACCTTAGCTTCATACACCTTTTTCTGACCCCCATGGGCTGCCTCCAGCGTAATATAATGCATTGTCCCAGCAACCACCTGCTGTTTCACATTCACAACCTTCCCAAACTCCAAATTCGCATTCTGTTCACACCATATTCTAACTTCAGTTCTTAGATAGAAGGGAAATAATGACTTTTAACATGAACGAGGGGATATCTCAATTCTCAAGCAGAAATTCATATGTTCATAGCTTTATACACACGGGCAGTGAGCATCCAATGGATTCAGACGCTGAATCAAGCGCCAAAATCATGTATAGAGAACCGTAAATAGATAGATTGAACGAACGATCCAGGAGTTCGGTTTACGATTACTCTGGTTCAGGATATGAATTAAAATGGAATGATTACGAGTTAACGAACGTAGAATCATACTGATACATCAGATTCACGGGAAGACCGCAATTAATTAGCTAAAAATTGAGAGAGAGAGAGAGAGAGAGAGAGAGAGAGAGAGCGGACCGCTTTCTTATTATGTTCAGAGATGGCGAAGCGAGCGAGATTATCAAATTCGATGCTGTTTTGGAATCCCTTGACTTCGGAAACGCTTCCGGTCATCGCCATAGCTTTGCAAGAAAAATCGCGGCGAAGTGTGTGCTTTCTACGGTGTCTGCGTCGGAGCTGGAGTAGAGAGAGAGTGTGTGAATGGGGTTAAATAGCGAAATGGACGTAGGGCACTCGCTTATCGCAATCTGCGACGAATCCCGTGGCCAGTGGGCGTTAACATCGCGTTTGGGGAATCGCTTCTTCTTGACATTTTCGGCCTTTCGGGTTGCCCTTTATTCGATTTCGGATTCTTTTTGTTTTCTTCTTCCCCTAAAATGTTGAATTCTCAACTCGCAAAGGTCTCTATGCACGGGGCCGACAAAGTTTATGAAAAGAAAAAATCATGGTAATCTAGTGACTCAGCAGGCAGGGTCAAATGTTGTGGCACTATGGTTGTAAAAATCGCGCCCAGGCGCCCGCCGGTCGCCGCGAGGAAGGCCGGAATCGGCCTCCTCCGCGGTCGGCCGGCTAAACCGGCGTTCAATTTTTTTTTATTTTTTTTTGCGTTGTAAAGTGTGAAATTTTTGGGAAAGCATAACTTTTGACTCGGTTGTCCGTTTTGGACAATTTTTTTAAAAAATAGCGTATTTTTTTTTATTACTTGTGGACTCAGTACTTTCACCCTCTTGAGACTCGGCTTGCGGTCCTTCCTCCATTGCCCGCTTCCTGGTTCGTCGACTCTGAGTCTTGGTCTTCCTCGAACGTGTTGTCCTTTCTTTGGCGACCCCCATGTCCTGTCGACTGGGCGCTTTTTCACCCAGTCGCTCTCGCGCGGGGCGTCGAGCGGCGTCCGGGCCTAACCTCGAATGCACGGACTGAACCAGCCAACTGTCGTGCCTTTAGCCTCTGCCATCGCGTTCTGAAGGTTGGACTTGATCCTGCTGTGGCGCGCGGGGCGACTGAGAGCTTGACGGGGCCCTTCTCCCTTGTGTCTGTGCTACTACTTCCCGAGCGATGGCATCGATCTGTGCGGGCGTAAGTGGCATCATGGGCGGTGGTGGCGGTCGAGGCGCCGAGTCATTCTCCTGCCCTCGCGAACTCCGCTGACTCAGCTGTTCTCGTAAATCCACCCCTGCGTTTCATGCACTGTGATTTCCAGAGGCATGACTTTGTTCTCCTGCCATGTCTTCCGACCTTCCGTCCCTTTGTGAATTTCCTCCACTGGACGCTTTCCGAATTCGCTCAGACAAAGAGGTAAACGCGACTTTTTGTCACGTCCCCACAGACGGTGCCAATGTTGGTTTTAGGATTTTTGGGCCCAAAGAGTTCCAACACAACCGTAGTTGGTGGATTCACCGTAAATATAAAGCTACTAAAAGAGAGATAATCACTATGAATCTGGTACTTTTATTTACACTTTCGGGCGACTCTTTGCCAGGAAGCTTGCCCCTTACATTCTTAAAGGGGGCCTATTTATAAGTAGCTTCCCTCACTAGTTTAAATATGGATAATAAAGTGGTTTAATGGTGCCCATTAAGGCTAAGGGTCGTTGGGCTGCCGTTACTAGGCCTTTCCAACGACCTGGTTGACCATGCATTAAAGGCGACCCTTTAATGATAACGGTCACCTACTGGGCCGATCCCTGTCCATGCCGACCGTCTGCCCGCGCCGACTCCTCGAACTCGGCCCCTCGCTTGGCCGCATCCTTCTCTGGACCTGCTCATGGCTCATGATGCTTATTCCCTTCACTCCTTCTTCAAGGCCAATTTCTGTGGGCTCAATCTTCAACCCATCTTCTCTTTTCCCTCTCAAGCCCTAAGCCCATTGAGTCCATACTCCATTAAGTATAAAACACTACTTAATTTGTTTGAGTACACATCTTTTATGAAATATATTTTTTCTAATGATGGGTTTTAGTGTTCACTTTACCAGAAGAAGAAAAAGATATTAATTAAGGTAAAATTAAATTAAATGAATATTTTATAAATAAAATAAAAACTAAATTTATAAAAATGACGACATTGGAGTTAAAACTTACAAAATTAATAGGAATAAAAACCATTTTGTTACAAAAACCTAAACTGTATGCCCAGCGGGTCAAGCTAAGAAATAATTAACATTTTGAAGGATTGCATCGACTAGGAATAATTTGCCGTTATGTCGTTCAATTCGTAGACTTTATTCAATATAAATATCATATTGCCATCCATCTGGGGGACTAACTATGACTATGTGAGAGGGACATAAGAACTTCTCAATCATTGAGTTCTAAGTCGTAATCCCCCTATACTCCAGTTATATGAAACGGTAATTAATTAAACTATTCCCTATGAATTGTAAATGTTTAGGATTAATTTAGCGTAAACTAACAAATTTAATGTATCAAAAAGAAATTATCACTTGATAAGTGACAAGATACAATAGTTATTGCATGAACCACTTTCAAAAAATGACATCTTTTTGCATAAATTTTTTTTTTTCACGCGATCCATTGTAACATATATTTTTATAACTCATAATGTACATTATTCGAAAGTATAATGTATATGATTATAATTTCTAACTCATAAAGTACATTATTTTACCCCAAAAGTTTCATTGTTTTAACACATAATGTTTATTATTTTAACACATACAATACATTATTCTAACTTATAAAATCTAATGAGATTGTTTTGGACTGTAGATAACTACGTGGACCGTGATTTGCTGACAAGAAAACCCACCTACTCAAGTTGGATCTTTCACTTTCAACTACTTTGGGCCAAAATCCCTATCATATTGGCAAATTATACAGAATTTTATAATTGAAAATTCTCATGTTTCGAATGTACAGAATTATATAATAGAATATACAAAATTTTATACTTGAAATTAACAAAAGGACGTCATTTTAGGAGGCGCGAGGTGCACATTGCTATGTGCGTCCTGGTGCACATTGCTATGTGCACCCTGGTGCACGGTATAACGGTAGTATCATATTTGTATCGTTGGCATCATGCGGCAATTGATGTGGCGGATTATACTCCTCACAGTCGCCACTGGTTAAGCTCTGGACACGTCCTAACTCCATCTCTACTCATTCCCAAATTTCACGTTAAGAGACAGATTTGTTACTTTCTAATCACTTAAATTTTTAGAAAAATAAATATATGAATATATTCATTGAGAGTAAAATATAAAAAATAATTTCTCCTCTATTTAAATTCTTCTCCGGAAACAATTGAATCTCCAACCCCAAAGAATCTTGCTCCTCAATTAACAGAACATTTAAAATGATGTAAATCACCGCGACTTAATGATTTAACAGACCAAGCTAAGTTAACACAAGAAATCTGTCCATTTTAAGTATAATTCGTCGTCAAAATTTAAACATTAGTCACTTCTATCAAATATTGTCTACTTAAATATACTATTGAGCTAATGGCAAATCTCTATTTAAATTGTGATTAAGTTCATGGCTATCAAACGCAATCAAATTGAAACAGAACACTGGATAAGAAACAATGGCTTCACCCCAATCCGACGTCTTCCATTTCGTGATGAAGTCCGGCAACGGAGTGAAGGGCCTCCTCGCCAAAGGCGTCTCCACGGTGCCTCGCGAATGCGTCCAGCCGCTCGAGGAAAGGATTGACAGGGCCGAGCAAGTGAGCGAGGAAGACTCCATTCCGGTCATCGATTTCTCCGATCCGGCGGCGGCAGAGGCGAAAATCCAGGAAGCTGCGAAGAATTGGGGATTCTTTCAGGTGATCAATCACGGAATCCCTCAGCAGGTTCTAGACAAGGTCATCGAAGCAGCTCACGCCTTCTTCGAGCTTCCGGCTGTAGAGAAGATGAAATACTTGAGAGGGAACAGTTCCTCTAGCGCCGTGGAGCTTTTTCACAGCGCCATTGGCGGTGGAGATGACGATAATAAGGTTTTGGAGTGGAGAGACTCTGTGCACCATGAATGCATTCCTGGTGATGATGATGGCAAGTTTTGGCCTCCGGAAACCAGGTCAGTTTCAAGTCTCTAATGCTGCCTTCATCATATTAATCTATTCTATTCAATTCGTTGATCATATAGCTATAAGCTATCTCAGCTCCTTTGAAAATTATTCAAATTGGATCATAAATTCTCACTTTGCCCTCAATCCTGGTTTAATTAACTTTGGGTAATTAATAGTTTTAATGCTTAATATGCCATAAATAAAATATCTAAGAGAGTAAATAATCCTAGCTATCGAAACCCATCACATTAGATGTAATTCCCACACTGCAATTAATAGGTTCGATCATGCTATACAATTTGTCATCCAAAAATTAATTTGAGGTACTCATGTGGCATACCTAGCTATACTTGTTTTACTTGAGTTTAACTCTTAATATTGGATCCCTATGGGCAAATTATTCTGTCGACCTGGGTTCACCTTACAAAGTAGATCCAAGTCCAGAAATACATAATTTATATATTGAATGTTCACAATTTACATATTAAATCTTCATAATTTTATATAATAAATGTTCATAATTTGAATTGTAAACATTCCGTATGTAAATTGTGTATAATGTCCCTAGCATATAACTATCCATCACTATGAGATTCAATATTTTATCACTTATACTAAAGCTTATTATAATAAGTTCTCGCATTAGAAGCTCATGAAAACTTTTCCAAAATTTTCTTTAAAATTGAAATTTTTGCAGGGACGAAGTTTTGGAGTTCTCAAAATGGGCAAAACCAATTGGTAGAAGGCTGATAGAAATGCTTGTGAGAGGATTGGGTGTGAAGGCAATAGATGAAACACTAGAGCCGGTCTTGATGGGCAAGATAGCCGTGACCATGAATTACTACCCGCCATGCCCTCCCAACCCTAATCTCACCATCGGCTGCCGCCGCCACTGCGACATATGCACCATTACCATGCTCCTCCAAGACGACACCGGCGGCCTTTACGTCCGAGGGAGGAATTCCGATAAGTGGGTCCACGTAGAGCCGGTGAGAGGAGCACTGGCGGTTAATGTAGGGAACTCACTTCAATTCATGAGCAATGGTCGATACAAGAGCGTTGAGCACTGTGCAGCAATTGATTCCTGCAAGACTAGGGTTTCGGTGCCGATGTTCCTGAATCCGAGCTTCGATTCCGTCGTCGGACCTTTGCCGGAAACCCTAGATGCCGGAGAGAAGCCAGCATATAAGGCATTTCGGTTTTCCGATTACTGGGATTATTTCATGACTACTCGTCCTTCCGTAAAAGCCTCCATTGACTATGCACGCATTTAAATAAATTTGTGTTTTTAAGACTTTTAAAATCGTATTTTGTAAATATAAGTGTTTTGTGACCATTATCCTGGTTTCTGCTTTCATGATTTTTAATTTACAGTTTTTTTCTTAATATGCATGTATATATATCAGCGGTTACATAATGAGAATGTAATTATGAGTTCATGTGTTCAATATACTCTTCCTCTCTTCCTTTCTATATTGATTTTAACATATAACATCATATGATTTACACGAGATTAAGTTATAATTTTCAACAATTGGTAATTACACTTTCATTTTTTACAAAATTATTGAACAATTGATAACATATTTTTTTGAAAACAACAATTGATAACACATGTGCTGCATTATTGAATTTTTTTTTATTAACTTTTGATAATAGGATAGTCCGTGCCTCTGTGGTATACAGTGATCATAAAGAATTCAAATTTTATTCTAAAAAGAAAGTTTGAGAAACAACTACTACATTTGAAGAAGAATGGACTCAATAATAATTATTTAATTCTTGTGATAAATTTTACTTCTATAACTAGTTGAGCTAGCTGTCTATATAAGTCGCTAATTATCTAATTCTAACACAAAGGAATACTAAGCGAGTTGGATGAAAACAATGCTCCTAAATGAACCGTTTCACAACTTTCTTCCTAATCCTTTTGCATGGGAGGGGGTTGGCGGATGATGAGTAGGCTTGTTGTGCTTTGGTCCTTTCGTGGACTTTCATCAAGGTTTCATCGAAATAGCCCCAAGTTAGGAGTGATGATATTTTATAAAGAGTTAATTTCAAGAATGATCTATTGACTATTGACATTTATCAATTTTTATTTTCGACTTTCAACTGTATCATAAATGATTCATTAACTATTGATCAATTTTCATCCTCTACTTTCAACTTAACCATAAATGGTTCCTTGACTATTAATTTTGTTCCAAATTTAGTCATCTAGTTAAATACGGAGTATCAATTTAATAAATATTAAATTTAAGGGTAATAGTGTAAAATTTTTAGTTCTTTACATTCCACTAATGATGAACTCAGTATATTAAATTTATGAACTCAATTTGTCAATCTCAACAATAAACCAATTTTTACATTATTATTTATTTTAATGTTTATTAAATGGATATTTAATTGAATGACGAAATTTGAAATAAAATCAAAGTCAAAGAATCATTTATAGAAATTGGTAATGGTAGGGAATACCCCGATCGACATAAGCGTTACCCCGACCGGTGTGCCTTCGTCCTTTTTCTTCTTGTCTTTGCAGGTAGCAGGTCGGGTTTTTTGTAAAGAACCCGGTCGGGGTCCGACCGGGAGTTACCCGAGTGGCAGTGTCGACCATCGAGCGGTAGCCCTTTAGCGAGAGAGCTGACGAGGGACACGTGGCGGCTCTACGCAGTGACAGGCAGGGCACCCGGGACGGCGACACGTGGTTGCTACGTGGGAAGCATGCCGGACGGCCGCATTTATGTCTCCGGCTCCGCGGCTATAAATACCCGCGATAGCAACAGTGTGGGGGGCTTTTGGACGATCGATAGGTTGTTATTAGAGAATCCCGACCGCAGTTAGTCGGTACTCAGAGCAACCAAGTAGATTGTACTTACGGCCTTCACCGTGATCAATAAGAAGTTATTTATTTGCTTTAATTGGTCTCGTATTTATTTAATTACCGCTCTACGTGGCAATTAACATTTTCATTTTGGCGCCGTCCGTGGGGATGTCCAATCCGCCCGGAAGTGTTACACCCGAGCGGTCAATAGACGTGACTCCGGTCAGTCTTCCCGGGTGAACACTATTGCCAAGGAGGAGTCTAGAGACCGGAAGGAACAGCCCGAGCCTTCCGAGGAAATAGAGGAAGTTCCCCTGTCCGAGGACCGACCGGACAGGAAGATCAGGATTGGTCGAGCCCTCACCCCCAAGCTCCGAGCGAAAGTTTTGGCAATACTCCGGGAGTTTGCCGACATCTTTGCATGGGGGCCCGAAGATATGCCTGGGATCGACCGAACGGTCATCTGTCACAAGCTAGCAGTGGATCCCGCAGCAAAGCCGGTCGTGCAAAAGACCCGGCACCTCTCTTCGGATCGCCGCGAATTTGTCAGAGAAGAGGTCAAGAAGATGGCGGCGATCGAGCACATCCGGCCGGTAATCTATCTCGAATGGGTGGCCAACATTGTCCTTGTTCCGAAGGCCCCAGCTTGGAGGATGTGCATTGACTTCACCGACCTTAATAAGGCCTGTCCGCTCGACCCGTATCCTCTACCGAGTATTCACCAGATGGTCGACGAGACGGCCGGGGCCGAGTTGATGAGCTTCATGGATGCATTTAAAAGATATCATCAAATAATGATGCACCATGAAGATGAGAGCAAGACAGCCTTCGTGACCCCGGACGGGCTGTATTGCTACCGAGTCATGCCGTTCGGCCTCCGCAACGCGGGAGCGACCTATCAGAGGATGCTTAATATGCTCTTCGCCGATTTACTAGGCCGAACGATGGAGGCGTACATTGATGACATGCTGGTCAAGAGTCGGGGTCGATCCGACCACACTCGGGACCTCCGGGGGTGCTTCCAGATCATGAGGAAGTACCAGTTGCGGCTGAACCCAACCAAGTGCACATTTGCGGTTCAGACCGGGAAATTCCTCGGCTACATGATGACCAAGAGGGGAATCGAGCCCAACCCGACCAAAGTTAAGGTGATTCTGGACATGCAACCACCTTCTACCGCTCAGGAAGTCTAGCAATTGACCGGTCAGTTGGCAGCTCTCAGCCGGTTCCTCTCTAAATTAGCCGAGCGCGCTTTGCCTTTCTTCAAGGTATTGCGTAAAGTGAATGGGTTCATCTGGGACGAAAAATGCCGAGTGGCATTTGACGAGCTAAAGGAGTACCTCATGTCACCAATCGTGCTCTCAAAGCCCGAGCTTGGAGAAGAGCTAGACGTGTACCTCGCCGTGTCCGATCGTACAAGCGCAGTATTGTGCAGTATTGTGCCGAACCGATCCGGAAGGGGTCCAGTGACCGGTGTACTATGTAAGCCACGCGCTACATGGTCCCGAGCTCCGGTATTCCCGGTTAGAGAAGGTCGTCTACGCCTTGTACATTACCGCGAAGAAGTTGGCTCCCTACTTCCAAGGTCGAGCGATTCGCGTTTTGACCGATCAGCCGATCGGGCCAGTCCTCCGAACTGCTTCATCGTCCAGTCGCCTAGTCAAGTGGGCGTTAATGCTGACCCAGTATGTGATCGAATACCGACCAAGACCAGCCATCAAAGGTCAAGCCCTTGCAGATTTCTTGGTCGAGTGCACCTCCCGGGATACCCGACCCCCTGAGGTTGCGGATCCCGAGGCTGAGTGGTGGTCGCTGGTTACTGATGGGTCGAGTAGCAAGAAAGGGGCAGGAAGAGGAGTGGTTGTCACGAGCCCGGAGAGATTCAAGGTATATTTTGCCCTTATGTATCAGTTCCATCCGACCAACAATGAAGCCGAATACGAAGCCTTTATTAACGGCTTACAGTGTGCTCGGGACTTGGGGGCTGAATACATTCAAGCTCAAACGGATTCCGCGCTCGTGGTCGGGCAGGTTCTCGGGGATTACGAAGTGAACGGAGAACGATTACAGCTATACCGAGACCTGGCCATGGAGAAGCTCACCCAGTTCCGGGGGTATACCGTCCGGCACATACCCCGGTTGGATAATGCTGATGCGGACATCTTGTCCAAATTGGCCCAAGACGCCCCGGAACACATGTCGAAGATCGCTCGGATTCTGGTGATCCCGAGGCACAGCATACATCGCTTGCCGGTCAATCCAATTCAACCGGTAGAAGACAATTGGATCACCGATCTAAAGGAGTTCCTTGAGCACGGTCGACTTCCAGACGACCCCCAGCGTGCTCGGAAGGCCAAGCTTAGAGCCCCGAGGTTCCAAGTCTTGGACGGTCGTCTTTACAGGCGATCGTTTGGAGGCCCTCTTATGCGTTGTTTGACCGCATTTGAGGCCGATCTAGTAATGAAGGAATTGCACTCGGGCATTTGTTCTTCACATCAAGGAGGCCGATCCTTAGCTCGTCGAATCATGCTGATCGGGTATTATTGGCCGTCCCTCCAGCTAGACATTCCCTTCGCTAGGTGGGGGGTGGACATCTTGGGACCCTTCCCTCAGCTCTCCGGTCGGATAAAGTTTGTCATTGTCGCCATTGATTACTTTTCCAAATAGATTGAAGCCGAGCCGTTGGCCACGATCACCTCTCAGCAGTGTGCTCGGTTCATCTGGCGAAATGTGATTTCCCGCTTTGGCGTGCCCGTGCATCTCATCTGTGACAACGGCCGCCAATTCGTAAGCCAATATTTCCAGAATTTCTTGGCCACGATCGGGACTACCCACGTCCGGTCGTCGGTGGCTTACCCGCAGGGAAACGGACAAGTGGAGAACGCCAACCGGACAATTCTGGAGGGTCTGAAAAAGAAGCTACACTCGGCCGGTCGTAGTTGGGCCGATGAGTTGCCATATGTTTTATGGACTTATCGGACGACCCCGAGAGAGGCTACTTTGGAGACTCCATTCGCACTTGTCTATGGAGCAGAAGCCCGACTCCCGATCGAGGAATGGATCCCGACCGACCGAGAACGAACTTACAATGCGGAGGACAATGAACACTCGATGGTAGTGGATCTCGATGGGGTCGAGAAGAAAAGAGAGCTAGCCGAGAGTCAAGAGTTCAAAGGACGTCCGGGTCAACCCTCTTTATTTTCAGGTGGGAGATTACGTTCTACGACGACGGGAGGCCAGTCAACCTTTAGAAGGTGAAAAGCTAGCTCATAATTGGGAAGGGCCGTACATCATCAGCGTTGTCATACGGCCGGGTACATACCGGTTGGAGACAACAACAGGTCGGGTAATCGAGGGGACTTGGAATTCCGAGCACCTCGTTATGTTTAGGCATTAGCCTATTTTTTGTAATTTCTAGACGAAGTGGGGGCTCGACCTGCGAGTTGGCCTCAGTCGTCATTTATTTCTGAGTTGTAAATATTTATTCAACCGCCTGCGAGCGGGAAGGTTCAATGTATATACGATCGGTGATTGCTCGACCATTTGCACACGGCGGACCGGTCGGTTATTTTCCTTACCATTCATTGCACGTAGGTCAAGTCATCACCACGCTATCTCGACCGGGCCCCCCATCGACTGGTCAAATGCACTCCTCTTCGGCGGACATTTGGGTCACGCCACCGATCGGGAAAGTCAGAGCTCCCAGCATAATTCCCCGATCCGTCCAACTTCTATCCACTATCGCACCCGATCGTGCCTCGAGGGCACAATAGTGTGGGGGCTGGGATGGAGTGCTGTTAGTCCGTCACTCGGGAAAACCCCCGATCGTGGAGGCTTACATATTTTCAAAATTTCGACAAGGCCAGGAGATCGGGTAAACCTGATCGGGCAGGCCAGCTCGACGTCGAAATCTCGGATGCACGACCGGGCCGTAAGGCCACAAGGTCGGGTGTCGAACAAGTCGAGTAATGCATGACTAGGCCAAAAGGCCATGAGGTCGGGCATTAGGGGTTCGGCGTATGTGTGATTGAAAATGAAAATACAAGTAAAGACGAGTGGAACAAGTTAAGCAAAAACAAGTTTCATTATTCAAAAGAGTGCCCAGTACAGACTCGGGACCGGGCTCCCGATCAATATCACTTACAAAAAGAAGTAAAGCCTACTTCTACTTCTTCGCCTGCTCGGCCTCGCCTTTCTTGGAAGGCTCCTTCCCGCCCGAGGTGGCCGCCGCAGACCCGCTCGGCTCGGCTGCTCTTTCCTTCGGGTCAAACGGAGATGGACCAGGGTCAGAAAGATCCGGAGGGAGCGCGGACAAGACCAGCTGGAGATCGTCTCCTTCGAGGGCCTGTTCCATTCGCTTCTGGGCCTTCTCGAGCATCTTTCTTTGGCTGGCTTTGAAGGCCCACTGACCAAACGACAGCATCAGGTCTTCCCCGATCTTCGTTCTCCGGACCGCCTTGAGGAATGCCGCGCCCGATTCGCTGTCCTGAAAAATGAACCGAGCTAGCTCGTCCGGGTTATCCAGCCGGGCCTTCAGCTCCGTGACCTCCCCAGTCGCCTTCTCGGCCGCCGTCTTCCATTCGGCGGCCTCCCCGATCGCCCGCTGTGCGACCTTCTCGGCCAGGACCCGACCCTCCCCGCTCTTCTTAAGGTCCTTTTGGACCTTCTCCAGTTCCGCCTGGATGTCCTTGACTTCCTAGAGTCGTCGGGCGGCGGCCTTCTTGTGTTGGTCGGCCTCGTCGGCCAGCATGGCCCGACCTTGAAGGAGCTGGGCCGCTCGGGAAATCTGCAAGACCCACTGTGTTAGCTCGATCGGGAATACTTGCATAAAAAGGCTTAACAGAAGAAAGTGTTTACCTCGGCCAGGTCGTGGCCGATCTTCTCGGCCACTTGGGCCGGGGTTAGCTTCCCCAGATCTTCCTTGGTTGGCCCGGCGTTGCCAATACGGGCCAGAATGGACGAATCGTCCTTGTTCCGCCCGGTCGAAGGACTCGGGCTCCGTTGCTCTCGCTTGCGTTTGAGGCCGCCGCTCTCGGTCACGCCCTTCTCGGGAACCTTCTCCTTCCCTTGGGCGACCTCCACCCGGGTGATCAAGACGTCCGGCGCGTTGACCACGAAGCCTTCGGCCGTGGTGATGGTCGAGGTGCCAATCGGTCGGGCCAGGGGGACCTCCTTCTGCCCGGCCGGTTTGGTCTTCGGCTTCTTCTTGCCGAGTGAAATCTTGGCAGGCGGGGGAAGAGGGGCTTCATCATCTCCAAAATCTGCCATCGCTGCAAATAAAAGAAGGGGGTTAGTCAGATCGGGAAGTAAGGCATCGTTCGGGGAGTTATGTTCGGGAGAAGTCAGTTAATGTTAGACCTTTCTTCTTCCGTTTGGACGCTTTCGCGGCCGTCACGCCCATCGGCACGGGCAAGTACTTCTCTGTAAGGTCGTACACGGGGGGTGGGAGCTTGGCCGCCTCGAGACTTTCGGCCGTCCGGAAAATATTGTACTCATGGATCTCGCTCGAGATCCGAGCGACTGCGTCCTTGAGCGGCTGTGTCTCGGCCGGCAGAACTTGTTTCCAGTAATGAGTGCTCCAAATTTGCTCAACCGGGAGGATCCAAGGGTCATACTTGATTGAGAAAATTCGGTTCTTCCACCCCTTGTTGTTCCCGGGCAGCCCTTCGATCGCGCACATGTCTGCTCGGGACTGTAGCATCAGGAAGCCACCTCCGTAGCTGGCCGGGAGAGTCTTGACCTGATAGATGAAGTTTAATAGCTCCATCGTGCAAGACACTTCGTGTCGAGCGCAGATATGAGGAAAACAGGCGATAATCCTGTGCGAGTTGGGGCAGATCTGGGCCGGGATGACCTGGTAGTACCCCAAGAAGGCCGTCAGAAGAGGAGGAAAGGGAATCGCGATCGGGGCCATCAGGGAGTCGTAATGCATCCCGATCCATTTCCCCCGATGCCGGTCGATGACATTCCCGAGCTTCTGACTTGTGTCAAACTCCACCCGACCCCCGAGCTTCTCGGCAATCCTAGCTGCTTCTCCCTTGGTCAGCCGGCTCATCTGCTGTTCGACGTTCTCGCTGTTCAAGAACTCGAACCCGTTGTTTGCTGGTGCGGCCGGCTCAGCTGCCTCTCCCTCGGTTGGCTCGGGAACGTTTTCTTGATCGTTCCCTTGAGGGTCGGTTTCCGGGTGTTCCCCAATCACCCCGGTCAACGTTTCCCTAACGCCCTCGGTCGGGGAACCTCGTCCGCTCGTCGAGGTCACCTCGTCTTCTTCACCTGAACTCCCCGACCCACTTGAACGGGACCCCGATGTCCCGGACGAGCTCGATGATTCCCTTTTCTCAGGGGCCCGCTCGGGGGCTGTTCCCAGTCGTTGGACGACCTCGGGGGAGTAGGACATGATGTCCACTTCCTCGTCGCTGATATGCTCGACTTCCTCGTCGTAATCCGCGATCGAGACGTTTTGGCTATCGGAATCTGTCATTTCAATCTACCTAAAGGTCGGTCGGGGTTAGTATGGGACTCGGGACATTCGGGACAGTTAGTTATAACCTACCAACTCTACGCACAAATGTAAACACTAAGTAAGAGCTAAGGACTGAGAACTTACCGATTGAAGGTGCTTGGCGAAGGAAGTTCGGAAGTTCTTTGCTCGACTGCTCCACTGAAGTGCTTCGCTCGGGGCTCTCTGAGGGTACCGATCGATGCAGTAGATTGGAGAAAGTTCAAATGAGGGCCTCAAGGGCCTATTTATAGGAGAGCGTTTAGGCGGGAAACAAGCCCACTTGCGCGATGTGACCGTTGCTGACTTCGAGGCGACCCTTGCAGTCGCAAAGGCCGGCAGTCGTCGACACGTGGCGAGGGAGAGAATGACAGCTGGCCGGTCGGTTTGGTGGCTGACGGTTGGGCTTCTTCATCCCGTCCCGTTTTTTCCCGGACGGTCTAAAAGGCCCGGGCTGGGGGGCTCTTGGTAGGGAATACCCCGACCATCATAAGCGTTACCCCGACCGGTGTGCCTTCGTCCTTTTTCTTCTTGTCTTTGCAGGTAGCAGGTCGGGTTTTTTGTGAAAATCGGGAGTTACCCGAGTGGCAGTGTCGATCACCGAGCGGTAGCCCTTTAGTGAGAGAGCTGACGAGGGACACGTGGCGGCTCTACGCACTGACAGGCAGGGCACCCGGGACGGCGACACGTGGTTGCTACGTGGGAAGCATGCCGGACGGCCGGATTTATGTCTCCGGCTCCGCGGCTATAAATACCCGCGATAGCAACAGTGTGGGGGACTTTTGGACGATCGATAGGTTGTTATTAGAGAATCCCGACCGCAGTCAGTCGGTACTCAGAGCAACCAAGTAGATTGTACTTAGGGCCTTCACCGTGATCAATAAGAAGTTATTTATTTGCTTTAATTGGTCTCGTATTTATTTAATTACCGCTCTACGTGACAATTAGCATTATCAGGTAAATATCAATAGTCAAGGGACCATGGATAGTCAATGGACATTTCTGGAATTAACCGATGTTTTATATATAAAAGAAATTATTTAAATTTGAAAGGTAAAAGTAAAACAAATTTAAAATCGAATACCAAAATGAAAATATCCCTGGATCACACCTAGAACAAAAATGGATAAAATATTAAAGTAAAAAAATTTCATATTTGACCGCTTGATTATTCATGTATCAAATTGTGTATTTAACTATTAATATTTTTAAAGAGGAAATTTCAATTTTGGTCATATGACTATATGAGTCTTGTTAATTTTAGTCCTTGACTTTTTAAAGTGTTAATTTAGTACCTTACATAGTTAATGTACTAAATTGACACTTTTAAAAGTCAGATACTGAAATTAACAAAACCCCTATAATTATAGGACCAAAATTGAAATTTCCCCTATTTTTAAATTAAGTACATGACTATGTAATTATTATAAAATTTGGTCATTAACTATTAATATTTTCAAATTAGATGCATGACTTTGTAACTTGTATCACATTTGGTCTAATTGTCCAATTTTCTTACCAACTATTACCAAAATTTTAACGAGAAAAATAATTTTTTTTTTCAGAAATAATTGGCCAAAAATATTATTTTAATTAGAATATATTATTTTTATTGTTGAAATTTTGGTAATAATTAGCTAGAAATTTGACCAGAAAATTAAACGGCATGACAAAATGTGACAAAAATTACATAGTCATACACTTAAAATTTGAAACTATTAATAATTAAAAAACCAAATTTGATATTTGATATATGTAGAATAGTTAATAGACCAAAAAAGTGAATTTTTTTTTAAATATTAAAATTATACTAATTCCATTAGACAGATTGTGAACAAGGAGGCACCAATCACCATAGAGGTGTTGTGAAATGTCAGCTCCATTCTCCGACCGACAAGAACTGATCGATTTCTTGGTAAACAAGGGCAATGGAGTCACAGGCCTCTCCCAAATGGGCCTTTCATCTCTTCCTCAACCCTTCATTCAACCCCCCGAAGGAAGGCTAAGCGCAACCCATTTGCTCTCCGAGGAGTCCATACCCATCATTGATGCCTCCAATTGGGACGACCCAAATATCGGCAAATCAATCTGCGAGGCTGCAGAGAATTGGGGGTTCTTTCAGATCATCAATCATGGAATCCCCTTTGAGGTTCTCGAGGGCGTGAAGGCGGCTGGGCACAGGTTCTTTGAGCTCCCAGTTGAGGAGAGAAGGAAATGGATCAAGGAGAATTCGCCCACCCACACTGTCCAGTTGATGACCAGTTTGAGCCCTCTGGCTGTGAAGGTTTTGGAGTGGAAAGATTATCTTTTTCACATTTACAATTCCAAGGATGAGAGTTCTCAGTTATGGCCTTCTGTATCCAAGTAAGCAACCCATTTCTCTTATTACACTCAATTTTCTGATTAATAATCTATTTAAGCCCTTTTTGTTTCTGTTTACATTCTTGAATCTTGTAAAAATACTGACTTGGGACTTTGGGAGTTTTGAACCCTATAAACAGTACTAGTTTATTGCTATCTGTTACTGGAGTGTGTGTACATTTTCTTCATTTTACTGTTTTTTTGGTCAATTTCTTGTAATTTTGTTATTGTGAACTTGTAGAAATGTTTGCTGATATTTAGTATGTCCTGTGCTAGTAATAATCAATATAGCAACATTATTTGCATAATATGTTCATTAGAGATGGCTGGACTGGAATGGGCAGATGTTGGTTAGGATCACAATTATGGTACTCCGTATTTCATAACTTCATAAGGATTTGAGAGAAATATTATGACATACTAGTACCATTAATTGTGGGGTAATATTTGGGTTGTTAGGGGATTGCCAGACAGCGAAGCTTTGAAGGTGGAAAAACATCTTTATACTGAAGCCAAAATCGAGATCTAGCATTATTACTTGTGATTTAGACTAATGGTAGCTTGCTTGTTCAGAACTTGGGTAGAAATGCAGGGTAAACTTGGGTTCGGTTGATTTAATCATCTTGGCACAGGTATGAACTTAGAAAATGGTATCCTATACCTGATCATATCCTCGGCAATGGGATAGGGTCATAGTTGTCAAAGCGTACGGTCGGTGGAGAGCTGACGCCTAATGAGCTCGCCTCGCCTGAAATGGGTGAGGCGGGACGCTTAACCCGAGTCTAACCCGAGTTATTAAAAAAAATATAAAAATTGTCGATTGAAAAGTGAAAACCCTCCCAGCCTCGCCTTTCCACCGCCGTCTCAGCCAGGGACGGAGCTACAATGGGGGCAGCTGCCCCCCTCCCCCTACCCCTACCTCATATATATATATAGTACAGGTTTTAGTATAAGTATAATAAAACAAATAAATGTTAACAAGAAATGAGTTAGTTCAGCTGTCTGAGTATGCGTTTATGAATATTTTTATAAAGTTTTGATATGTTTTATTTTTAGCTCATATCCAATAATATTTATGACTATACTTCTTTTAAGTGTTTTATTTTTTTTCAAACTATCTCTTTTGTTGTAATGTTCTGCTCCCACTGAAAAAAAATTCTGGCTCCGCCCCTAGTCTCAGCCTTGCCCTTCCACCACTGAATTGCCACCGCAGCTAACTCTCCCTCCTCCCAGCCTCGCCCTTCTACCACCGTTGCAGCTTTGCCCTTCTTTCTTATTTCTTCCTTCTTCTTTCTTATTGGCCAAGTGGCCATTCTTTTTTCTTTTTCATTCTTCTTTCTTTCTTAGTGGCTTGTTATACTCATCGCCTAGGCAACTAGGTGGGCGGGTGGCACCTCGCCCAAAATGTCCGCCTTGACAACAACGGATAGGGTTGAATTGTATGCCATCTGCAGATTGAGTGATAATGCAATAGCTTTCTAATCTGTAACATATGATTCTGCTCCTTTCTGTTCATCAATCAACATATACTATCTATACTTCTGCAACCTAATTTCACTTCACAACTCTGCTATAGAGATCAAGTTTTGGAGTACATGAAGTGGGTTCAACCCGTAATAAGAAAGCTCCTCGACATTTTACTCAAGGGGCTTAACGTAGACGAAATGGATGAAGCAAAGAAATCTTCGCTAATGGGGACATTGATGGTTAACCTCATCTACTACCCAAAATGTCCTAACCCCGAGCTCACAGCCGGAGCGGGCCCACACGCCGATATCTCATCCATCACCGTCCTCTTACAAGACGACGTGGGTGGCCTCTATGTGCGAGCCCCGCAAGGCGATGGATGGATCCATGTACCACCAACGAAGGGGGCACTCGTGATCAACATCGGGGATATCCTTCAGATAATGAGCAACGGGAGGTACAAGAGCATTGAGCATCGAGTGATTGTGAACTCGAAGAGGAACAGGATCTCGGTGCCCGTATTTGTCAATCCATCGCCTGATGCAGCTATCGGTCCATTGCCACAAGTGGTGGAGCGCGGAGAGAAGCCGCTATATAAACAGGTTGTTTACTCTGATTACTTCAATTATTTCTTCAGTAAGGGCCATGAGGGCAAACACACAATTGAATATGCAAAGATTTGATGTTTTGTGTGTCTTTTAATTGTATAAGAGATTCAAGTTAATGTTGAGCAGGCTTGTTTAACTAGCCAAGATTTGTGTTTGGTTTTATGTTGAGACTCTGGGTTGCCTTGGTAAGCCCACATACAAGAAGTGCTTCGCAAATTAGGGGTTTTTTTGAACTGCATTAAAAATCTTTTGTCACAATTAATGTTCTAAACCCGATCCTCTCAGATTTTCAATAAATTATTTATCTATTACAATGAACCTATTATATACATGCCATTAACATATTGGCCCTGTTTGGTTAAAAATTGGCCTAGAGGTCAATTTTGGCTTATTTGACCATTATTAATTGTTTGATTTAGTTAAAATATCAATATAAGTGTTTGGTTAATTAGTTTTTTGCAACTCCAAAATGCTAAATTCAAAAAGTTATTCCAAGCAGCTTTTTTCAGAAAAGAAATTATACCAAATAGCTATCAGCTAACAGCTAATTTACCAAACACTTTTCCCAGTATTCCTTACCAAACACATTATTCCTTACCATTCCAAACTCAACTAAACAATGGAATTTATATTCCCAGTAATTTCTTTTCCACCAACCAAACAATGGAATCTATTTTCTTGGAATTTATTTTCCATGGAATTTCAATTCCATTTCCCTTCAAATATTTTCCAGCGAACCAAACGAGCTGTAACAGTTAATGTTATCAATTAGTTATACCTTCTCATTAACACAATTAGCTAACAGTCATTTACCAAATAGGGCCATGATGTATTTTATATTTTTAAAATAGGTACATAAATTATTAAGTGAATGTATATGTAAAGTGGTTCAAAAAAAAAAAAAAAAAAAAAGAAATAAATGCCTTCATATTCTCTTGACTAACCATTTTGCACTTCCACAGTTCCACTTTCTCTACCGAACTGCTCAACTGCTTCACCTAATGACTGACCGTCCTATCATGCCAGATTTATCATCTTTCTCGGCTAGGTCTTAATATTAGCATTTTTTTAATTTAATTATGGTTTTAGAAAACAAAGTTGAGATGGCCGAGTTGGTCTAAGGCGCCAGATTAAGGTTCTGGTCCGAAAGGGCGTGGGTTCAAATCCCACTCTCAACATCAATGTTTTCTTTCTCTTCTAATATAGCATTACAAGAATACCTAATTGACTAGTTATTGTGCACATATATCTCTATCAAATACCTACTCGATTGATTTCAAAAGAAAAAAAACATTAAAAATACTACTCTAGATTTTAAAAAGGTGTGATATAATTTTTATTATATTCATTTTTTTTTGTCTAGTACTCCGTAAAAAAAAAAAAATTATATTAAAAGTACACTTATCATCTTCCTGTACCAGTGATATTTAGAGTAGCGCATTTTGTAGAGGCAACCTTGATGGAATCTATTGGTGACAAATTTGGCAACGAAACAAAATGCAAAAGGAAATATGGTGAATAGGGAGTGTTGTAGTCATAGTTCAAATCCCAGTGAGACATTGACTCTTTGTGCTTTAATAAATTGATAAAGTATGTATGGGCACATACTATATTGTAATAAAGTCAATAATACTAAAAAAAATGGAGTGTTGTAGTAAGTGTAACAATGCATTTTTGTTGTTGTTTGGTTTTTAACCAAAGGGGTGAGTTTGAATAGAGAGTAAAGAAATTAAAATGGCAAGAAGTTGGGTTTTTTTTTTTTTTTTTATGACTTTAGTGGTTCCACAAGAAAAAAAAAAATAAATCAGGTTTTACGCACCGATAGCCTTTTTCCTTTTTCCTTTTCTTTTATTTATATCATTTTAATTTTTTAATAGGATAATAAATGGTACGTAGTGAGTCGGGTATAAGTAGGGGTGACCATGGTTTCGGTTCCGGTTCCGTGGATGGCGAAACCGGAACCGGAACCTTATAGTAAGGTTCCGGTTCCAGTTCTAACTGGAATTATTAAAAAAAAAAATTAAAAATAACACTATAATATTTAATTTTTTTCGATTTGGAACCGGAACAGCCGGTTTCGGTTCCAAGATTTTACAAACCTTAACCGGAACCGGAACCGTACGGACGGTTCCGATTCAGTTCCGGTTTGCACAGTCACGGTTCTGATTCGAACCGGAACCATGGTCATCTCTAGGTATAAGTTTTAAAACACGTATAAGTTTCAGGAATAAATGTAGTTTTCCTTGACCCATCTCGACCCATTGCCATCCTAGTAAAAGGCAACATTAAAAAGCATAGATGGAGGAAACAATAATGGAAAGCATGTATATCCACACTATTTAACTTTCTTTTGTTTTTTTTTTTTTAAATCTTTACCATTTTTTTTTCTAAAACAGAATAGAATGAAAACAACGTAACAACTAAAGAAGACAAACTAACAACAAAAATAAATAAGATAGTACAATGTGGTAGAAAAGATTGAGAAAGTTTTACAATGACAAATAGTAAAAATGTCTAGTAATATAAATAGAAAAAAATTGACATTTTTGTTTGTAAATATTAAAAGTAATACAATTATTTTATATATAAAAATTTTATCACTTTTTTTTTATAATAATTTTAAAGTTTTCCTAAAAAATCAATACAAACATCATTATCACTAAGCAAAATGTTTGTCACCAAAATACATCCAAAAATACAACTTGAAATCAATCAATGGTTTAGTTTTTTGCCTCTCTACTAAGAAAAGAGATTAAATTAAATTTTTGAATTAAAAAATAAAATAAGATTGTAATATTTCATTATCCTTCTCAATTAAATTTCATATTTGCTATGAATGACTTTGTAATCTAGTAGACGTGAAATGACTCTAAAAAATAGGAGTTCATAGGTTCGATCCCCAATGGCAGAACCTTCATTTTCTCCAATTACTTGACCCGAATTTCGCTCCCCAAAATAGCCCTAATCTTTAAGCAAATTCCCATGCCTCAAAAGCATCAACGGGTCAAAAGTTTCACATACAACCAAACGGCTTAAGAGGCGCATCGGGTCACGGCATGCGCAAGTTAGTACTCAACGGACACGCAGGCGGCGTGTCGAATCGCCTCCGGCAAATCCACCCCTCTACTCCAATCTCCGGTGGCGCAGTCGTACACCAACACCAATCCTTCCTTTAATCCCCTCTCCGTCCTCCCGCTCCGCCGTAGCAGGTCGTCTATACAGCCGGTTACTTGGATTAGCACCACCTTTTCCCCCACCGCTACGCACCCGAACCTCACCGTGCTGTCAAGTCTAACCTGCGCCGGTAGCGGCGGAGCCCTTATCCTGTACCATTCTCCGAAGCCGCTGGATTTACGCGCGCCGTTAAATTTCCAAAACGACAGCTCCACGGCGTGGCTCGAGAGCACGAAAACGAAGCCGGCTGCGGCGCAAGCCGCCACCACGCAGCCGCCGCCAGGGACGGTGCGGCTCCTGAGCCACTGGCTCGCTGCCACGTCATACAAATCCATCGAGCTGGCGTACACGTGCGCGGCGGCGTCCGACCCCTTGGCACGTGATCCCGGAACGACCAAGCCTTCATTTCCCAATGAGCCGATTCTCAAGCCGCCGATCACGTAAAACACTCCGTCCACCGACGCGCCGAAGCAGCCGTACCGTTTCCTCGGCGCCATGGACACCACGCGCCACGTTTCGCTCTCCGGATCATACTCCTCCACCGCCTCCGACCGCGCACAGCCACCGGCGACATATATCTTCCCGGCGACGACCGCGGTGGCGAACTTCTTCCTCGAAGCAACCGGTCCGGGTAGGGAGACCGCGGCGCCAGTCCACGTGTCATACCGGAGCATCGCCGTCCGACCAATAACGTAAATTCTCCGGCCAATGGCCACCAAACGGGAATGAGAGAAGAGAGACAAAAACGAGCCGTGATGAAGAAAAGAAGAAACTCTCCAGGCAGATTCATAGTTCAAGCAGAGACTAGCGGTGGAGAGCGAAGAGTGGTCGGAAATGGAAATAGCAAAGAGGGTGACACGGAGGAGGTTGTGGCGGCGGCGGAGGGAGTGGAAGGTGGGGGAGTCGAGAAGCTCCGACCAGCGACGGCACACCAAGGGGAGGGAAGGAAGGAAAGAGTGGGGAACCCGTGAGAGGCATTCGAGGAGGAGGTCGTCGGGAAGGGAAGAAATGGTGGTTTGCCGGCGGAGAAGTGCGGCGGCGGAGGTGGGGGTAAGGGGATGGGGCCCATGGGGGTGGTGGTGGTGTTGGGGGTTGGGGAAACAAGATTTCATGAGCCATGAGAAGTGGCGTGAGTTGCAGCTATCCGATGACATGTTAGAGAGAGAAACAGAGAGAGAGAGAGAGAGAGAGAGAGGAAGGAATCTCTCTCAGATTGATTGGCTAATTAAAGTGGGAGTCTTTAGATTTGGTTAATATATGGGAATTCTGGTTGAAACATAAAGTACTTTTATGGCAATCCTCTATTTCAATCTATCATACTCCACCAAAACTACATGATAATACTACTTGAATTAAAGTATAATTATATATTTAATATACTTTTCGTCCCTAAGTGTTTGTCATTCTCACTTTTCGTTCCTAAATTATCATTGGGGTTGCACTTTTCGTCACTTCATAAAACATAAATTTGCAACGTTAGTATAGCTTAAGAACGAAAAGTGAGTCATAAAGTATTAAAGTTAATAAAATGATGAAAAGTGTAACACCAATGATAATTTAAGATAAAAGTGAACACAACCAGCAATTAAAGACGGATTCTACAATTACTCCATAGTGCAATTTTCCCTTTTATATTTCATCCTAAACAGCACTAACATAATTAGTTTCAATGTATAAAGTCCTATACCAGTATAAAGAACATTTTTAAAATACAATATGATATTATTATAAAATAAAAAATTAATTCTCGAGAGAATGCATAAAAGAATATAAAAATGAAGGGAATCTTGGAAAACTATGTTAGTTGAAGACATCATAGGAGTCCTAATTTGAGGGTGAGACGAAAATGGCAGAGTATTGGTTGTTAGGTACTTAGAATAATAATAAAATGACAGTATTTTGCACACTGTTCCCATGTGAGTCCTTCACGCTAAAGCAACCAAACAAAGGAAAAAATCAATCCTTCCCATATGATGATTGTCTTTACTTCCATAATAGTACAAAAATATTACTTTTACCTAACACAAAAAGTTTCAAAATGTCACCACTTCCATAAGTTATTAATGCACATAATAAATAAAACAACATCTGCAACTACTATAAAGCTATATTGAAATGGGCATTCTTGCTTCCCTTACGGGGTGGGACATGAATGGACGACCATCAATACTTTTGTCAATCATATCTTGCTATACAAAAACACATATGAGACAGTTTCACACAAGACCAACAGATCTGATGGCCATCAATTATATCTTGCTACACAAAAATTCATATGAGACAGTTTCGCACGAGACCAACAGATCTGATGACCATCAATACGTTTGTCAATACGTTTGCTACACAAAAACTCGTATGAAACAGTTCTACATAAGACCAACAGATCTGAAGACCATCAATACATTTGTCGATCCTATCTTGTGTGAGACAGTTTCACACAAGCCCAACAAATCTGATGACCATCAATACGTTTGTCGATCCTATCTTGCTACACAAAAACTCGTATGAAACAATTCCACATAAGACCAACAGATCTGAAGACCATCGATACATTTGTCGATCCTATCTTGTGTGAGAGAGTTTCACACAAGACCAACAAATCTGATGACCACCAATACATTTGTCGATCCTATCTTGCTACACAAAAACCCGTATGAAACAGTTCTACATAAGACAACAAATCTGGACATGAATGGATGACCATCAATACATTTGTCAATCCTATATCTTGCTACACAAAAACTCATATGAGACAGTTTCACACAAGACCAAACAGATCTCGCTATGTATGGTGAGGCTGGCGTATAAGGAGTAAAAATAGTTTATTTTTTATTTTATTTAATAGAACAGTACTAATTTTTTTTTTTTTTTTTTTTTTTTTTTTTTTTACATGCCTGCAAGTCTGCAACAGAATAAAAGGAAATTGTAGAAACTATTATCTTTATTCTTTTTAAATATGATGGGTAGGGGTCACCTAGAAGGAATCAGCAGTTTTATCATCAATTCTAACCTTTGTCCCACAGCAACACCCCTTTTTATCATGAGCCTCAACTTTAATGCCCTGTGATTCTGTCAAATTCTCAGCATCCAGCATTCTCTCCAGGAACTCTTTGTTTTCTTTCCAGACCTCTCCATTAGTATACACTTCCTTCTTCCAAATGGGAACCGAAGCTTTGATCTCATCAATCAGGAATTTGCACGCATCCAACGCATCTGCTCGGTGAACAGCTGATGTTGCAACATATACGCTGGTCTCCCCGACTGCAACGGGCCCCAGGCAGTGGGCAATGGCAATTGCGTGGAGATTCCAGGTTGATCGAGCAGAGGAGCACATAGACTGGATACACCGTATTGCCATTGGAGTGTATGCCTCGTATCTAAGCTCTAGTACTTGTTTGCCATCAAATGTATCCCGAGTTGTGCCAGCAAAAGTGGCTATAGCACCACACTGTGGGGACTGAACGTAACTGACATATTTGTTGAAGTCTATAGGGTGATTCTCTTCTAAAATCTCGATGAGATTCCTCTCCTCGCCAGCCATCATTAGTCCCGCCTCGCTAGCTCCCTAAAACTGGGAGCTTTTAAATATATACCCTAATTTCAAGAATAGTGGGGATTAGAAGAGCATTTTGAGTGGCCTGCCTTTCAGATAGAAACTGAATCAATTATCTCGTGTGGTGTGAATTACTAATAACAAGACAAATAGATGAAAGAGAAGTTGCCAGAACCACATAACCCTTCAAAGCTGGAGGAGGCACTTTAACATAATCAATCAAAAGGCAAGCCTCATTCTTCTTTATGATGTAAAAAACCAATCAAAAAATTTAAATGACATTAAATTCATAGAGAATCAAAATAACATGAAACTCAAGAGCTACCATATATATTAAAGATAACGTTGCAACAGACTTCACAGTAATTCTGAAACTGCATAGAATCAATCAATTTCCCATAATGTGCCCAAACTACATTCAGATCCTTTCTTGAAGAAATTTATCTGCAAGCAATTAACAACCATCCTTGGCTTCAATAACCCTAAGTTTTTACCCACCCTTCCCCTTTCAGCCATAACATCCTAATTCAAAGAACAAATTCTTACAGCATTCTTAGAATCCTGCTCATTAATTGTGCAGATTGCCTCTAAAATCATCAATGAACTATGGTTCTTACTGCTGCAACCAACACTATATCAAAACAAGTTGAAACACAAAATATCTTGGGGCATTTTCACTTCCTGCTTTATTCAGTACAATAGGAAAATGTTTTATGGGGAATCAATAAGTTTTCCCTGTGTTTATTCAGTATTGTACAAGAAAAATTCAGAAAAAAAAAATATTGTAATAACTAATAACCCTTAATAAACAATATAAAACAAAAAGGAAAAGAAAAAAGGTGAATTGGGACTTCTGTTCATCTATTCCATTCCTTTCACCTTTGACTCCACTGATTCTATTCCCCACCTTCACAAAAGTAAACCTTAAACATACTATACCTAAACTTCCAATGTTCCAAAATCAAAACTTTCAAATCTTGAGAATTACGGATTTGAGCAAAATTTGTAATTTTAATTTCACAAGCATTAGGTGAGAATTTTGATTCCAATTTTCAAATCATTTTACAACCAATCAACCCACCTATTCAAAGACCCAATTGAACCCCACAATACCTAATTAAATTGAACTCAGTCGAAGAAGAATGGTACGACGTAGCGTCACCGGTCTTGCTTCAAGCTTTCTTCAAAGTGAAGCACCAGACAGCGACTTTGCCTTTAAGCTAACAAGTTCAGAAATTAAAGCTTTGCTTTAATGTTTAAATTAAAATAAAAAGGGAAATTGCGATGAAAAAGAAGGAAGTTAACAAAGAAAATGAATATCTTACACTCACCGGTGGAAGAAATTGGAACCACGGCGGCACACTTCTCACTGCGACTTGCCTGCAGTGTTTGTTCTGATAAAGGGGATTCACAGCAGTGTTGACTATATGGGGTTTAATTCCATTTTTGGCCACCAAGTATTAATAGTTTCAATTTTGGTCTTTAATTTTAAAATAGAGCAAATAAATGACGATTTTGGTTCACATATTTAATTCCTATCAATTTTTATTTACGACTATTGTTTTAATATCATTTTTAATTCATGACTATTATTTTAGTCCTTTTCAACTTAAAATTTTAATTTGAGCATAAATAAATGAATTTAAGCTCTAAGATCATCTCAATTCGCAGTTCTCCTTCTCATTCTACCTTAATTTGAGGAGGAAAATAATGAATTTGGATAGATCTTATGACTTAAATTTCTTTATTCATGCTCAAATAGGGATCCTAATTTGAAAAGCACGAAATTATTCTTAATAATTTCATATTTCAGCATGTCTTAAACGAAGGGGTGACCAGCGTGATGGATTTGACACTTTAAAATAATAGTTGTGGATGAAAATTGGTACTAAAACAATAGCCATGGATGAAAATTTGTATGAATTAAACATGTGCACCAAAATTATCATTTTGCTAATATTCGTGGGACCAAAATTGATATTTGCTCTTTTAAAATATCATAATATTCATTACTCTACAAAATTAATTTTTATAATATTTACTACGGTCCACAGAGTAATTTTAAAAAAAAAATGTAATAATTAAATATTAAAAAAATTATACAAACACTTCTAAAAAGTGAGTTTAATAAGATATGTGATATCACATGATTTAACAGATTTAGTTGAATTTAGATTTTAAGGAAATGGTTTTCAAAAATAAAAAAGATTCTAAGGAAATGTGGTAACAACAACGCCCCTATTGAAGATTTGAAGTACATAGAATCAACACCTCCACCGAGGCTTGATTTCATGATCTCCCATAACGGTGAGGTCATGCCATCTGAGCACAAAGTGCTTAGCTCGAGTTGAATTTGATTATGATACACAATGAATTTGTAAACTCAAAACATGAAAGTTGTAAATAATTTTTTGGGAAAATGACATTTTATCCCCTTGAGTTATATACTTATAGCATTTTCCCCCCTTAATTATTTAAGTGGAAGTTTTTCCCCTAAAATGTTAAATGGACATATTTACCCTTAAAATAAATATTCCATTTATTTTTCTTCTCCAACAAATAATGATCACGTTTCGGTTCAAACCGAACATGTTCTGATTACAATTTAGAATTGAAACCGATATTTAGAATTTATTAAAATCGCGAACCGGAACGTCCGGTTCATGTTCCGAACTGAAAAAAAAATTACATTTATTGTTAAATTTAGACTATTTTAAAAATAAAAATAAAAATAAAAATAAAAAATTTTAAAATAAAGTTTGAACCAATGGTTCAAAATGGATCCAGAACCGTGAACCGGCTATTCAAAATCAAAACTAAATCGTTGTCATATATACTTATATGTGATAATCCGAATAAATGTAAAAAAGAACATACACTATTTGTAAATATTATAACTATAATTTTAAACTAATGCTAGTAGTTGTTTTAATTTGAACTGTCGGTTTTCGGTTCAGGATTCAGTTTTTTCGATTCATGATTTTAATAAACTGAAATTCAAATATTGGATTCTGGATCTGAATCATAACCGGAAACTTTCAATTCGATTGTTATAGTGTCCAGTTCAATTCGAATCGAACCGTGGTCATCCCTACGTATAAAGGATAATTTGTTGGAGAAGAAAAATAAATAAAATATTTACTTTAAGGGTAGAGATGTCAATTTAATATATCAAGGAGGAAATCGCCACTTTTAGAATAAATGAGGGACTAATATACTTACATGAATAATTCAGGGAGAAATATGCTATAAACATATAATTCAGGAAGAAAAAGTACCATTTCCCCTAATTTTTTAGTCCTTTTTTTTTTTTTTTTTGAATGTTACTAGCTCTATTAGATTGTAGTATCTGTTCATATACACACAAAGAACCAATAATGCCTCCACTGAGGCTCGAACTCGTAACCTTCCAAATGGAAGTCTAACCCAGATACCATTAAACCACATAGTCCTAGTAACTTTTTAGTCTTAAATCACTTTAATCTAATTTCATTTTTTATAGTCTTAAATCACTTTAATCTAATTTCAAAAAATACTAAAATTGCACTAAACTATCCTGAAAACGCCGAGTTTATACTGCACTAGAAAGACTCACGTGCCTACTGCAAGGACAGTTGTGCGCCTAACCATACAACCTACTATAATATTCTTTAAGACATTTTTGTGGTGAGCGTCAATTGGGGACTTGTAGCCCTTCAACTAATAGGGTGACTTGATCCTCATTCACATACTAAAATAGTATTACCGTTTCAAGAAAGAACAAAGAAATATTAAAAAGTGTATCGTATGATTTTGCATATATATATATATACAGTGTATGTACCAGAATACATATGCATTGTTGAGTTTCTCTTAGAGTATGATTTTGCATATATATATATATATACATTGTATGTATCAGAATACATATGCAGTGTTGAGTTTCTCTTAGGATATGTGAACTTACAGATGCATATATTATATATATATGCGGAGTTCACTTATTTTGTGAAACAATGCAACACATGGTCTCAAAAAGCAATTAGCTTGCCTGTCGGGAGTAAAACTTTCAGTGTGAACATGAACAAGTAGGCTCTTCTCCTCCACTCAATTAGAAAAAATAAATATAAGTATACATAAGAGAGAAGGGAATTCCATGATATCATAATCAAACCAACACTAGATTCCTATACTATCTTTTAAAAAAAAAATTATTCCGAAAGATGGAAAATATTCCATAAATTATCTACTAGAGAGTAAGACACTTAGAATGGAAAAAGCTGGGAATCTCTGAGATACATTCTTCTCATTTTTCAAGTGATTTCTCTTTGTTCCAGATTAGATATAAAATAAAAGATACTCCAAACTTGTTTAAATGAGCTATCGGCCAACAAGCTATGTATTTTACATAGAATATTACATAGACATTCCAGCTGGTTTTAAAAAAAAAAAATGTATTTTACTTTGTTTGATTAATAGATATTTCAATTGAAGTTTCTCAAATTGGAAGAAAATGAATTTTTTGATTGATGGTGATCGTCTGTTTCCCCTCTCCTGCTGCTTTTATATGTGTTTTTGGTTGTTTCCCCTCTCCCACTACTTTTATATGTGTTATCTTTGCATTTGAGATCTTGTTAATTTTCGCTCTGTTCACAGTTATCTGTGTGCTCAGTTAGTTTACAATTGTGTGCTCAAAACTGTTTATCTTTGGTTTAGGTTCGATCATATTAGCGGAACTGTTTACTCTTCAAACCATATACTCTTATTTGTATTAAACCATGCAAAAATATGTACAAGTATTGCTAGCACAAATCGCAGTCTCATTTGTTCAATGGTTCTTTAATTTGCATTAAACTACATGCATATGTATAGTTGTTTGATTATCTTGATCAGAAAACTTTGAAAATACAGTTATTTGTACATTTTCCAGCTACAGTGCAGTACTATGTTCTTCGTTAATCGTTATGCTTCAATGCCCTTTTGGAGTTATATTTATAGGTCATGTAGCATTTTACACTGTAGATAATGTGATGTTTATGATTGAACTGAATAGAGAAATACTTAATTGTAGAAACATTCTATAATGCCATGTTTGATTAGAATTTTTGAAAAAAATGTATTTTACTTTGTTTGATTAATAGAGAACTTATTTCAATTCAAGTTTCTCAAATTGGAAGAAAATGATTTTTTTTTTTGATTGATATATATTGTAGGGGTAATAGAACAGAATACAGCAACTGAATTAAAGAAAAAAGGATTGCAGGTGACAAAAAGAATATGGGATCACCCTGAATGTGCTTGAGGTACACTTTGATAAGGGTTTTTAAGAGGCTGCTAAAACTCTCAAAGGTGAGCTAGTTATAAGTTTTATCGCATTCATATATATATATATAACCTTCATACAATGAAGTATTTGCAGCAGCAATTGGAGTTGAGGTTTGATATATCCGCCCACAAATTTTATATTGAGTATTCTAGATCGCGAGAATGATTGGATAGTCATATTATGTGATTTGGATGTGATCTATTATATGGATGTGTTAAGGTTGAGTGAGAGGAGTGTAATTAGGATGAGGGTCACCCTAAAACCTCTACAAGCACATCAACAACCCTAAGTTTTTACCACGCTTTCCCTTACCGCCATAACATTCCAATCCAAAGAACTACAGCATTCTTAGTATCCCACTAATTAACTATGTAGTTTACCTTTTAAAATCACCAATGAACTATGGTTCTTACTACTGCAACCAACACTATATCAAGACAAGTTGAAACACAAAATATCTTGGGGCCTTTACACTTCCTGTTTTATTCAGTAGAATAGGAAAATGTTTTACGGGGGAGAGAGAATTGCTTTATAGGAAAAAGCCTTTCTAATGAATAAGTTTTCCATGTGTTTATTCAGTGTTTTACTAGAAAAATTCAGGAAAAGAAAGTATTGGAATAAGTAATAACTATTAATTAAAAATATAAAAGTATTGGAGAGTATAAGTGATATCATACCCATTACTAACAATTTGCTTATAAAGAGGGTAGATGTTGATCCGATATGTGCCATGTGTGGATCATTAGTATTGTGTGGATATGCAAATTCCATATGGGCTCAATCCAACCTTTCACTCCCAAATATTGTGACAAATATTTTTCATTAATGGTTTAGTGAAATATTAAATGTTCTAGACACTAATGGAATAATCTACACAGCTGCAATCTTATATCATATATGGAGAGCATGGAATGGAGCCGTTTGGGATGCATGCCTACCACTGCCAAGGAAATTGCTAGCGATGGCCGGAGCCACCATGCAAGCATGGTGGCGAGTTCACGACAAAGCAGCCGTCCAAGCACCGACCGAAGGCAATGCTGGTACTGCCCCCGTCCAGCCGACGCTTCTGATGCCATCACTGCCGCCCAACGCTATCCACACTGTCCACCCAGCGTATGCAGTACCTCTGCTGCCGTCCGGCCGTGCCATTTCTGCCCAGTCGACGAGCCCGACATCGCCGCTACCCGATGTGCCCCATATTGCACCACGACCAAGAAGATGCTATGTCGACGCTGGATACCACCATGCGACAAACTCGGCTACGGTTGGAGCACTGCTCGTAGATGCAGATAGGGGATATATCTTAGCCCACAACACTCCCCTACCAAGCTGTTTCTCCCCACTTATGGCCGAGGCATATGCGTGCCAGGAAGCCCTGACGTGGCTACGAGCACGTGGTGAACAGTTTATTGAGCTATACACAGATTGTCGGACGCTTCCGAGCTATCTATCTTCAACAGGACCCCCGCTACGTAGTCTATTGAGCTATACACAGATTGTCGGACGCTTCAGAGCTATCTATCTTCAACAGGACCCCCGCTACGTTCGTATATTGGTTATGCTATTGACGGATGCAGAGCTTGCATGTTTATTTTGGCAAATTATTGTGTGGACCATAGTTCACACAGTGTTATGTGGACCATAACGAAAAGTACATTTTTAATATACTAAATGTACATTGTTTTTGTACTGTATGTACATTATACAATATAATGTACACTCAATACAAAAATAATGTACATCCCCTGAATACAATGTATATTATTTTTGTACTGAATGTACATTATTTTACAGTATACAAAATATGGTCCATACAACTTGTGTGGACCATGGTCCACACAATAATAATTGGTCTACTTTTACTTCTTTTTCAGTTAAGTTTATTTCTAGATCGCAGAATTTTATAGCGCACACATTAGCTTCTACAGCTTTTGATTATGCTACAGCTATGTATTGAGACGATGTCTAGACTCTATCTCAGTTTATCTATAAATACAACCGCATTGGTTTCCATAAAAAAAAATATAAAACAAAAAGGAAAAAGAAAAGGGTGAATTGGGACTTCTGTTCATCTATTCTATTGCTTTCACCTTTGACTCCACTGATTCTATTCCCCACCTTCACAAAAGTAACCCTTAAACATAATATACCTATACTTCCAATGTTCCAAAATCAAATCTTGAGAATTAAGGATTTGAGCAAAATTTAATTTCACAAGCATTAGGTGAGAATTTTGATTCCAAATTTCAAATCATTTTGCAACCAATCAACCCACCTATTCAAAGACCCAATTGAACCCCACAATACCTAATTAAATTGAACTCAGTCGAAGAAGAATGGTACGACGTAGCGTCAGTTAAGAAATTTAAGCTTTGCATTAATGCTTAATAAATAAATGGGAAAATGGTACTTTTTCTCCTGAGTTATATACTTATAGTACTTTTTTCCCCTGAATTGTTTAAGTGGCTCTTTTCCCCCCCTGAAATGTTAAATGGACATATTTACCCTTAAAATAAATATTTAAAATAAATATTTCATTTATTTTTCTTCTCCAACAAATTATTACTATAATTTGGTTCAAACCAAACAGATACTATAGCAACCAAACCAAAATATTCCAATTATAATTTATAATCAAAATGCGACATTTAGAGTTTATTAAAATCGCGAACCGGAATGGCCGGTTCATGTTCCAAACAGAAAAAATAAAATATATTTATTGTTGAATTTAGACTATTTTAAAATAAAAAAATAAAATTTTAAAATAAAGACGGTTCAAAATCGTGAACCGGATCCGGAACCGCCGGTTCACGGGTCATGATCAAGTTTTTTTTTTTAATTCTTAAATTTAATAAATTGAAATCCAAATATTGGGTTCTAGATCTGAATCATAACCGAAAACTTTTAATTCGATTGTTATAGTGTCTGGTTCAGTTCGAACCGAACCGTGGTAATCGCTACATATACGCAATAATTTGGAAGAATGACCAGGGATCGAGTCTCACCAACGGCAGTGTGGGTGGAAGAATGACCAGGGATCGAGTCTCACCAACGGCAGTGTGGGAGCAACCTCTCAAAGTGAGGGGGGTTCCTTGTGCGCAGTGAGCACTGGTGGTTCATGTTCAGTTGAGTCACCATGATTTACATCCTCCCAAATGCTCTGTCGGGCCGGGGTGTGGGGGGCCCTTAGGGTTGGGGTTCAGCCTTTTGGAAGAATAATTTGTTGGAGAAGTAAAATAAATAAAATGTTTACTTTAAGGGTAGAAATGTCAATTTAATATATTAGGGGGAAAAACCACCACTTTTAAAATAATTGAGGGGGCTAATGTGTTTACATAAATAATTAAGGGGGAAAAGTGCTATAAATATATAACTTAGGGGGAAAAAGTGTCATTTTCCCTAAATAAATAAACTAGAATAGGGTCGTTTGGAAACCTAAAAAATGACTTCTGAAAAATATTTTCTGAGTTTTCAGTGTTTGGATGCAATAGAAAAATTCAGTAAACGAAAAATGTTTTCCGTTGACCGGGGAAAATGAAGCCATTTTGGTGGAAAATGACTTCCACCAAAATTTGGGGGAAGTCATTTTCCGTCAAAATGTTTAAACATATAATTCTATTCATTTTTTCAGAAAATAAACTAAAACACCAAGTTTTTCAAAATGCAACCAAACACCGGAAAGGAAAATGTTTTCTGAAAAATAAATCATTTTAAAAAAAATATTTTTTAGAAGTCATTTTCCTACTTTACAAACGGACCCTAAAAGGGAAATTGCGATGAAGGAAGTTACCAAAGAAAATGAATATCTTACACTCACCGGTGGAAGAAATTGGAACCACGGCGGCACACCTCTCACTGCGACTTGCCTGCAGTTTAATTCCATTTTTGGCCACCAAGTATTAATAGTTCCAATTTTGGTCTTTAATTTTAAAATATCATAATATTCGTTTCTCTACAAAATTAATTTTTATTATATTTACTACGGAGTAATTTAAAAAAAAAAAAAAAAAACCACGTAATAGTTAAATATTAAAAATATAGAGGTAATTTCAGCAATGGTCCTCCGATTATAGCGATTTTTCAAAATTATTCATCGACATTTAATTTGGACAAAAAAAAACACTTAACTTTCAAAAGTGTTCCACCAAAGGTCCTTCTGTTAAGTGACCGTTCCTTGGCCGTTAGTGTAGGGGCAAATGTGTCCTATGATTGTATTGATTTCTTCTTCTTCTTAGCGTAGCAGCTGTTGTTCATATTCTCCTCCAGTACCAAGAGAGCAGCGAAGAACTCCAGTACAACTCAGCGAAAAATAAAATTATAAGTGGATTACCTTAAACTCATAAACAAGGTCAAAGGAAAAAACCCTATGAAAACTCCAATTCTAAGATAAAACAAAAGAAACCACAACGGAGATAAATAGACATTATGAACCCCCAAATTTTAAAACCTTTAACACAAAGCAAGGTGAAGAACAAAACGGAAATCCATATGAAAATTGTAGAGAGGCTCTCCTTCACGGCATGAATGCCCAAAACGAGGAAGAAAAGTTGGGGAAAAAAGGAAAGCTTTTGAAAAGCTCTGGCTGACGTAACAAACAAAAGTATGATAATCCTCCATAATGGAAAAATCCAGACCCCTTCCCAAAATTGTTCGTTTTCTGGGCACTGGAACAGAATTCGAGACAAAAATTCAAACTTCTTTTCTGGAGAAATGAATCATCGCACCTTCAATTAACAGATTTTCCGTCCAAATTCACCCGAATTCCAACTCAAAACCCATGAAAGTCGAAACTTTAACACAATTCACCGCCGGTAATTCAAGATCAGAGACTCACCGGAAATTTCCGAGCTGAGTATTTTGCTCGCTTCTATCTTGCTAAGGATTTCGCTAGCTGAGACTTAGTCAATTTTAGGACTTTCAATTGGGGATTTTAGCAGTCAGTTAGAAGACCAAGTAATGTACCATTCTACCCTTCACTTAATTGACACAATATAATGAAAAGACACAATTACTCCTAAAACTGACGGGCCAACACATGAAAACTTAACAGAAGGATCTTTGGTGGAACACTTTTGAAAGTCAGGTGTCGTTTTTGTCCAAATTAAAAGTCAAGGATCAATTTTGGAAAATCGCAATAGTCGGAGGACTATTGCTAGAATTAACTCTAAAAATATATATACAAACTCTTCTAAAAAGTGAGTTTAATAAGATATGTGATATCACAAGATCTAACAGATTTAGTTGAATTTAGATTGATTTGTTATTAAAAAATTCGTCACTATACACTAACAACTTCAAGTTGAATTTGATTATGATACACAATGAATTTTTAAAAATTCAAAACATGAAAGTTGTAAATAATTTCTTTAGCTTTTTATAGTCTTGAATCACTTTAATCTAATTTCATATGACTGAGATAAGACCAAAATACTATAATAGTACTACAGTTGACCTTTGTGCAACTGGACAGTGCCTACTGCACAGTTGTGCGCGGCAAATTATGCCCTGGACCCGTGTCCACATTGAATTGTAGACACGGGCCCAAAACGACGTCGTTTAAAAAAAAAAAAAAAAAAAACGCGTCATTTAGTTAAAAAAAAAAAAAATCGTGCGCGTTTTGCCGTTAACGGCGTTATTTTTTTTTTTTGGATTATGAATGTACAGTTATGCCGTTATGAATGTACAGTTATGCCGTTATAAATATACAGTTATGCAATTATGAAATTATAAACACAGAGCTCTAACATTATGAACTTACAATTATGAACATATATAGTGATAAAATTATGACCATGGAGCTTTAAAATTGTGAATATAGAGCTTCGAAGATTATGAATGTACAGTTATGGAGTTATGAATGTATAGTTATAGAGTTATGAATCTACAGTTATGGAGTTATGAATCTACAGTTATGAGATTATGAATCTACAGTATGGAATTATGAATGTACAATTATTGATCAAATTATGAACAAAGAGCTCTAACATTATGAACTTACAATTATGAACATATAGTGATAAAATTATGAACATAGAGCTCTAAAATTGTGAACATAGAGCTTCGAAAATTATGAATGTATAATTATGGAGTTATGAATGTACAGTTATGGAGTTATGAATGTACACTTATGGAGTTATAAATGTACAGTTATAGAGTTATGAACGTACAATTATGGAGTTATGAATGTATAGTTATTAACATATAGTAATAAAATTATGAACATATACTCTTACAATAAAGCGGTCTGAAATTTAAAAAAAAAAAAAAAAAAAAAAAGAGATAACAGTGCCTAACGGCACTGTTACCCGTGTCTTAGGCACTGTTACCCATGTCCAGCAAGCATGCTGGACACGGGTCCAACGCATAACGATTGGTTGTGCGCCTAACCATACAACCTACTATAATATTTTTTAAGACATTTTTGTGTTGAGCATCAATTGGGGACTTGTAGCCCTTCAACTAATAGGGTGACTTCCTCATTCACATACTAAAATAGTATTACCGTTTCGAGAAAGAAAAAAAAAAACATTAAAAAGTATATTGCATCATGATTTTGCATACATATATACATTGTATGTACGAGAATACATATACAATGTTGAGTTTCCCTTAGGATATGAACTTACAGATGCATATATTATATATATATATGCCGAGTTCACTTATTTTATGAAACAATGCAACACATGGTCTCAAAAAGCAATTAGCTTGCCTGTAGGGAGTAAAACTTTCAGTGTGAACATGAACAAGTAGGCTCTTCTCCAATCGAAGCTAACTTGTGACTACGCTCCCAAGTATCTGCAGGAACTGCATCTGCATGAGGAACATGACGAGGATTCTTCTCTCTCTTGTCGCCTCGGATCTGCTTCAGCGCATGCTTAAGAGCAGGTAGCAGTGGCTCCATGCATTCAGCGACTGCGTTAGGATTCCCGGGCATGTTTATAATCTGAAGACACAGGAACAACACGGCAGGCAAAAACTATTAAGGAATGTAACCGAGACCAATAATTAGAAGTAGAATTCAATGATGCACTTTGAATTGAAATATCAATGAATTGTTAAAGAAGTGTTGTGTATGATTATAGACATTATACAAATCAATATCTTGACTTACCAATGTGGACCCTCTTATGCCAGCTGCTGGGCGGGAGAGCATTGCAAATGGTGTGATCTGTTTAGAGTTTAATATATTAATATATTATAATCAGAAAAAATAAATATAAGTATACATAAGAGAGAAAGAGAATTCCATGCTATCATAATCAAACCAACACTAGATTCCTCTACTATCTTAAAAACAAAAAATTCTTCCGAAAGATGGAAAATATTCCATAAATTATCTACTAGAGAGTTGGAAAAAGCTGGGAATCTCTGAGATACATTCTTCTCATTTTTCAAGTGATTTCTCTTTGTTCCAGATTAGATATAAAATAAAAGATACTCCAAACTTGTTTAAATAAGCCATCGGCCAGCAAGCTAATATTAAATCAATCTATCATGGAGACATTCGAGCTGGTTTTATAAATTTACAAAAAAAAAAAAAAAAAAGCCTTTATAAGCTGGAACGTCTTTAATTTGTTAATAGAAACATTATATTTAAAAGAGCCTTTTATGAAAAGGCTTGGTGGAGGCACCTTAATTGCATACATAGCTAATGCAAGTTAGATGCAAAATGTCTTTCCAATTTAGGCTTTGAAGTTGAGTCCTTGTGAAGAAAATTTCATTCAAGGTCCATAATAAGGACTAGAAATTATACTTGGAAGAAATTGGCCCAAAGAGCATATCCAAACTTAGCAAATATTGCATTACTGAATACTGATGACAAAATACAAGAAAGAAAAATACTTTAGGCACATTTTTAGCTGAAATCATTTTCTTTTTTACCTTTAAACTCTCCTGCATCATGACATGTAGAAGACCAGGTGTCTCTTTCTGAAGCAAAGGTTTAGTAGCTTCAGGAGTGACGTCCCTTGGACTACATCCAGTCCCACCTGATTTGTGAAATCAATCATTACAAAACAGCAAGAGTCATGCCGAATGTATAAGTGGCAGAAAATAATCCAGTAAATGGCCATCTAGAAAACACATCTTGCTTGCTCCACAGAACACCACAATTCAGAACATACCTAGGGTAAGAACAAGATCCATGTGGTCAATATCGCACCACCTCAGCAAAATATCCCTAATCTTTTGAATGTCATCTGGAACAACAGCTGTTGTAACTACTCTTGCCCCTCCTAGCCTCTCTGATGATGAATTCACAACTGAAACTGCCCGTGGACCACTGAAGAATGTAAAGTAAATGTGAACTTTAGATCTTTTTGGTACTATAACTTGCAAAAAAAAAAAAAAAAAAAAAAAAAAAAAAAAGGAAAACGGACAACAGTTTAAGATTTCCAAAAGAAGAAAATGACCAACATATGATTCATTGTAATTATAATAATGCCCCTTAAGGACCCATTTGTAACATTGGTTACACCACATTCAGGCAGGATTTTAATACCAATTTCATATTATTTTCATCTGCAATTGAGGGTCCCTAATAGTTCACATATCACCCTGGGGATCAAAAGTGGACCCAGGGTGTCAAAGTATATTTTGATATCGAATCTCTAGAAAGACCAAGGGAAAAAGCCATGTCAAAAACAAAAGAAACAAAGAAAGAAATAGAAGTAATCCAAGAATCATAAATGGATTAAAAAAATAAGGGTTTGAACTAGTTAAGAGATCACATTTCTTAAATAAGTAAAAAATTGAGCACGTATTTCACTACATCACAGCTAGACCCAAATCCGAACCAAATACAGGGTATAAACTTCAGTTTGATCCAGAGAGGATGAATCCTCTACCTAAATTAATATAGAAATGATACTTCATTACTACTAAATCAGCATTTTGTTCTGAAAATAAAGGTCAGGATGATTAATTGAAAGAGCTATCTGGATTTTACGGGATCCTTCAATTCATGTTGCTTTTATTACCTCCATTAAGTTTGTTCCCAAAATTAATATAAATGAGGACCCAACCCCATCCAAGCCATATCTGACCAGCTCAATAAAAAAACAGAAACAAAAAAACAAAAACAAACAAACAAACCAAAAAAAATCCTTCAGCGTTTGGTTGAGTAGAAAGATAAGCCTGCTAATGAACATAATCTTTATGAAGTCAGGATTTAAACAAATGCTTGTAGCAAAGAGTGCAGTACCCACATGTTTCACTTAGCCAAGGAGTTATATCAACTTTGCAATTCTTTCTTGCATCGCTAAAGTGACCCTTTTGGAATAACAATCCTAAAAGGTGTATCTGGATGCCCATAGTCCAATTTTAATCACAGAGAATTGATGTGTATCATGAACCAAATATTTCAAGACTATGAAGTGTGGTTATATTATAACTAATAAACAGTAGAATTAGAATATACAATGAAGCATATACACTTCACCCTCAAATCTTATCTAACCACAAACAAAAGCTCATAACGAATTATATAAATACTTCTATCAAGCCATTAAAACAAAATAGAGAACAGTTAATAAGAAAACTATTGGGTATATGAGATAACCTAAATTATATGGATATCAGAACAATCTTTGAGTAGAGAGTATGGATTGGACAAAGTATTTTTCCAGGTTAATTCATAGCCTATGGAAACAAAAGTGTAAGTTTCAAGTTCAAAAATCATAAAACTAGGTTCCCTGGAAAAATCAGTTGTGATTAAAGTAAATTTTGTTTTTAATTCTACAACTGAGAGTGGATAACAATTAACAAATGATGGGAAATGAAGAATTACTCTCAGTAGCCTAAGAAAATTCATAATTAAATCAAGACTAATGGAGCAAGCAAATTCCCAAGTGAATAACCGAAATAAAATTTCAAAAATGTAGTATTACTGTGATCCCAATACCTCCGATCAGGCCCTGCTCCTGCTGCAACAGTATCACTAACTGTGAGAATAGCTACTCTGGACTCAGAATTTTGAGACACACAAGCATTAACTTCTTGTGGCCTATGCCCCGACTGAGAGCGGCAGGACTCTGTTGATTGCAGACTTCTATTACTTGGAAAATGGCTTATATCGGTAATAACAATTGCAACCACAGAAGCACCAGCCGGAACTGAACTGCTGGATGCAGGCACTTCCAATAAGGCATTTGCTGACTTCATACTCAGAAGTCGACTACTCCTTTGCTGACCTGTGCTCTCGGCAACAAACCTGAAAATCAATGAGAAACATAAATAGAACCACTTATTATGCATCCCTTACAACTAAATGCTTTTTGGAATGTAGTCATGTACTTCATTCTGTTGAAAATAAAGAGTTAGTTTTATCTATAGGGTTGTGTCTGTTTATGAATAGGTGTAAGTTATGGGTAGTTATTTACGGTTATGTCTTTGTGTATATATATGTACTGTGTAAACAAGGAAGACTAATATAATTTCAGTCTTATATTCATTTCCTAGTCTTGATTCTTCATATTGCTTCCGCCTAACTGGCGGGTGGTATTATTCTCCACCCGCCAGGCCATTCCATCTTCCAAATTCAACATGGTATCAGAGCCACTTTCCTAGGGCATTTTCCTTACATTTTCCGGCATAAATAGTAGCCCTGAGACTGCCTCTTGAATTCCGACATATCTATGGTGGTTTGCTTCAAAATCTACAACCACAGTCACTCTCGGAATCGCGCCAGCGCGGGAGCCCACCTCCGACGTGATTTTCCGGCGAAATTCTCCAGAAACCTCTGCCCGTACCCCGCAACCCCATCTGCGTGGATTTTGCTGTGGTGTATTTTTCCTTGTGATGTATTCTCCGGTGAAAATTCCAGATTGTTGTTTTGCCCTTGGACCTTTTGGTGAAAGTTTGAAGGCTTTTTGGGTTTATTGCCAAACCTCTTTCCGGGGTGTTTTTGGTATAACCGTTTTTGTTTCTTTATATTCGGTATACCATACTTAGTCCCTAGGGTTTTCATGTTTGGCACCTTGTTTATTTCCGAAAGCTTCTTTTGTTATTCACTTATCCTATAAGAGATATAAACAACAATCATGAGGTTTTCTCGGTATTCATACAACAATCATGTGGGCTCTACTACCTCCCATTTGCTGCTCAGATTGGTTTGCTCTGTCGTTCGTGATGAAGATTGTTGTTGGCAAATCCTAGAGTGCTTATGTTGCTGTGAGGGTGTTTGTGACAAGCTTCGTCCCTGGTGCCTTCATTCCCAAGGGTTGTTTATAGCATTGTTCCTCCGAAGCCATCCAGCACTGTTATTCTCTAGCTGCTTTTAATCTTCATTTGTAATTTAAAGTAAGGTAGAGTGTATGTTTTAATCCAAGCTTGAAACTTCCAGATGTTCAAGCTTGAGGGGGAGTGTTGAAAATAAAGAGTTAGTTTTATCTATAGGGTTGTGCCTGTTTATGAATAGGTGTAAGTTATGGGTAGTTATTTACGGTTATGTCTTTGTGTATATATATGTACTGTGTTTCTGTATTAGAAACAAGGAAGACTAATATAATTTCAGTCTTATATTCATTTCCTAGTCTTGATTCTTCATATTGCTTCCGCCTAACTGGCGGGTGGTATTATTCTCCACCCGCCAGGCCATTCCATCTTCCAAATTCAACACATTCTATGTCCTATAACTAATATTTCTAATGCCTAGCAGAATTGCAGACACAATGCTTCTGACAGAAAATCCTAAAGAGTATGAGTTAGTAGGAAGAAAGTTTACTACAACATAATTTTTGCTCAACCTGTCAACTTTTATAGATATGTGCACGCATCTCAAAGTATAATTGTAAATAAAAAATAAAAAATAAAAAATAAAAATAAAAGAGAGAGAGATATTCAAACTATGGTAATAATTTATGACTATGTACTATAGCACACTAAAGATAATTCATTATACACAACACATATATTTTACGATCTCCTGGGCGTGTTACGGTATTTGTTAGAGTATACCTTGTTATGATGCCATTGCACATTTGCATGTTACTACAATAATATAGACTTGGAATAGATGAGAGAATGCAACCAGTAAGGAAACTGCACTCATGTGCACCAACTGGAAAGTTGGAAGCAAATCTCTAGAACACAAAACACATGCAAACACAGCACCTTACCCTGGAAGGCCAGATCCATCGTTTAACTGCCAGCTGATAATGGCACGATGAAATTCAGGTCGGGCAGGATCTGACTTTATTGACTGTTTGAGCCGAGCTTGCACTCTACAGTTGAAATATAAATGTATTTCATAAGAAATTCTCCATAAATCGAAAGTAAACAGAAAACTTTAGGTTTTAGACAAGAGAAAATTCTTTTGATAAACTTTAGGCAACCTTGGAAGGTGAGGATGTGCCCATCCAGAAAGATGCCGAATAGCTGGCACCACAAAAAGATTGAAACAGACCATGCAACCCACCGGGTTTCCAGGTAAACCAAATGCCAAAATCTTATTAGTTGTCATGTCAGTTGATCTAGGAAGGATTTCAGCAAATACAAGAGGTTTGCCAGGCTTCATGTGTACCTGAACATTGGACCGATGATAGTAAGACTCAATACAAGTATTAGTTTCACCACATTAATGTGAATGTGAGATGCTATATTCAAACAGGAAGCAGTTAGTTCAATAGATGTCATCATGGAGTCAGTTCCCAATACCCACATGTGTTTGAGGGATAAGGGAGGCTAGGATTTCTTGCATTACCTTCTGAAAACATAATTTCCCCTTCTTTTCAAGTAAAGGCTTGACATAATCCCTGTCTCCCATTGAAACACCTCCAGAGGTTAGAAGGATATTGATTCCAGAAGAGAAGGCGCTGTCTAAGGTTTTTTCAATCTGGCATTCATCATCACCAACTATACCAAGATCAATAACTCTGCAGTGCTGGTCTGTTGCAGCAGCAAGGATCATTGCACGATTGGAGTCCCTTATCTACAAAAGTAGAAGTAAGCCATATTAGGTCAACCTTTAAAATTTAATCAACACAACACTCCTACAAGTTCCTTTCGAGTTCAAAAAGATAACTTTGAAGGCCAGGAAATCTGGAAAAATACACAGGCCATTTATTAACCGACAACCATGCACACCACAGTGATTCCAAGGCAAGCGGTTTCAAGGAAAAGAAAAGTTTTTCCCACCTGACCCCGGGATAAGCATCCAACTTCTGGCTCTACAAGCTCATCACCTGTGGAGAGGACAGCAATTGTAGGGGTAGGATACACCTAAAATCCAGAGCAGCTTTTCAGAAATATCATCAGCATGAAAAATAAATAAATAAATCCATAGCTCCTTAAGAAATTAGGGTAAAAAGGAGAAGCTACAACAACTCTGGGAGAAGGAAAAGAGAGAAAAAAAAATACCTGCACTATAGTCACCCCAACTGTGGCAAGTAAACCGATTTCTGGAGCCCCTAAATGCTCCCCGGATTTCAATACTACATCACCCTTTGCAATATCAGACCCCTAGGAATGTATACAGAAGTAATTTGGAGTTCAGGAAGATATAAAATGTCAGAAATGAGGAAGGAAAAAAATGCAAACGGATTTTAACATGCATTGGTGAAAATGAACATAACGGTTTCACTTTTAGGTCTTCATTGCACCTTCCAGATTTTCACAATATTAGGTTATATTAATTATCTTCAATAAGGTTATCTTCATTTCTCTGCGCAAGTCATCTGTTATTGTAGTGTAGTTCTTTTTCTAGTAGTTAACCTTTATTTTGAAGCAATTAAATCCCTCCCTCCCCAATCCCCCCCACCCCACCCCCACACCCCAAAAAAAAACCAAAATAAAATAAAATAACAGCTTGCAGGTGGAAATTTTAAACATAAGATGCATTGCGTTGACTTGATTTAGAAACTAAGCTAAAACCAGGGAAAAAGAATTAACAAATAAATAAACATCCCAATGTTTCACAATAGCAGGAACAGTAATTACAGGGTCCAATTTACTTATGAAGAATGCAATAGAAGCTTTTGTCTTCATAAGTAAGTGGTATACCACATTTCATTTTAGAATCACCTCAGGAAAGAACATTCTATTGAGGGAGTTGCAATAGTTTTTATACCATCATTGTATCCACTCGAGCTCTTCATCCCACGTCTATCATATAGTTTGAAACTTCCATCATAGTATTAATAACTCAATTGATCAGCACTTAGTATTATACTCTGGTGGAGTAACATGATGCATGCAAAGTATTGAGTTCATACCACCGGACGAATATCAACTCCTGGGCCAGTTCCCTTCAAAATCCGTACTTGCTTTGATTCATTTGAAGCATCTAACAACAATTCAGTGTTCTCTACTTGCACAACAGCATCAGCACCATCAGGTATTGGTCCTAGAGATAAGGCAATTTAAGATTCAGAACCAACAAAAAGAGAACACCTTCCCAACTTCTCAAAAATTAAATTCTTCCCGCATCAAGGTAAAAAGCTCAAAAACATTCACGACAGGCCTAAAAATATAACTAGATCCTATATTGTAACTTTGCTGAAGCATATAAATGGATCAAATTTTTATTATATTCAAAAATCAAGATAATACCCAATAATGTCCACCCAAACAATAAGAAAAAGTGCTTCGATGTAGCAAATACACCTGGAACTTGTAAGCTTAAGTAATGATGTCTATAAATATTTCGACGGATTACATGGCCGGGCTCTATACTTGTATAAGAGCATGTAAAATGTCCAAGTCTGATGAAATGCAAATGCACAACTAACTCACCTCCAGTTGTTACATATGCAACAGTTCCAGGAGTCACAACCACACCAAGTCCATCATTTCCTGCTCTTGACTCAGTGATTATAGGATACACACCTGGTCCATCAGAAGAAACAACTGCATATCCATCCTGGAAACGAGTAAGTCCACAGTATTATACTGAGAATTTATTCAACAAATTAAATATACAGATGAATTCACATTGAAGGGGGTTGAATTTGGTATTCATTTGCAGGAAAAATAGCATGGCGTGCACAATCAAATCCACAGAAGCTTAATTTCTGACATCATTTGGCAAACAGAACATAATCCTTCTAAGAGAGCTTCTAAATCATAAATGAACAACCGTTCAACTTAACCAAATCCATTTCCAAGGGATTGACAAGTAGATAAGCAAAATAGCGAAGACAATAACTAATTCCCGTAATCTTCAAAATCTGAGTGTGTGTGTGTGTGTGGTGGGGAGCGGAAGACCTTGATAGAGGCAGGGTAAGGAGGAAGAGGGTCGGGAGCAGTAATATCTTCGGCCAATACTCTGCCTAGAGCCTGGTGGAGCGGCACGCTGACCGGCGGCAGGCGCTGAGCAACGCTCAGCACTATCTCAAGGGCTTCATTCGAAGATACCATCTTAGAGATTGGGGCTTCGCCATTTTCACTCATTCTCAGCTTCGCTGTTTTGACTTCGTTACTATCTCGTTCTGGTAGTAGTAGGCTAGACAGCTAGTAGCCTACTGCGATTTTATGGGCAAATTATGCCCTGGACCCGTGTCCACATTGAATTGTGGACACGGGCCCAATACGACGTCGTTTTTTAAAAAAAACGCGTCATTTAGTTTTAAAAAAAAATATTCGCGCGCGTTTTGCCGTTAACGGCGTTATTTTTTTTTTTTTTGGATTATGAATGTACAGTTATGCCGTTATGAATGTACAGTTATGCCGTTATAAATATACAGTTATGCAATTATGAAATTATGAACACAGAGCTCTAACATTATGAACTTACAATTATTGAACATATATAGTGATAAAATTATGACCATGGAGCTTTAAAATTGTGAATATAGAGCTTCGAAGATTATGAATGTACAGTTATGGAGTTATGAATGTACAGTTATAGAGTTATGAATCTACAGTTATGGAGTTATGAATCGACAGTTATGAGATTATGAATCTACAGTATGGAATTATGAATGTACAGTTATTGATCAAATTATGAACAAAGAGCTCTAACATTATGAACTTACAATTATGAACATATAGTGATAAAATTATGAACATAGATCTCTAAAATTGTGAACATAGAGCTTCGAAAAGTATGAATGTACAATTATGGAGTTATGAATGTACAGTTATGGAGTTATGAATGTACAGTTATGGAGTTATGAATGTACAGTTATAGAGTTATGAACGTACAGTTATGGAGTTATGAATGTATAGTTATTAACATATAGTAATAAAATTATGAACATATACTCTTACAATGAAGCGGTCTGAAATTTTAAAAAAAAAAAAAAAAAAAAAAGAAAGAAAAAGGAGATAACAGTGCCTAGCGGCACTGTTACCCGTGTCCAGCAAGCATGCTGGACACGGATCCAACGCATAACGATTGGATTTTATGTCCATATTACCCGAAAATTACAAATATTAAAAAATCAAATGGGCTCACATGAAATTAGTGGGCCAACAATACAATAAATCAATCATTATTGTGTGGACTATATTTTGTATGATGTAAAATAATGTACATTCAATAAAAAAAATATAATTTTAATATATTAAAAATGTACATTGTATTTAGGAGGAGATGTACATTATTTGTGTATTAAATGTACATTATATTGTATAATATACATTCAGTACACATATAATGTTCATTTAATATATTAAAAATGTACTTTTTGTTATGGTTCACATAACAATTTGCCACAATAAACATACAAGATAGCATTTTATTGCATAACAAAGGTTATCCACTGCACTTTACAGACACTCATTTTTTCATTTTATTGCAAAGTATTATTAAATTATTAAATACCATTAAAAATAAGACATGTAAAACTTTCTTCTTTTATATATATATATATATATATATATATATATATATATATATATATGGGTGTGTTTGAAAACCTGGAAAATGATTGGAAATTATTTTTCGAATTTCTAGGGGGCGTTTACTAACTGAAAATTTCCAAATTTGAAAACTGAAAACTGGAAACGTGTTTACTATGCTATTTTCCAATTTTCAAATTTGAGAACAGTTCTCAATTTCTTAAGAAATCTGAAACACGAAAAAAATATGTTTTCAGATTTGAGAACAATCCAAACACGGGTGAACAGTAACCAAAACATGCATCGATTCCTGGCCACTTCTTTTTTCTTCTTTCTTCTTTCTTCGTCACTTTTCTTCTTCACCTTCTTCACTTCATATCATTTCTCATTTACAAACACCCTCACACAGCTTCAATACCCAACTCCCCTCAATCGTTAATCCTTCGGAGTCAGTACCCATACGCGGCGACGACGAGCCTAGAGTGGGTGGGCGACGGTAGTTCGAAATCGCCGACTTTCGTTGTACCATACGCGGTTACAAGAGGCGACTTTCTCTGTACCAGGCGCGGTCACAAGAGGCGACACTCCGGGATAAATACCGATTGCTGAAAATATGGAAGCCGATGTTTCTATCCTCCTAGCGTCAAACCTGTTATCTTTTCTCATATTTTGTTTGTATTTCCCAGATAAGGGTTAGGGTTTTGAATTTTGGAATTGGAGTTATGCTGAAAATCTGGGTATTATTTCCGCTCTTTTTCTTGTGTTTTGCGTTGATTTCATTTTCATTTTGTTTAAAGTTTTGATTTTGTTTTTATTTTTGTTATGATTTGGTACTTGGTAGTGTTAATGTAAGGTTGAATCTATATTCGTTGTTTTTTTGGGTGTTTAAGATATCATTGACATGATATTTTCATTAAGTAGTGGAATCTTTTTTTTTTTTTTTTTTTTTTTTGAATTCCTTATTACACTTTGGAAGTGTTGAACATTTGAGTGGAGAATGAATTTCGGAAATAAGTACAGGTAAACAAGTTTTCATTCAGTTTTCGAAAACAGAGAATTTTCAAAAACAGAGAATATAAAACATAAAACAATTTTCTGTTAGTAAACGGGCCCCTAGTGTTTGGCTGGGTTGGAAAATGAGAAGTCAAAGGAAAATGAGGCATAGACAATGGAAAATGAGCTCAACTTTATGGAAAATAACTTCTCATTTTTTTGGGGGAAGTCATTTTCCGGAAGGCTACTTTAACCTACAACAACAACTACTATCTTCTCTGGTTTCTGGCCAGACACCAGAGAGCAGTGCTCTTTGGTTTCCGGCTAGACACCAAACTCTGGTTTCTGACTGGAAACCAGAGAGTAAGTACTGCTCTCTGGTTTTCAGCCGCCGAAAACCAGAGAGAACGACGGAAACCAGAGAATTTTGTACTCTCTGGTTTCCGTCATTTTTTTTTTGTTTTGTTTTTTTTTTTTAAAAAAAAATTAATAAACAATATTATTTGATTTTAAAAATACATATTATTATTATTATTTATAATATTATTGTAAATTTTATATATTTTAAACAAAATAATTAATTATATAAAAAGTTTAACTATACAATTACATCATTTTCATAAGGGAAAATGGTCAAATAGGCCCTCAAACATTTGTTAAAAAGTCAATTAGCCCTTCTAACTTTTTAAAGGTTCAATTACACACATAAACAATGCATTTTGAAGCAATGAAGCCTAAATACAAGTAAATGACCTGCTATCATAGGTCATTGAAGATCTGTCCATTTTTCAACGTATTTTCAGGCAAAAAAGTGACCGGCGACCGTTCGACGGTCACAGACTCCGGTGACCACTGTGGTCACCGTCGACGGTCGCCGGTCACTTTTTTGTCTGAAAATACGCTGAAAATACGTTAGAAAATGACCGGATCTTCAATGACCTATGATAGCAGTCATTTACCTGCATTTGAGCGTCATTGCATCAAAATGCATTGTTTATGGCTGTAATTGTACCTTTAAAAAGTTGGAGGGGCTAATTGACTCTTTAGCAAATGTTTGAGGGCTTATTTGATCCTTTTCCCTTTCTAGAAAATGAGTCAAACACACAAAGACAGTTTTCTGTTGTGCAGCCAAACACGAGAAAGGAAAATGATTCATTTTCCAGAAGTCATTTTCCTGCTTTTCAAACGGACCCTAAAACTAATTTTACACACGCATTACACGAATAGACTAATGTCTAATGTTTATATTTAAATAATTATTTCAAAGTACATCAATGCAATATTATATAGTATAAGTTCATACGTAGGTAATTAAATGTCAAATTTGTTTATTTAAATAGGTAATTCAAAGTTTATGAATGCAATATAATATAAGAGATTCATTATAATTGTCACTAAAATAAATATTTTTAACTTTGTAAAATTGATAGTCTAAATACTTAGTCTAAAAATGATAGTCAAAATAAATATTACTTTTGGTTTGAATTTCTCTAAGTCTTATTAATTATATTTTGGATAGCATTGTCATCATCTTCATCCTCACTATTTGTCACCTTATTTTTTGTTGGTAGTATGTCAGTTGCAATTAGGTTACTAGTGGTAGTATTGATGATATCGTCATGCAATGAGATTATGGTGTATGAAGGTGTGGATTTGCATTCAAAAAAATGAGTGAATTTGTCTTGTTGTGTATATATGACTGGGATATTAGTTGTACTATGAACTCTTGATATTGCAAGCATGTTGATATTTCCAGTGGTAATATTTTCCCTTACATGTTTCATGTGGAAGTATTGAATAAAATATTAATATTTATTATATTTGTAGAAGGTTCATGAGTAATACATCTTGTTTGATTTTCATACTCCGTACTTGTTTACTTGATAGACGATAGTAAGAGCAATAACTCTGCATGTAGTCCGAATACTAATGCCGCAACGTGTCCAGTTTCATCAACAATTTTTTCACATTCATTTTTGCACATGTTCATTTTCAAGTTCATATCTTTGGAATTAGTATGAATGTGTGTAGTACTTGATTTTGTGTGTGTGTGTGTGTGTTGATGTTTTTTTTTTAAAATTTTTTTTTATTGAATTGATACTCATCTTTGAGTTAAATTGTTTGTCACTTTGTGTATAAACCTTTTAAAACAGTGCTACATAATATATACCAAGTGTTTTTGTTGTGAATGTTGATGCTGATTTTGTCTTTAATCTAAGCATGTTGAATATAGAAGATGAAATGAATTGTAAATTTATATTAGTTATAATATATATAATGAATGCACAATAAGTATTTTACATACATGATCAATGAATGCAGCAACGGTGAATATTTTAAATTTTTTTTCATTTTCTTGATATGCCAAATTGATTATAGCATTGTTGCAAAATGCAAATAAAAGATGAGAATAAATAATTTAAAATATATGATTACAATAGATAGATATTATTATAATAATGTAATTAAAATTAACTTTAAACCGAACCGAAGTGCCAACCCCTAATTTCAATATGGTAACCAAACACTATATTACTTTAACCATTTATGATTATATCATTGAAAAAAAAGTTTAGGAAAGGCAGTTGGCAGAAACATGTGAAAAAACACGTCAGAGATTCAGGATCCAAGGGTACAGATAGGTAGATAGCTGTTCCCTTCACAATTTTACATGCGACTTTAAATACCCGAAAATGTTATAAAGGGAAAACAAATCCATATTTAACTACAACAACTACCGTTCCACGCCACGTCCCTTCCATAGAGATTCTCTGTACTTCAGACATCGCTAAATTCTCAATCTTCCATCGTCTTCGATCCAACTTTTTCAGCTCAACAACAATAATTGCTTCAATTATACCCGCAATCTTCCTTTTTTTGTTTTTCCAATTCCCCCTCTCCCAAGTCTCTCTATGTTCTGTACTCTTTTGAAACCCTAACATCGTCGGGACTTCTCAATGGCGGAACCACCGAGAATTATCACCGCCGGCGCTGCGGAGACCAACAGCTGCAGTCCGCTGGCGTTGCAGACCAGCTCGCGCTCCGTGACGGAGACGGTGAACGGCTCGCACCGCTTCGTGATCCAGGGGTACTCGTTAGCCAAGGGGATGGGGGTGGGGAAGCACATCGCCAGTGACAATTTCTCCGTCGGTGGTCACCAGTGGGCTATCTACTTTTACCCGGACGGTAAGAACCCCGAGGATAATTCCGCGTACGTGTCTGTTTTTATCGCTTTGGCTAGTGAAGGGACGGATGTTAGGGCTTTGTTCGAGCTCACTCTGATTGATCAGAGTGGCAAGGGAAAACACAAGGTTCATAGCCACTTCGATCGCTCCCTCGAGAGCGGCCCCTACACGTTGAAATACCGCGGCAGCATGTGGTAATCTCTTCATTTTTTTTTTAAAAAAAATCTTTTGCTTAATTATATATATATTTTTTCATGTTTCTTAGCTCAATATGATGTTGCTAGTTGAGATATTTGATGGATGACTTTAGTTCATTAGAATTCAGGAATTGAAAGATTCTGATGGCATGTCTTGACTTTATCAGTATCTGGTTCTGTAGGTTCTGTTCTTTCATTATGCTGAATTATTAAGGTTTTTTTTTTTTTTTTTTGGGAATGCAAAATTAATGGATCTCCTTACCAACTATATATAAGATGTACTATATTCAGAGTTTGCTTGTAGAGTAATTCAACAAGCAATGCTGGAATTACTAAATTTGTTAAGAACTTATTTATACCTTCAATTTGATATTTTCATTGCATGAAGTATTAGTGATGTGGTTTATATTGAGTCAGTGTATTAATTAGTTTTTTAGATTTCGAACAAACAATTGATTGTTGAATAGAAAATTTTAAACTCATTCAACCAGCTTCTAGTCTTCTATCAATGATTTTTTCTTCAATGCAATAAGTACTTAAATAGTGTGAATGTTGGGGCAGTACCCACTGGTCTATTGGGCCAGCCACTCTGCACACGCAACGGTTGGCCTATCAGTGCCTGAGCCCAGGCCCAGGTCGAAAATCTGAGAGGTTCTTAGAGTTGCATTAAGATTGGACCAGAGAGCTATTGTAGCTACAAGTGGACTGCCAATTGGAGTTATACAAGGACCGAGGAGTCCAGCCTAGTTGGGCACCCAACTGGTTTTCCTGGCCTAGAATTTGCCTTCATATTCCTAATTGCCTTGCCATATAATGATGTGGCGGTGATTTATGCAACCCTAGGGCTGTTGTTACTTGCAAAGCGAAGTATTTAGTATTTACTAATTCTAGTATAGCAAGTATATCTTAGGAAGTAGTTCTCTAATCCTAGGTTGGGAAGGCGACAACCTGAGTTATGCACTTAGGGGCAGTGTGTCTCACCTATTTAAACATTGTTCACAATCACACAATATCTACTACATCTTAAGCATTATAAAGCACCTTTGTGTTGAAAAACATGTGACGAAATTCAACATACAAGCATGCATAGAAATATGAAGGGTTGTTGGCTTTTCCTAAGTTGGGTATCTTAGGTGCCTTTTTGTACTAGTATACAACTATACATATGTTTGCGCTCCACTTTTATACAATGCAATAAAATTTGCTCCTTTTCTTCTCTAAATTCAACATGAACTAAAGCCATTCTAACCTTATCTTTTATGGCAAAGAAATAGGTGAATAGTGCTGACTCCCTCTGCTGTCCTCACTGCCAGAGCCCACATGTTGGTGGGTGTGACCACCTCTGGCGACCTTTTTCAACAAAATTCTCCAGTTTTACTCATGACCTTTCTACAAATATCCTATAAAAGTTTCATACAATTCTAGAAACAATGGTTGAAAGTTTCAAGTGCAAGTTAAAGTTTAAAGTGTTTCAAGTTCCAAATTCTTTAAGTGTCCATGACGTCGTGTTCAAGTGTTCATGTTTAAGTCTTCAAACTTGTGTTCAAGATGCCAATGTGAACACCAAAGGTTAAGTCAAGTGTGTAACAAGCTTGGGGCACATGTGGCCCCAGCTTGAGGTGGAGTATTGAAAAACATGTGAGGCAATTAAACAGACAAGCATGTGTAGAAATATGAAGGGTTGTTGGCTTTTCCTAGGTAACTAGGTTGGGAATCTTAGGAGCCTTTTTGTACTAGTATATATATGTGTGTGCTCCACTTTTATATAATGCAATAAAGTATGCTCCTTTTCTTCAAAGTTTAATGCTCATTTGCTGGTTGGTTATGCTATGTTGAGGATTGAAACAAGTATATGAATGAATTAGGCTCATTCCTGACCTGGATGTTTGGTATGCTATGTTTAAACAAGCATGAATGAATTAGGCTCTTCCCGACCAATTCAAGAGTCTAGACCTGGAATTTCCAAAACATATCTATACCATTTCTTCCTCTTTCCCTTAAACCTTGTCAGGACTAATTAACTGAAAAGAATTTTTTACTTACATAGATACGTGTATTACTTATATAGAATCAGTACTTTGTATTTTTGTTTGTGTTGAACTGGTATATGTGTCCTCGAATACATTGTATATATAAAAAAGAAAGAAAAATAACAAAATAAATCAATTTACAAAAGCCTATAGAGGATCCCTCTGTTCACAACCCCATCTTCTAGTTCTCTTCTCCTCTCTGTACTTCACTCCTGCTTACTGTTATTACCCCCTCCATGCCTCTTGTCTCCCTGGACAACCTTTCCTTCTCTGAAGCCTATCTAAGAGCAATTCTTCTCTTTACTATATCCTCATTTATTTGATGATATTTGATTGCTCATTGTCTGAATCTCATCATCTTGTTGATTTTGAGGCCAACATTCAAGCGTGGGTAGTGGCTTCCAAATAACTGAAACTCAAATGAACCAAACTTACCAAATTAATTTCAGTGCATTTTTAACCCTATTTGTAATTCAGTTCAATGGAAAATTGGAAATGCAAACTGAAATCTCAGTCTCAGTTTTGTATCCAAATGTATTCAATACTTCATGCATCTCTCACCTTAACTTCTCTTATTATTATTTTTATGAGGGTGTTTTGGATTAAATTGTCTGTGTTAAATCTTTAAAAATATATTTATGATTTATATTTGATCTTTAGAGGAGCAATGGACTGAGTTTGAGCAGTAGAGCTACGGATTTGAGCCATCCTTCTCTATGAACACACCAGATTGTTGTATCTATAGCCTCTTTTACCAAGAATAACTGTGTTAAACTGTTGCCTTCACTGCTTTGCAAGCGTTATGATCTAAGGAACTTTGAGTTGGCATTTTTATTATTTGATACCATTTTTGCCTTTTTTCCCAGTGGCTTCTGCTGCAACCCAGGACTGCTGTTGACTTGTTTTTATGTTGAAATTTGTAGGGGATACAAACGCTTTTTCAGGCGAACATCGCTTGAAACTTCAGATTATCTTAAAGATGACTGTTTGAAAATTAATTGTACTGTTGGAGTTGTACGTTCTACAATAGACTGTTTAAGCTTGCCTTCAATTCAAGTCCCAGATTCTGACATTGGTGCACATTTTGGCATGCTTTTGAATAATATGGAAGGCTCTGATATTATTTACAATGTGGCTGGAGACAAATTTTATGCCCATAAATTGGTTTTGGCTGCTCGTTCTCCAGTTTTTCACTCACAGTTACTTGATGTAGCAGATAGTGATAAGCAGGAAATTGTAATTACTGATATGGAACCCAAGGTCTTCAAGGTTAGCAACAGGGCATATACTTTCTTTTACTGGTTGTGTGGGATTGGATTCATCTTCCCTGCAGCGGGTTTGTGAAATGCCTTTGATTTATCTATCTATCCATTAACTGCTGTATAGATGTTGACAGTAATTTTATGTGGTGACACAGGCTATGCTGCACTTTGTATATAGAGATGCTCTTATGGAAGATGACCTGGAAGCATCTAGCCCTTCATCCATTCCTTCTGTATCTGATACATTAACTGCAAAATTGCTAGCAGCAGCTGATTGTTATGATTTGGGAAGACTCAGGCGGATGTGTGAAGCTCGTCTCTGCAAAGATATCTCTGTGAACACTGTTGCAAACATTCTTGCTCTTGCTGATAGTTATCATGCCACAGAACTCAAAGCCGTCTGCCTTAGATATGCTGCTGAAAATTTGTCTGGTATGAGCCAATTGCGTTCCTTGATTCTGTCCAATATTCTCTAATGCTTTATTTACTTGAAAACTTTCGTAATATTGTATATTCTAGGAAGGAAGATAACCTATTCTGTTGTTCATATGATTTTTTGTGTGCATGAAACCTAAGATCTTGTAGAGGCTTCTATCATCTCAATCAAAATGTCTGTGGTTTCCTTATTTTTGCAAGGGTTTGCACCCAAAACTCTTTCTTGATCATATCTCAGTTACAAGGATTTCTCTACCTCCACACGATTCATGCCCTTAATAATTTTTGCTAGCTGTTCAACATCTCCAGTGTGGTTTCTGTTACTGTTGGCATGCACAACATTTTCACTAGAGGATTTACCAGGAAGTAAAACACAGTTAATAAGATAAAGATAAGTTAGGTTTAGGTGCATGATGGCTGGTGTGACATTTATCATTTTCCAATCTGTTTTGAGATGGAGCATTGTTATTGAAGTTAGAAAAACTAAACATGCCCTTCTGGCTGATATATATTTGGTATCTTGGTGCCAGCTGTGATGCAGTCAGATGGCTTTGAATACCTAAAAGTGAACTGTCCGTCACTCCAGTCAGAACTTCTGAAGACAGTAGCTGGTTGCGAGGATGATTGCAGCAGTGGAGGGGCAAAGTCGCGGAGTGTTTGGGCACAGCTTTCAGATGGTGGTGATACCAACGGAAGAAGGGTACGTCAACGAACCTGATTTACATAGGAATCTTAGTTGTTATTCTTCTGTATAATGGGTCAAGAAGAAATCTTGGGACACGATAACAGTCTCATAGAATGAATTCATAGTTTTTGTGAAAGGGGGTATGTAATAGCACAGATGTATGATGGTGTTAAATAGCTGGGCCTGGGGCTAAGTAGTCAAGGTGGGAAGTTTGACACTAGTACCTTATCTTCTACTGCCTCTGTAATTAAGGATATTGTTTGTTCTTGTTAACTGCTTTCTATTCTGAGAGAGATTTCTGCTACCAATACTGTAATTATGTCTTGAACCATACATATCATTCTATGTTTTTAAGCTGTTGAACGAGGTTCGTAACTAGATGTAGCATGCACGAGTTTTGTTGATTGATCTGTTGATACATGCTAGAATTTTATTCGATTTTTTTATTATATATATTTGAATGTATGAATTTATCCCAGACACTAGTCTGGTAACACCTTGTAATGTTGAGTTTAGTTGGATTGAAGTAAATGATGGAGGTTTTGTTGAGTTTGTTTGTAGTTGTTTTGGGTATTTTGTGATGCATTTTTCCCTTCCCATATATCAATGAGATATATGTCGGGGTAATTGACTAAAGAGCAATGCTATAAACTTCTTCAGTATTTTTTTAAAAAAACTTCTCATCCTGTTGTGGTTATCATCTGAGTGGTAGTTAAACTCGATATTAAAATTTATCCGTTATTAAGAACAAATTTTTAATGGTATATTTACTTCTCTATGTTTTTGAAGATATGAAAAATATAGAAGATGACAGAAAAATGAAAATCATGTACTGTATTTACATATCATATTTATTTAAAATTAAAATTGACTATTTACATTTTTATTACGGTTGAAATTAATATTTTATGATGTTGAATTATAATTTGTGCTTTTGCACTAAAGCTGTATAGATTTGTTGCTTTCAAAATATTAGTTATATAGACCCTAACCTAATATTGAAATTGTATGTCAAATAGGCCCTCGAACTTTAACTTAAAAGTTAATTAGGCCCCTAAATTTTTTAAAGGTGTAATTACACTCATCAACGATTCATTTAAGTGTAATGAAGCCCAAAAATAAATTAATGACCTGCTATCACAGGTCATTAGGGTTCAGGCCACCTTTTCGCGAAATTTTCGGCAAAAAAAAAAAGTGACTGGTGAAATTTCCGGCAAAAAAGTGACCGGCGGCGAGCATTCGTCGGTCGCCCGTCACTTTTTTTTTTTTGCCGAAAATTTCGCCGGTCGGTCATTTTTTTGCCGAAAGGTGGCCTGAACCCTAATGACCTGTGATAGCAGGTCATTAAATAGCAGGTCATTAAATTGTTTTTAGGCTTCATTGAATCTAAATGAATTGTTGATGGATGTAATTGCACATTTAAAAAGTTTAGGGGTCTAATTGACTTTTAAGCTAAAGTTCGAGGACTTATTTGACCCTTTTCCCGTATATTTATATTCAGATGGTGTCAGTTTAAGTATTGAAGTGTTGATCCATCTATGATTAATACGCCGTATATTTTTCAATCGATGTGTTTAATATCTGATGAAGATAAAAAGTAACACATTTTAAACAATTAAAATTTCAAAACTAATCAACTTTTATATTCAATGATCAAAGTCAGGGATCGAAAAAGAAAAGAAAAAGGTCACTGTTTAATAAAATAGTTAGCCTACAGTTAATTTTAATTGATTTGACCATTATTAGCTGTTTAACTTGATTAAACAATTAATATGAGTGTTTGATTAATTAGCTTTTTGTAACAACTTATTGCTTCAAAATATTAAAATTCAAATCAATTTTTTGAGAAATACATTTTGTATGTAATCAGCTCACTAATGTTATCAACTAGTCAAGTCCACTAACTCAATAAGCTCACAACTATTTACCAAAAAAAAAAAAAAAAAAAAAACACACACACACACACACAATACTTAGAGGACCAAAACAGAAAGAGTTTTTTGCACTTTTAGTCCCACGACTATAGTGGCACTGGCAGAATTGATCCACGACTTTTGAACCTTGCAATTTTAGTCCACGACTATTGATTTTTTTGCAAAAATGGTCCTTCCGGCCACTTTTCCGTCAAAATTTCACCGGAAAAAAAAAATTCTCCATTTTTAACCGGGTTAAAATTGACATTTTACTTATCTCAAAAAATTAAAAGAAAAAAATTGATATTTGACTACATACATTATTACTGGGCTACATACTACTGCCCCAGGCGGCGGAGTTCCTGGAGCAGGCAGGGCTGTCAGTAAGCGGTGGAGCGGCCGTGGCGTTCTCCGGGCTAGTTGGGTTATCCGGCAGCAGCATTGGAGTGGTACATGTACTCCGCCGCCTGGGGCAGTAGTATGTAGTCCAGTAATATTGTATGTAGTCAAATATTAATTTTTTTCTTTTAATTTTTTGAGATAAGTAAAATGTCAATTTAACCTGGCTAAAAATAGAGAATTTTTTATTTTTCCGGTGAAATTTGGACAGAAAAATGGCCGGAAGGACCATTTTTGCAAAAAAATCAATAGTCGTGGACTAAAATTGCAAGATCCAAAAGTCGTGGATCAATTCTGCCAGTGCCACTATAGTCGTGGGACTAAAAGTGCAAAAAACTCAAAACAGAAATGGCCTGGGGCTAACACAACCAAGTGAAGAAAGACATGTGATCTGATCCTAAAAGACACCCACTCAATCTTTCCTCACATATTTTCCACCCTTTTCAGACTGAAACTTGGAAAAATCTGACAAAAATTGAAATATATCTCAACCCAATATAGACAACACACACCTTTACCAAACCCATAAAGCAGTTTTGTATATATGGTAAGGCCCAAATCTGATTACTGAACTGACCAAACACAGACCTGAAATTGTACATGCAACATGGGAAACACACAACATATGCATAATAAATTCAGGGAGACAACCATAATAAGCACACTATTATTCTGGTTGGAGACAGCATATGTTTTTGGTTGAGTCACAGCAATGTCAACAGAGATGAATGGAAATTTGATTCAAAACAAAATACAACTGAAAATGGGTAGCAATGCCATTAGCAGGATCATCTGATGGGAAAAATTGCGTGGGAGACCGACCGACCGACCTATGTTCGTTCAATAACAAAATGTTCTTTCTTGGGCAACTTTGAAACTATAATTTTCTTTCAATCCCAAGAAATCGATTAGAAAGTGGACATGGCATCCCAAGCACAAGAATCTTGTACACACCCTAGGCCCGTTATTTTTTTGCAGTCCTTGCTAAAATCATCAAAGAGAACTGCCCCAAATGCATCTTTTAGGATTGAGTGGTTTTTACCATGATCTGCCTTCATGTCAAAACAATTTGAATCAAGCAAGAAGTCGGGCCTGGAAAACATCTCCTCGTGGTTTGATGCATCATTCTTGTCATCACATTGTACTGATACTGACCCAGCATCCTCTTGCTTAGCTTCGTCTCCTTCAAAATGATAGTAATTCCAAAAATTCACATTATGAGAAAATACACGGTTTAGGAATTTAACAAAGAATAAATATCCTCACCTGGCATTGTTTCAACTGACTGGGGCTCATCTAATGAACTTCCACTGATAGGGGTGTATTCACTAAACACCGATGCAACAGAATGACCTAGAGGAGAGATTGGGTCTCCATATGCTTCCAATTCTGTGCCATCAAGATCTGGACATGAACTATCCATTATGTCACCAGGCATCATGAAAGCACCAGAGGTCTGTTCTGATGAATTACTTTTTGTATGCTTCAAAGTCTGCGACTCATAAAGTACAGCATCAAGCAGGCCACTGTTTCTTGGAGAAAGACTACCTGATCCAGTATTATGTTCGGTTGGAGGCGACTGAATCAATGTGTCAACAGACTCTAGAGAAGGAAGAGGGGAGGAAGGTGAGCCCCAGCTACCCATCTGACTTTGGAGTGAAGGGAGCTCCAGCTTCTTTGCCCATGTGGGCTCCAAAGAAGAGGAGTTGCCATTTAAAGAGGCATGGCTGCCAGAGATTACACCCGAGAATGATGGGTGACTAGATGCAAGACTGTGATCGTATGCAGAAGAAAACACAAAGGATTCTGCAATCTCTACAGAACTGTCATTCTGATATGGACTGCAGGCTGGAAGAATATCACCGGCATTGGCATTTAAACCAGGGAACAAGGGCTCTGATCCCCGTATACGTTTAGAAGGGTGCATGGTTGACAGGACCGACCTGTTGCCATAAGAAGAATTGAGGCCATGTGCCAGCAGGCTACTTGCAGGAATATCAAGCAAGCTACTTGGAGGAATATCAAGAAGTGCTGGTGGATACAACTGCTGATTCACCTCCAAACTCTTGAATTCCACAGCTGGGATCTCAAAATTGTTGATCTGCAAAAGATCAGGATGGTGTGTTCCCCCATTTGGGAATGTGCTGAAATCTTCATTTTGTTTGCTCTCATTTAAGGCTTTCAAACAGATATCTGGAGGATATATTGGCAAGCCAGCACGCTGTCTTCTCTTGATTCTGGTATTCCAATAGTTCTTTATCTCATTATCTGTGCGCCCAGGCAACTGAAAGGAAGATGACAATGGCAAGATGGGCTAAGTAATAGTCAACCACAAACATGAACTACATATACAGATGAAATTAGTCTTGATTAATGATGGGAATTTCTGTACAGCAGACCTAAATGAACATGCCAATCAGCAGAAAGATTCTCCTAAAAAGGTTTCCCATCGTAGTTTGTTTTTAGAGATGGAAAATTAAACCTTCTGACTAAGAAACAAATAGGATTTTATAATTACAAGAACCTAAGTTTATGTGTTTAGAGAAGCAAGAAAAAAAAAACAATAAAACAAAAAATTTTTCTAAAAAAAACATGTCACGTCCTTGAATTATTCAGAAGGTTAAAATATAAGTTATAATAATAAATTCATATACAGAATTTTTCGGCAGCAAAATTATAGGAAACAAATTACTTAAGGTTATAGTAATTGCAAAATATTAGCATGGAGGGAGAAGATATTCATGAGCCACTATAAATATGCAGTCCTAGGTGTAATGCTATGAATCATGAATTCCATCATGCAAGAAAACAACACTCTCCAACTAATTGATGTGGTTGTGTTTCTACATCCATGAATTGCATGAAGTATTAGTTAGTCAAGAACTGGAAAGCAAAAGAATACTGAATTCCTTTACTTTTCCTTTCTGTTCAGGCTGCCATTTTGGGTTTAGGGTTGCAGTTGGGGAGTGGGGGTAATTGGATGGTCATAAGTTTCCATATATGCAAGCTATTTCATTACTTGTATAAATATGTATACCAGCAAACACAATCAAGACCACAGAGGAAAAGGGTTATAAAAAAATATCTTGAATTTTCACCTAATTTCTTGAGGCTGGTATGTTTAGATATAAGAAACAGGTAATATTTCTGGATAGTTCTGACTTAAATCTGGACAAACTCCCAACTGCAGAAGACACATGTGGAAGGACTATTAGTGGCTAAGAGGAGAAACTGGATAGATCAAATGAGGGATCATACACACCTCAGCAGCCATTCGCGCCCATTTGTTTCCCATTTTAGCATGGAGTTCTATAATGCGGCTCTCTTCCTCTGGAGTGAATGCTCCTTTCTTTAGATCTGGTCTCAGGTGATTTGCCCATCGCAAACGACAACTTTTTCCACAGCGAGCAAGCCCAGAATGCTTCTGCACAGCATTCCAGTTCCCCTCTCCATGTTTTGTTACATATTCTACTAAAATTGCATCCTCTGCAGATGTCCAGGGACCTTTCTTCAGCGTTTTACCTCCAACACTTCCTGCATTTCCCCCACCAGTAGTATCGTCACTTATACCACCTTTTGAAGTCATTTTGTCCTCAATTTCGGTTTTCATGCTTGAATCCTGGAATGAAGAATAATAATCGAAGGTCAACACATCAACAAACGTGAAAGAGTCTCATAGACCCATGGTCAAGAGTTCAATCTCAATACCCCTCTGATCTACCAAAAAATAAACACCAAAACACAGTTTCAAAATCAACAGTATGGTGATTTACTGATTTATGAACCCATGTTTAGAAATTAGAAAGCTGTTCAATACATGTGAACCCAGCAATAATTTGGAGATAAAAAGCACACAGAGAATTGTAAGAATCTAATAAACTTGGAAACATCATGACTACTCTCTGCCCCCAGCCCCCCACTATCGTCTAACAAACACCCCGGTTAACAAAGGAAAAAGGAACAAACTTGTACAAAATTATAACTGAATGAATAATGTGCTTCTCCACAAACTGCTTAATAGAACGAAAGAAAGAATAGACCGCACACAAAGGCAGGTAAAGAAAAATGCATGACCACTGACATACAAGCACACAGGTTCAGCTGACAAAAGAAAAGCAGCCCCATGACAAGCGAGAACTCAACCACATACATGCCACCACGCCTACACTTAACTTAGCTCTTCAGTTTTAGCTAAGGGATCTGAAATGCACCATGATCAAACTAAGAAGACAACAAGAATTACAACACATTTCAACTTAAAACACAGATTATAACCAGAAACACAATGTTTAAAACATATTAATATATTCGAAACACCCTCATGCTAAAACCAGGAAATAAATATGAGTAAGCATTGTGAAGTAGTGGCAGGGCTACTTATAATACATTTAACAGAATCCATATAGAACTTAAGAACAAGACGATATTCATAATTAAAACATAGCAAACTCATAATAGTAATATGATCAGCGATTTCAGGCGTAGCCGAATCATGGAAATAATGAGCTCAACATTCTATATTTAACCGAACTATTGTTCATTTATGGAAATAATGATTAATCATCAGATATTTATTTACCTGATATCTGAGGTAAGAAAGCCGGGGAAGGTGTTCGGAGCGAGTGACCGCCGAGACCAGTCCCTCAAAAGCTCACAAAGATCCAGTCAAATTGAACCAACGACACCTAAACTAGCTTAAACCCGGAAAATCCAAATTCACCAATAAAATACTAAAAATCAAAACGGCACCCTATAAAAGCATGAATCAAAACCCGAAATTCGAAGTTCTATGAATGTGAAATGAAAATTAAAGGCAGATACGTAAAATCAATCATCAAAAAATAAAAAATCAAACTTTCAAGAACAGAAAAATCAAGCGCTATGGCGGTAGGTGAGAGAAGAAACGAAGAGCAAGATCCAATTAATGTGCTAAGAACGCGAGAGAGAAGGTGCCAGCTGATTATGGAATTCTGAAAGCGAAGGAAAAACGGATGAAAGAGAACGGGAGAGAGATGGCGAGAAATGAGAAGAAATAGAGGAGAGACTGAGAGAGATGAGGGATACTTAACACCTCATTTATAGATTTTGCTTAATTATTAAACATAATTAATTATTAGCTACTCTTCATTTAATTCAATATTAAACTTGGATACTTTACTTAAATTACTAAATACAAGTTTCAACTCTCTAATCAAGTGATCAATGAATATTCCTCTCAAAAGATTCTTTCAACTTTTCATAGTTTTATAAATTATTATATTATGTAAATTAAAACGAATATTTTTCTCAAAAAATTTTTCATCTTATAAATCATTTTAATTTAGCTAATTTTTAGTGAATAACTTTGTGATCTAGTGATATGAAGTGACTCTTCCAAATGAGAGGTAATGATTCGAGTCCTATTATAACATAGTCATTGTATTAAAAAAAAAAAACTACATTTTCATAATGCATTAATAAAAAAATTTAAAGTATTAATGCTTTTAGTTTCATAAATTTCATGAATAGTCGAAATTGTAATAGTAACTTCTCGATTTGTCACTAATTTACTCTTTTTTAAAACTAGAAGAATAATAAGTTGTTATTTCCACTTTTTGGATAAATTTCAAAAATCAACTTTTCAATTATTGCTATATTAGAAAAAGAAAAAAAGAAGGTCAATGTTAAGAAGTTCAAAATATTATTTGATTGAGGTCAAACTCCGACGGAGTTAGTTGGACAGTTGATTTGGTAATTACAAAATTCAAAGTTCGACTTTTAATAAGAGCTACTTATTTATATTCTTGTTTTGAGTTGATCATTTTTTTTTTTTTTTTTTTTTTTTTTTTTTTGCAAAATTGTACTCATGATTTATTTCTTATGATTATTTTCTAGATTGCCGGTTAGAAGCATGTTTCATCTAACTGTCAAAAATTAAAAATGAGTTTCACTTAGAATACAAATTCGAAAAATGATTGTATTTTTTTGTAAATAAAAAATATCATTTAATTTAATAATAATGTGTGGTAGCAATCAAATTGCACTTGGCAATTAATTAATCAAATTGCACGTGGCAATCAAACTCCTCTCCCCAACACAATAATAGGTGCATCTATAATCTATTGTGTCTACGTAGTACAAGTACATACGGTTTTTTTTGTTTTTTTTGTTTTTTTTGTTTTGTTTTTTTTTTTTTTTTTTTTTTTTTTTTTTTTTTTTTTTAAGGTACTTTAATTTGTAGTTCGTACAATGTGTAGTAAATGGTCTTATGGTAGACAAGAAATACATTTTGTATTAGTTGTCTTCATCAATTTTGTACCTTAAAAGATCACAATTTTGTACTATAAATATAATTTAAATTCAATTTTGAGTTACAATTTATGAAATTATTTGTATGGTAAAGATCAAATTGTGATGCTACAATTCCACAAGTAATACCGTCTACTTACAATTAACCAAAAATTGAACAAATTTCTTTTTGCGTACATCATTCAAACTAAATAATTGCAACATGAAATATAATATCATCATACAATACAATACCTAAAAAAAAAACACTATAACGTTAATACCTTTAAAAATTCACTCATGAGGTATGATGAGATTAGATAGAGCTACCTTAAAACCCAATCAAAAAGAGTGTTTGTCATCCTCAAGGCCGCAAGGGAGTGTTTTGTCATCTTTGAGGTTCTACATAAGGGTGTGCAAACTTCGGTGAAAGTTTGGTTAATCAATCAAATCGAAGAATTTCAGTTAGCTATTTTTAACCGAAATACTTTGATACGGTTAATGGTTAGAGGTTTTGTAAAATTTTGATTAATGGTTAATCCGGTTCTGATGTGGTAAATACGATGGGTATATAAGAATAGATAGTTGTGTTTCGGGTCAGATCGTGTAGTAATATTGATAGGTCTGCTTGTTGATGTAGGTGTTTGAGCTTGGGAGAGAGTGATATATAAAAGGTCGGAGAGTGGAAATGGTGGTGGTGCGGCGGTGGTGATGGTGATGGTGGTGGCGGGGTAGTGGTATGGTGGTGGTGTGGCAGTGTTAGTGGTGGTGGTAGGTTTTGTGATGTGGTGGTGGTGATGGTAATAATAAAGTGGGAATTAGAAAAGAGATGAGATAGAAGATAAACATAGAAAATAAAGAATTTAGAAAATGTCTTCTAACTAAAAAATCAATGAAGACAATTTTTGCCATAATCAATATTTTTCTTTGGCTCTATTTTCCTTGAATACCCAAACACAGAAAAATTCAAAAAATTAATTTTCGGGAGTCATTTTTTAAGTTTCCAGGCAGACCCTTATCTCCGAATCTAAGTTTTTTATTTATTTTTTATTTTTTATTTTTATATGATCCCACGTACCATAAGTCAAAATTTTTGCTTACGCCTATACGAGTTTATATATATATATATATATATATATATATATATATATATATATATATATATATATATATATATATATATATATATATATATATAATGGAAGGGGTAAAGTGTGGCTATAGCTTCCCGTGTGGTTAACGCACATTAAACATTAAAATGGTGCACCTTAAGAACACAAACACGCGCACATAAACTTTTAGGCCGATACACCTTAAGTACACAAACCACGCACCTTAAGTTTCAACAATTCACGCACCTTAAACATACAAATCACACACTTTAAGAAGGAAAACAACGCACCTTAAGAAGGAAAACCACGCACCTTAAGCTTCAGGTTGACACACCTTAAGTTTCAACAACTACTCACATTAAGCACCAAAATCACACACCTCAAATTTGACCTAGATGTAAAAATTATCAAATTGTCACCGCATTTTTTAAAATTTTGTTAATCTTGGACATTGATTTTGACAAGATTAATGGCTCTCCTCTCACCGCACAATCGCACCTGTGCGCACCAACCGCATTTGAACCTAATTATATATATATATATATATATATATATATATATATGCCAATTATTATGTAGTGTGACAACACCTTTATTATTATTCCAAATGAGTGATTCATGATTGAGAATTGTAAAAAAAATACAAGGTCACTTTTATAATTATTAAAAATTTTTAAAATCAGAGTTTATTTTATGATTATTGGAAACTGTTATACCCATCAAATTTTCCCTTGTATATTTGATATACTTAATAGTCTTTCTAATTTCATTATCCTTTATTATATAATAAAGCTATATGGTTTGGGAAATAATTAATGTTACAATTAATGCCAAACATCATTTATTATATAAAAAAAAAACACAACATTTAAAAAATAAAATAGCTATATATTATATGATCATATAAAAAATATACTTTTGAAAAATAAAATAGCTATATATTATATGATCATATAAAAAATGAGATAATATCTAAAATCGTCCTCGACTATAGTGGTTTTTCTCAATTTCGTCCTAAACGATTTTGGTGACCTAATATCGTCCCAGACTTTTGTGTTCCGCTCAATTTAGTCCCAAACTTTTGTGTTTTTGCTCAATTTAGTCCCTCATTTGTTATTCTGTCCATTTTTGTTAAATAAATAGACAATTCAGTAATTTTAATATTGGCATCTCTTTACTCATAGACATGTAAACTGTGAAATTCTTTTTTTTTTTTTTTTTTTTTTTTACGAATTACTCCTAAAACTGCGAATATAAAATTTGATTTGCAGGTCTGGGAGTAAATCTGGGTGTAATTTGTACAAGAAAGAAGAATTTCGCACTTCACAAGTTGAAAGTAAAGAGAGATCAATATTGACATTACTGAATTGTCCCTTAATTCAACACCAATTTGATGGAATAACAAATGGAGGACTAAATTGAGCGAAACACAAAAGTCTGGGACGATATTAGGTCACCAAAGTCGTTTAGGACGAAATTGAGAAAAACCACTATAGTCGAGGACGATTTTGGGTATTAACTCTATAAAAAATATACTTTTGAAAAATAAAATAGCTATATATTATATAATCATATAAAAAATGTGTTCAATTAGAGTTTAAATTTACACATACAAAATTTGAAATTTGCTTTCCAAATGTAATTATCTTAGTTATTATTTGTATTGTGAAAATTATAATATTTTTTTTTTGAATGCGTGAAAATTATAATATAGATGAAATACAATTAAGAATAAATCAATGTAATTATGTAAATTATCTCTATAAGTTTATTTGGATATGCACATAATTATAGATTATATTAACCATACAAAATTATAATTTTAATTGTAATTTTGTATTCTATAAAAATAATAAATACTTGACCAATGAAAGCTCAAAAATATTATTATATTAAATAATTTAAAATATTTTAATTTTTCTATTTTTTATTTATATTTATAATAACATAATTTTTTCCGTGCATCGCGTGGTGAATTACTAGAAAATGGAAAGCTTTAAAAAATAGTGAACGGTGTTTCTTATTAATAAATAAAAGCAATAAATGATCTTGTACCAAGATGGGTCCTTAGCTCAGTGGTAGAGCATTTGACTGCAGATCAAGAGGTCACCGGTTCGAACCCGGTAGGGCCCTTAACATGGTGATTTTTAATATTTTCCTAAACAGTAAACCCAATTAGGTATTTACAATTAAAAAAAAAAAAAGAAAAAAACCTTACAGTCTAAAGGTCCATATCTCAATTAGTTATTACCAATTAAAAAAAAAATCTTACGTCCAAAATCCATATCTCAATTAGTTATTAACTTTTTTTTTAAAAAATTAATCTTATTTTTAAAATTTATTTTCAAATGCTAATTGAAATTATTATTCCCTTCTCATCTATTGAAGACGTGCTAGGACTTGCATATTGACCCGATCCGTCTCACAGATAAAGAATCGTGAGACGATCTCAAACAAACTAGTGTGACCCTTATAAGAATTATTTGTTCAATACATTTTCTCAACCGGCTTACTGATCGAAGCACAAAGAGTCAATACAACTCCTATTGAGTCTTGAACCATGATCACTCATTTGGAAGCTAAGAGCCATTTCATGCCACTTGACTACAATGTCATTGGCAATCAAATGTTTTTTTTTTTTTTTTTTTAATTATTTTCTTCATAAACAACCATACTTAAAGTTATTCTAATTTTAAAATTAATTTCATTCCTAATAAATTTATCAAACAAATATTTCGCAACGATTTTAATTTGAGTAATCCTATAAGTAGTTGATGTTGTTGCAATCTTCTATAGGTTTATTTTTAGTTTTGTTTTTATCACGTGATTTTGTGTTGTGATTACCATTTGTCTACACTTCTCGCCAAAAGCCTAATTCTCATTTAGTCTCAACTAAAATCTAAGTATATATAAAGAAACAGTATGTATACATGCATGTATATAATATACTAATTAAAACTCTATTTACTAGCTAGGAGACAAGATACATTTGTAAGTTGGCAAGTATGATGTATTTTATTATCAAAATATAAATAAATTAACGTATATATGTAACCCATTGTCAAAAAAGAAAAATAATCAAAAGCTATAAACTAGAACATATATATATAGTATACAACAATCAATGAAATTGAAATGCAGAACATACATACATGATATATATAGTACGTGCATAATTAGTTAAATTGGATGTATATATCAGAATAGAGCTGCAAAACCCATAATTGCCAATCCAAGAAGGGAACTCTTCTGCAAGAATAATGCTACTGATGATCTTATAGCTGCACTATCATCATGTGGGTTCCCACCTCCTGGACTTGAAGGAAACTTACCTGTAACCCTCACATATGTCAATTTTTAACCCAAAACACACTTTTCGTTCCTAAGTTATATGGCTACTGTAAGATTCGCCCATACTTATTGATCGTGTTCACTTCTCGTTCTTAAGCTATATATAACTGACGTTACAAATTTCTGTCATTTTTCTAATAGATCCCCTAATGTTCGGTTAGAAAAAAGACTAAAATTGCAACGTTAGTTGTAGCTTAGAGATCGACCAGATATGAGCACGACTAACAAGTAAGAGCGAATCCTACAAAATAACTATTTAATCATAATTTACATATATTCTCAAAAAAAAATAATCATAATTTACATATATAATGGTGTGTGTGGCCGGTGGGGGGGGGGGGGGGGGGGGGGTAATGATGTATTGATGTACCTGCAGTAGGAGCCCCAACTGGGATACCAATTGCTGCAAAATTCAACCAACAACAATATAATAAAAATAAATAAAATAATAAATAAACCACCAACTTTAATTTGAAGCTGCTTGATGAAGCCACACCTCAATTAATATGGATTTCTTTAATAAAAAAAAAAAAGAAAATGCTGGGTCATATAAAATGCTACAGGCTTTTTTACAATGTAGAGAACCAATAACGTCTCTACTGAGATAGAAATCACAACCTTTCAAATGGAAGTCCAACTCGGGTACTATTAGAGTACAGAATCTTGATCCTAAATGGTATATATATATAAATAGGTAAGTTACAAAAATTAGACTTTAACTTGACTAAATTTATTGTGAGCTATGTTGGGCTGGATTCAAGACCTAAAATTGTGACTTATTAAAGAAGGGATAGATGTGGTTAAATGGTTAATATCCACCTATTTAGTAGAGGTGTTAATTAAGATATTACAACTAAATAGTCAAAGAACTCGATGGGAAGTAAGCATAGTGGTAGCTAGAATGAAGGGAAGGGAACTAACCTGAGCACAAGCTAGTAGAAGGCGTATTAAGTTTGCAGAAGGAAGGGAGGTTGAGAGCTTTTTTGAGTTCAATTTTGATTCCGATCACATTCTCCGGGTCAGCCAAAAGCTGGCACAAGCAAACCGGCTTCGTCTCCACCATTCCGGCGAGTTCCGGGCAGCAAGCCTTCTCCGGCTCACTCAATTTGCTCCCTGCCTCCACAAATGTCAGGCAGTCCGACATGTTTATCAGCTCATTCACACACTCAAATGTTCCCGCCGGCACCGGCACCGGAGACTCCGCCGGGGCCTGCGCCTCCGTGCCCGGAACCGCCGCCAGAGCCACTAGGACAAGGAGGAGTGTGGCAGCCATTTTTGTGATGCTCTTGGTGGCTGCCATTGGTGTAGTAGCTAGTAGTAGTTGTGGTCACTATAGCTTAAATTTGTATGTTTAATTTGTGTGTGTGTATATAGAAAGGGTTATGATGTGACAAAATTATTAAGTTTGACGTTTCTTGCACCGACTGCCTACTACCAAACCATATATGTTTAATCGATGCGTTTTGATTTTCGATCTTCCTGCGTACACTTTCTATGCCAGCCATGCCATGCCCATGCATGCATTCTCTTCTACACGAAACTCAATAAACTAATAATATATATTTTATATGCTCATTTGAGTGATTTTCAAGAAAAGAAAATAGAAAAGAGTATTTGTTAATTCCCATGTTAAAGGATTTTATACAAAATGATGATGCTACACATACAAGTATTTAATTTTACAAGTGGCTATATCTTAGACTAAGTAAACGAATAATTATGATTATTTTTAGTGAGACCAATTCAAATAGGGAAAGTGACCAAATAGGCTATCGAATTTTACCTGAACAGTTAATTATGTGTGTCTAAACTTTTTAAAATTACAATTAAACGCATTAATATTTTATTTTGATTCAATGAAGCCCAAAAATCGATTAGTGACTTGTGATAGCAGGTCACTAGGTTTCCAGCATCGTTTTCGACTAGAGATTGATCGTCGGCATCGATCACCTTCTCCAGCGACCATTTCTGGTTGCTTGTTCTCCTCTCTCCGAAAAGGCGACCAGACCCGTTCTGGTCACCTCTCCGGAGAAGGCGACCAAAATCTGGTCGCGTTATCTTGGAAGGCAATCAGAACTGGTCGCCTCCTCCTCCGAGGAGGCCAGATTTGATCGCCTCTCTCCGAAGAAGGTGACTAGTTCACCGTCGCCGGTCACCGACAGTCAATCTTTGGTCAGAAACGATGCCGGAATCCTAGTGGCATGTTATTACATATCACTAACCGATTTTTGGGCTTTATTGCATCAAAATAAAATGTTAATGTGTTTAATTGCAACCTTAAAAAGTTTAGGAACTTAATTAATTTTTTAGGTAAAGTTCAAGGATCTATTTGACCATTTTCCCATTCAAATATCATGAGTGACAATCTTCAATATCAATTTGTAGCAGCGCTAGATGAAAATTTTTGTTAAAATGTGTACACAATTCTTTATTCTTTTTAGTATATGATATTATTACAAATTAGTATAGAAACCACCCCAAAAATTTGCCACCCTAAACCTGTATGATATTTAGTTTCACATGATGTTTGGTTGGACTACCTAAGGTGTACTGCCTATTACGGTGCAATAATAACTTGGGAAGTACATTAGTGGAAGGTACAAACCAACCACAAATAATATATATGACCCCTACACACTAATACATTAACTCATTACTTTCTTTGACTTTTATATTTATTTATAAAAAATTAGAATTTACAAATTAATAAAACGAAGTGGTAATGCAGAAATTAGTTTGGATAGACAGAATGGGAAACGAAGGCCTTATTCTCGTTAGCATTTCGCTTTCGTACGTTTGACACTTTCTCATATTCATTCGAAATTGATAAATACGATATTTCTACAATCTACAAATCTACAATCTACAATCTATCTACAAATCTACAAATCTACAAATCTAATAAGAGCGAATAATGTTAGGCCCTTAACTGGAACAAAAAAAATGTCGGTACTAATTGTTTCTTCAAATGAATGGTTCATATTATTTTGATTTTAGTATCTTTTAATGATTTTCCTTATTTACCCTCTATTATATTATTTTCTACCCTTAAATAACCCTAAATTCCGTTAGTTTAAACTTTAGTAACGGAATATTCCGTTAACTATTTATTATTCTTAACATACTCTTAATAATTTATATAAGGTCTTAGGTTCGAACCTCATCCCAAGTATAGTTGGTATAATTGTTAAACACATATTATGAATATGTTAAAATGTATTAAAAATATATAATATAAAATTTAACATAAACTTTGGTCAAATAATTAGTTCGACTAAATACAAAGCATTCAAAGTTGAGCATCAAAGATTATAAACCAGGAACTACTTTAAATCATTTGATTTTCTGGAATTTTTTATTTAAAAAAAAAATTAGGTTAAGTTTTTTTTTTTGTTTTTTTTTTTGTTTAATTAATCTTCTTCTGATTATTTAGAACAAAACTTAATATTTCAATTATGCTTTTACATTATTGGAATGATTTAGGCCATTATGGTATTAATATTTTTTGTATTTTTTTTTATAATGGTACAATTGTACATTACTTTACAAATATTATACTATTATTTTTTTGTCGGACAAACTTGTTCTTACATCATTGTCAGACCTGCGCGACCTAACTAAAAAGTTGTTGATCATAAATACAATTACACATGGACTCTAAAACGGTAGGATCATTTTCCAAATAATTGACAATGTATGTTAACATCTTACTAGCTCCAATTGAACAAGTTTACACCTCAAAATTTTATCAATGCATTAAAACTTCTAAAGAAATTTGTAAATTAATTTTTACTATATCATTATATTAATATCTATTGTAACCATATATTTTGAATTATTTATTATCATCCTCAATTGACAGCAATTGCAGCAATTGTCATGGACAAACTCTCAAAACAATTTGACTCAACAAGGAATGGAAATTAAAAAAAAATCATTGATTTCATTATTGTTGAAGAAAAGTATGTATGGCACTTTATTACTCTTATTAATTAAATAAATTAGTAGTTACAACAAAAAATTATACATATGCATTTAATTAATTTAGAATTAGATGTCTATAATGCTTTATTTAAAAAAATTATTCATTATAAACAATTTTAAAAGAAATATAATTTGCTTTATTTAAAAAAATTATTCATTATAAACAATTTTAAAAGAAATATAATTTCATTAGTTATATTATCTTTATTTTCTACAATTCAAAGATTCCTTACCTTCATATCTATTAATTTATTATATTCACTACATTGTTCATTGTCTTCTTTTTTACATTATCTTGTAATTAAATATCAAAGTTATAATACAAACCATGTTATATATATATATATATATATATATATATATATATATATATATATATATATATATATATATATATATATATATATATATATATATATATACCAAGTATTTTATACAAATATAATAAATATTAATATTTTGTTCAATACTTTCATGATAACCTACGACACACATCTCACAACACATGAAACATGTAGGGAAAAAACTACCACTACTAAATATCAATAGGTGTTTGTACGCTAAAGAGTTCATATTACAACTAAAATCTCACTCATATATACAGCAAGACAAATCTAAAACTTCTTACACCATAATCTCATTACATGATGAATCCGTCTATGCTGCTATCAGTAACCTAATTGCACATGACACACTATCAATAAAAAAAAGAAAAAAAAAAGAAGACATGTACTGAAGATGAAAACAATAACAATGCTACCCAAAAGAGAATTAAGAAGAATTAGAGAAATTTAAACCAAAAGTAGTATTTATTTAGACTATCGCTTTAAGACTAAGTATTTAGACTAACGTTATTACAAAGTTACAAACATTTATTTTAGTGACAATTATAATCAATCTCTCATATATTATCTTGCATTTATAAATTATCGATTTAAATAAACAAATTCAACATTTATTTACCTATGCATGAACATATCCTATATAATATTGCATTGATATACTTTGAAATACTTATTTAAAAATAATTATTGGGCATTATCACATCCGCGTAAAAAAACTAGTCATCTAATAATTGTGAAATTATTTTGTCATACACATGGCCGGTTTGAGTGACAATTTTTTTTTTTTTAAAAAATATAAGATTTAATTATCGTTATAGTTACAAAACTTATTACATATTTGAAATCTGAAATAATTTTCTTAATTTAATTTTATCAATTCTCATTTTATCGTCTCCTCACTCACCTCTCGAGATCTCACGCACATATATATTTCAATGAACAATGAATCATTTAAAATCTAAATACCTAGTATTTATCTCAAATATCAACTCAATCAAAATATACATACAATAAAATGGTATACAAGAAACGTGCGTCCCATGTGAGATTGTGCATGTGTCCAACCACAAGGTGGAAACCCACAAGTTTCAACAAATTATTAGGGTTTGGTGATTAATTCTGCAAGCTAGAAATGACTGGAATCTTGCAGTAAGAATTTAGGAAATATAAAGGGTAGAGGCTTGAAGTAGAAGAAGATCGCGGGAGTAGCCAATATTGTGTACCTGGTCACTCCTCTAATAATTTTTTTTTTTTTTTAATACTATTGAACTTGTTATATGTAGTATTTGTTCTATATACTTTTTCAACCTATTGAAATCCAACGAGTCAATACCGCCTCTACAAGTTCGAACCCATAACCTCCCATTTGGGAGAGTCACTTCATGCCGCTTAACCACAAGATCTTTAAGTTGGCCACTCCTCTAATAATTAGTTTGCGGTTAATTATTATTATTATTATTATTTTTTGAAACAAAACAAAAACCTTCATTAATGACTTAATAAAACGGCGATACAAGTCGGTGGGATAAACGCCCACTCCCCCAAGACAGACTCCGAAGCGATTGCCCGAGCAAGCTCATGAGCCACACGATTCGCTGTTCTCCTAATATGGACCACCTCTACAGTCATTAGCAATCGACAAACATTGCTTCACAATTAAACCTACGTATGAAAAATTAACAGTGCGGGAATTAAAAGCGTTACAAAAATTCAAACAATCAGATTCAAGCAAACAATTTTCTCGGCCTTGCGCTTTGATCCACGCCAAAGCCCCTTTGGCTGCAAGAACCTCAGCCAAAAACGGATCGCTAACACCATCGAACCACCCACTCTTCGCTGCAACAAAACGGCCGTCATGATCTTGTATAACCGCGCCAAAGCTAGCCCCAGTCACGAAGGTAGCCGCATCAACGTTACATTTCGTTGAATTCTGAGGCGGCGGCGTCCAGTCCCCAGCGCTACCGGTGAGCCTAGCTGGTCATGTGCTGTAGAATAGGCTGTTGCCCAACTTTCTTGAAGATATTTGGTCCGTTCGTGAGCCTCCTCCACGGATAGAGTTTTGTTGTGCCAAACAACCTCATTGCGTAAGGGCCAAATAGACCAGAACACAGCAGCGAGCTTAACAGCCGCAGATGTGGACGAGCTTCCAAGCGTGGAGTCCATGAAACTGAGAAGCCCTCTCCCCTGCAAAATATCGTCGACTTCCCATACTCGTCGCGCAAACACACACTCGTAGAGCAGGTGCTCCGTTGTCTCCGTCGCGTAGCCACCACCGATCCATACCTTCTTCAGTCGCAGATTGTCCCGGACTAGTAGCACACCGCCACAAGAAATTATTGATTGTAGGTGGGATCGGCAGTGCCCACAGAGCCTTCCAAGCACGAAAGCCCCCAGGTTCCACATATTGCATATCGTCTTGAGTGAGGAGTTGATAGCCATGCCTAACCGTATATCTCCCTCGGATGTCCCCCACCCACCTCTATGAATCTTTAAATTGATTGTTTACCGGAGTTGCGAGGATTCTTTTCACGTCAGTAGCCAAGAAGAGATCACGGATAACGCTTTCATCCCATCTCCCCTGGTCGTCAAGCAAACCCCTGACTCTAGCCTCCTACAGATGTTCAGCGCACGGGGTGTTAAGCGATTCATTATTAGATTCGGCCAGCCAATTCCAGCCCCATATCTTCGTGTCTAACCCATCACCAATGCGCCGTGCAATGCCCAGCCTTAATACACATTGTCCGATCACAATACTCCGCCATATAAAACTCGGGTTCCCGCTTAGTTGTGCCCCCATAAAATCAGTAGTGGGATAATATTTTGCCTTTAGTAAGCGGCTAACCAAAGATTCCGGATGAATTAACAATCGCCAACCTTGTTTGGCCAATAAAGCTAAATTGAACTCGTGCAGCTTCTTGAAACCAAGACCACCCTCCGACTTCGGTTTACACATCCGGGTCCAACTCAGCCAATGTATACCTCGACTCCTCGTACCACCACTTCCCCACCAAAACCGGTTGAACATCTTTTCTAATGTATCACAAACACGTAACGGTAGTAAGAAGGACGACACGGTAAAAATAGGGAGAGCCTGCGCTATACTCTTGAGTAGAACTTCTTTACCTGCGCGGGACAAAAATTTATGCATCCATAAACCTATACGGGTCCATACATTTTCTTCAATGTATCTGAACGTGGCTGTCTTATTTCGCCCCAATACTGACGGGAGGCCCAGATAACGCCCCAGATCAGTAGCGGCACAGACCCCCATACATTCAGAAACCAAATCCCTCACGTGTGTTGCCGTATTGAAACTATATATCGCGCTTGACTTCTCATAATTAATGAGCTGCCCCGAAGCCAAACTGTATAAGTCTAAACAACCCTTAACTTTTAATGCTTCTTGTTGGGTGGCCCTGAAAAATAATAAATTGTCATCAGCAAAAAATAGGTGAGTGATAGTCGGGGCTCCCCGGGCCACCCTCACCCCATGAATATCCCCTCAGGCCTCTGCCTGTTGCAGAAGGATTGACAATCCTTCGGCACATATGATGAATAGGTAAGGCGACAACGGGTTCCCTTGCTGGATCCCCCGGGTAGGGCACACCTGACCCACAGCCTCACCATTTACCAAAAATAGCATATTTCACAGTAGAGACACACAACATTATTAAGTCTGCCCACCCCCTATCAAAACCCAACGCCCCCAGCATCCCCCCCCCCTCCAAAAACGACCACTCCATCCTGTCGTACGCCTTAGCCATATCTAGCTTTAGCGCCGCCCACCCCATAGCCCCACTGGTTTTTCTCCGTAAGTAGTGCCCAATCTCACCGACCACTATGATATTGTCAGTTAAAAGTTTCTCAGGTACAAACGCACTTTGCGATTGTGACACTACTTGATCCAAACACCCCTTCAATCTATTAGCTAACATTTTAGCCAGCACTTTGTATACTACGTTACAAAGCGCTATCGGGCGCAAATCAGCGACCTTCTCCGGGACCTTCTTTTTTTGGGATTAGGACAATGTTGGACTCATTGAGTCCCGGTGGAAACCTCTTAGTTTCCACACAGTTAATAATAAATACTGATAGATCATGGCCTATCACCGGCCAAAAATGTTGAAAGAACGCCGGCGACAGCCCGTCCGGCCCCGGTGCTTTCTCAGAAACCATATAAAAAGAGCAGTTTTTACATCCGTTATCGTGAACGGCTGTAACAGGGAGACGTTCATCTCATCTATCACACGTTGACGAATACGAGCAAAGAGATCCGGGCTGCCAGACTCGGAACAGAAAATAGTTTCGAAATACCTGAGTATTTCCGTGTGCATTGCAGTCCCGTCCACCCATTCACCACTCTGATTTTTGACACGAGTAAGAGTGTTTCGTCTGTGCCGTACCGTCGCGGCTTTGTGAAAATACTTCGTATTCGCGTCCCCGTGCTTCAACCAAAAGTTATTTTGATCTCTGCTTCCAAAACACTTCCTCTGCACGAATGAGCGTTTCCAACTCACCCTCCGCTGCCATGAACTCTTCAATCCCAACAAGAGTACGATCCTCTTTAGGCCGTGACAATGTCCGACGGAGTTCCTTTATTCTGTAGCCAAAATGCCGAAAATGTTCCCCACCCCACTTCAACAATCGTTCACCACAGACAGCAAGGCGATCCTGAAAACTCTGCCCCACAGACAAACGCTAGGCTTCGTCGACCACTCTTGCACACCCATCCTCCAAGAGCCAAGCCGATTCAAACTTAAAAGCTCGCATGGCCGCACGTACAGGTCGCGTCTCGAGATCAACCGAGATCGCACAATGGTCAGACGAGCGAGTATAAATGCTACTGACCAAAGCCTCGGCATGTAATTCCATCCATTCCGTTGTTGCCACAGCCCTATCCAGGCGTTCCTCCACCCACGAGTCAGTCCCCCGGCCTTTCTCCCACGTGAAATTTCCCCCCGTCATCCCCAAGTCATTGAGCTGACAATCCCCCAGCGCATCGTTGAATCCTTCAATAAGCGACGCCGGATGCGGGTGAGTTCCTCTTTTTTCCGATAGGCAGGCTATGTCGTAATTTTTACCCACTACCAGCCAAGGTAAGGTAGATTTATCCTTTAGTTGGCGCAGAAGATCCCACGTAACTTGTCGCCGTGTCCTGTCCGGTTCACCATAAAAACAAGTGAGCCTCCATGTCGGTTTCCCTGGAATGGTTACCTCCGCGTCAATGTGATTGATGGAGTAACTTAATAATGTCGCGACATCCGAGTCTCGCCAGAATAACGCAAGTCCCCCTCCCAAACCAACACGATCCACATAGAACACCCCTTCAAACCCCAGTTTCACACGCACTTGCTCCACCAGATTAACACACGTTTTCGTCTCCATCAAGAAGACGAATAAGGGTCGCTGCTTGGACACAATGCCCAAGAGTTCTCGAACTGTTTGGGTGCCACCCAAACCCCGGCAGTTCCAACTGAGTAGACTCATTGCACTGGGCGAGCCTGGTCCACCAGACTCGCCTTCTCCAGGTTTTTTGGCGATTCCGCCATCTGTACGTCCTCTTCATGCAAACCATCCATTCGAACCACCTCCTCCCTTCGCCGTTTGAGATCACCATGCAATCTGCCACTCTCTTCCATTGCCACCAGGGTTGCTGGGGGAGGCCCAGCGTCCGGGGTAATGGGCCCTGCCGACGATTGTGATGTTGGTGATAGCAGCCACCGTGCCCCTACCGGCTTCACCTGTCTCCTAGGACCTGCCCGCATCCATGCTCCGAATGGGAAAGCATCCGGCAGAATACCCTGATCATATACGGTCTTGCAAAATTTATCCGAATGCTATAGGATCCCACAACAGTAACAGAAAGTGCCCAATCGCTCATACCGGAACGTGATCCATTGAGATGCCCCGTCGCGGTGCAACAGCTTCATACGTCTCTTCAGCGGAGCTGATACACTCATCCGCACCCTAATCCTGTAGAAACTTCTCCAAGCCCCTCCAAAATTGAACGGATCCGCCGCGATAAAACTCCCGACGTAATCACCGATCTTAGCCACAAAATCAGGGGAGGCATACATCGCAGGCAATCCATGAACCTGGACCCAGAAAGGAATAGAATCCAGCGCTACATCCTCCGGCCTGGTTCCCACCGGTACCTGATCACAAACAAGCAACTGGTTGTCGAAAGACCAAGGGCCATCCTCGATCACCCGCTGCAAATCCTTCGAGTGCGGAAATTGGAATAAAAAGAGATCATCGACGAGAGTCACCGCATACATGCCCATCACCGGCCGCCAAACAGATGCCAAAACTTGTTGCATATGTTCGATCTTGATCAGACGATCAGTAAGAAAACGTCCCACGAGATTATGGTGGATCGCCGCATAAGGTACAGTCTTTAATTCCGGCGCCTCCACCCCCCCCCCCCCCCCCGCGTCTCTTCCTTTGCAAGCGAAAATTCCGTGCACTGCTGCTCAAGCGGACGAACGTCCATGTTGATCGAAGCGATCTGGCTCGGAAAAAGAGATAGGATAACACTGATGTAAAAGATCAACACAAAAGCCATCAGAAAACGAGGGTTATAAGAAACCCTAGAGGCCTAGGGAGAACACTCTCTCAGATCATGATCGAGAGAGGGCCACTATCGGAGAAGCTGATCGGAGATCACGATCAAAGGTTGCGAAGATTGCGGAGCATTTGCGAGAGAATAAAAAATTGTATATGTATGCGATTAATTAAAAATTATTTCCTTATTTGTGTATTTCTTTGATGATTAATAGTGGCTATATCATTTTGTCCTATGATTTTTAATTTCTTTATTTCTTATTACATTCTCCCTTTTTAACAATTTATAGAAATTAAATTAAAAAGATTAAACAACTGGAATATAAGACACTTAACATCTCACAAGTTTCAAGACTTCTTTATATATAGATAGCCTATAAGATTAGATGATAGGACTATAGGGATGAAACGTTACATCTAATCAAGGTTTTCAGAAGGCGCTGTTGTGCCAACAAATCCTTTACCTTAGACTGCCATTACTCAAAATTCTATGTAACATCAAACTTTGATACTTTGAATTTTGTACTTGAACTGATCATCTCAACAGTGCTCTAATACCAATTTGTTACTAGTAACTGCTAAAACATTACCTTCACTATAATCTGAGTCATCATCATGTACCACATTCACAACCTCTTATTACTTTTTCAACTTTGGATAGTCTCTTTTCATGTGTCCAATCTCTTTACACTTGTAGCACCGAATTTTCTTGCTATTTCTGAACATAGACCTAGAGTTTCACTTTCGAGAATTATCCATTCTCGCTTCCTGACTCGCCTTAACATACAACTTATCATTCTCCTACTTTCTGCATACACTTATTATGAGCATGCAGGGCTGAAGAGATCTCATTGTATTTTATCATGTCTTTCTCGTATGTAAAATAGTCACTATATGTTCAAAGGAAAGAGGTAATGGACATAGCAAGATCATCTTCTTGTCTTCATCTCCAATCTTGACATGCCAGATATGAAATTATCTAGTTGAAGAAATTAATATGATGCACCAAGTCGGCTGATCAGGTGACGACAGGCTTGTCATTTGAATCATCGGAGTCGTACATACGTCTCAAGAAGAGGTTTAGCAGGCTCGTATAATCTACTCTTCCTACAGGAATCAAGGAGCTGTTGTATTATGGAGTTATTTGCCCGGAAGAACCCATAAAGCGAGATCGGCAGAACGGTACTGTCCGTTATTTAAAACATCACTAGCAGTATAATTACATCAACAGAAGGTCCCATGGCCTTCATTGCTTACTGCACGAAGCATTCTGGCATAGTGTATGGTTGTTTACGTCAAATCCAAGGATCCGTTATCGATAGGCTTTTTATTCTTATCATCGCAGTCCAAGTCCGCCGCTGTCGGTCAGTCTTCTCTGCCGGTCGCCGAGTACTATTCAATCGCCCATATATCTCGTTAATGATTGCCTCACTCTACCAATTTCGCAGGGAACATCGAGGAGTCGTCTGAATACGAGCGGATAGGTCAAAGTGAGCGAGGAAGAGGCAGGTATGTTGACTAGAAAGATCCCGCATGAAAACATGGAGTCGGCATGGGAGTGAAGCCGGGAGGCAGGCATGTTATCTAGAAGCTCGACGACTGATTGCATGGTGGCCTAGAAGCTAATATCCTGGTAATTAGAGCCTCTATCTCTCCTTCAATTAACCCCAACTTCGACTCGATGACTGACGATTATATTCATATAATTTACAGGCTCACAAAATTTTCCTTTTCAAACCTCTCTGCCTTGTGCAAAGCAGGATGCTTTAAAATCGTCAACAAAGGTTACATCTTCGCGAATGATTCCAATACACAACATCAATTCCCCTCACTTGATCTTGCTTGCGATGATGGTGGGAGTAGTTTGGTCTGTTTCACCACTCTTTTGTTCCTCAGAAAGTGGCCGACTGTAAATGCTTCAAACTAGTAGAGGGCCTGTAGTCAACATGGAGAGTGTTGACGCACGACGACCAGTACGTCGGAATAATTTGGCGGCGGCTTCTTCGCTCCTATACTTGCCGGAAGTGGACTCAGACTCGGCGACGGGATTGGGGGGTTTTGGTTGCCGACTCTACATCATGAGTCAGAAGCTGGTTAATCAGTGTTCCCTTCCTCCATTGATAGCCACGCATATGCAGGTACATAACTGGTTAGGCCCTTCTCATATGTCATATATTTTGAGGTTGCATCTTTGTAATTAATGTGGAAAATTCTATTTTCCCCTGAATGTCATGTACGATAGATATGCATTCTTTATGCCAAATTTGTAGGAATGTAGAAAATTCATTCTTTCCTCTTGATTGCCACGCATAGTGGATATTCACCTTCCTTATGTCATGTGTAAAAATATGGCCCTTATGTAGTGATCTTTCTTTTCCCCTTTGGTTGCCACGCACAGTAGGCATACACCATTCTTATTTGCCACGCATGTGCCGCTTCAATTCTCATGCTTTAATCCTTCTTGGGCCGTGTGAATATATGAAGACTAAAGGCATTTCATATGTCATAAAAATCCCTTATTCACATATCAAAGGCCATCTTACTGATTAGGGGGCAAAAGCCTGTGACGATAGTCGGCGTGCTTAATTGTTTTTTGTTATAATGGTAGGATCGCAGCTCTTGATATCAACTTGGAATTTTCATTCCTTGGCACTGGAGGTTGTTGATTGGGACACATGTTGCGTAATCCCTTTTCAAGCCCGTTGGAATCATACTGCTCATATGCTTAGTGTAACAAAAACCCTCAACATAATAAAGAGTAAGGGCAAGATAAAATAACTGTGACCACAGTGTTTACCGTTACAGTCGTGGTGGGGGAACCATTTATTCGGCGTCCCGACTTCTTGATTCCCCCGGCCGAGTCCCTCAATGTGATGGACCGGCCCTCTCTTGCTAACAATTTTAATTTAAATACTGCATCTATTTTAAATGGTAATGGTTACCTCTTGTAGACCTCGATACGCAGTTTTCTTTGTTTGATTCTCTTCTAGTCCTCTCTTTGGTCCACGGTTCTCCATGAACCTTCTCAATCTTCCGTCCGTAGCGGACGCTCTCCGAAATTGCTCAGACAAAGAGGTAAACGCGACCTTTTATCACGATCCCCCAAACGGCGCCAGTGATGGTTTTTGGGTTTTCGGGCCCAAGGAGGTCCAACACAACCTTTAGCTGGAGGATACACCTTTCAATAAAGCTTGCTAAAATAATATGGGCTCGATGATTTTGACGTGGAAACCGAAAGGAAAACCACGGGCCTTTTTCGGCGGTGCCAAGCCTAACTCCACTATGTATTTTGTAGGTGTCTTTGTACATGTTGTATGGCTACTTTGTATATGTAATATGGAAATATTGTGTAGGGAGAGTGTTATACTTTGTACATTGAGAGATGGAGTATGCTTCTTGATGGTATGAAGGCGGAGTCTTCTTCGTGCGTGGAAGAGTGGTGGAGCCTTCTTGGTATATTGTGGAATGAGGCCTTCTTGGGAGAGTAGTTGTGGGAGAGTGATAGTAGTCTTCAAGTGTGTAGGAAGAGTGCTTGGGAGAGTCCTCCCATGTATGTATGAGTGAGTGGTAGTATTTGGGAGAGTCCTCCCATATCTAGATGAATGAGTGAATGACCCTTTTCTTCTTGTCTTCTCCTCCTTTTATAGCTAAGCCCATCCCAAAAGTGTCCGTTGGACCATTTAGTAGGGTAGTTAATAGGTATTAACTTGGTTATTAGTGGGATAATAAGTGGGAGACTTAATAGGTAGCCTTTATTTGGGGGGTTATGGATGAGGTAGATAAATAGGGTAGTAAATAGGACTTTAAGGGTAGATAATTAGGAGTTTAATAGGGGCTAACGGCTAGTTTTAGGCAGACCTTCTATTCGTGCTGATCCCACACTCGCGCCGACTCCTCGGTTTGGCTCGTATCTCTTTTGGGCTTGCTCCATTTTCTTCTTGGGCTTCCCTTCTTTGTCTGGGCTTTATCTCTTTTCTTCTTGGGCCCCGAGCCCACGGGGTTCACACCCCATCAACTAGTCCCTCACTTTTCTATGTCTCGTACTCAGCAGGGCATGGAAAAGTATATTGTCTTGCCTCAAAACTCGCTTTATTAGCCGCCTCAATTTTTGCCGACTCTTTGTTCAAGATTCCAAACGACTCCATCCTCATGACTTCTCTTTGTTTGCCATATGACCGACTGCTTCGGTGGATGTGACCCTCTGGCTTCGAGCCCCTCTTTTCATTAGCCGTCGAAGTGAATCTTAGCTATTAACTTTTTCTTTCTCAAATAAACCTCTAAGGGTTCGGACCCTCGATTTCTTCTTTATTCGCCGAGTCCCTCAGTCGAGGCGACTCTTCGATGGTAGCTTCTTTTCCCTCTAAGAAATGCCTAGGGTCGGAACCCTGGTTTCTTTCTTCTTTTCTTCTAGAAACACCTAAGGGTCGGAACCCTTGTTTCTTTTCTCTTTTCTTCTAGAAACGTCTAAGGGTCGGAACCCTTGTTTCTTTTCTCTTTTCTCGCCGAGTCCCTCAGTCGAGGCGACCCTTTAGGCTTTTTCTCGGAAACGTCTAAGGGTCAGTGCCCTTGTTTCCTATCTTTTCTTGCCGAGTCCCTCGGTCGAGGCGACCCATTAGGCTTTTTCTATCTCAGAAACAGTTTAGGGTCAGTGCCCCGTCGTTTCTCTTTATACTCACCGAGTCCCTCAGTCGAGGCGACTCCTGTAGGTTTTTTCTCGGAAACGTCTAAGGGTCGGTGCCCTTGTTTCCTATCTTTT